CACAGGTTCGTCGCCCTCTTCGTGTACAGACCGCGATGGATCCCCTGCGCATATTCGACACACACTCCGACATGCTGACCGACATTTTCACACAGATTTCCAAACTAGCTCCCGAAGACTTGCGTGTTTCACAACCTATTCCGATTCCCATCAACACCTTCTTTGCCGACCTCGAGGATGTTTTCAGACTCTTATTTCTCATTATCCAATGGCTTTACGAATGGATCAGCAGAGGTCATCAACCGGCCAAAATGATGCGACAGTACGCCAACCTCATTGACCTTATTTTCCGTTTTTCTACCATTACGCTGCAGTATTTACCCAAGTATATGCCCATACATGTTTCAAATGCTCTTTTGCTTATCCGAGCCAAGCTTGCGTGGCTTATATTGTTTCACTGGGCCCCTAACTCCGCTGCCATTACCCAGTGGAGACGTCGATTAACATGCTTTGACTACTCATGGCAATCCCTTTCTTGGAGCTTGATGGACTCCCCCTATGCTGTATATCTGATGTTGGCAATGGATACACGACAACCTCACAGATTTGCCAAGAAGGCCCGGCTCTTCTACATCGGCAGTACCCGGAAGACTGTTTTTGGTCGGTTTCACTCTCGTTTACGCAAACTCCATCAGTTACAGCAGCATAAGCTTGTCAAAGCCGAGCTGGCTTTGCACTATTGGGTCCGCACGTCCTCATTTTTTGATTTCGTTTTGTTGCCAGTGGTGACTGCCGATGCAGAACACGAGGTACGCCTGTTGGAACTTAATCTCATCAGCCGATGGCAGCCACCCCTGAATTACCCTTTTTGCAATCGTATTCAACTCCGGGCTTCAGGGATCAAACATCAACGACTACCGACTCGACATCACCAGTCTATAGCCAGTTCCCGATTGCACAAGAAGATTCGCCGACGACTTTCTGCTGTTCATTGCCCTTTCTCCCTCCTTACTTCCTTCAGTGACTCCGTTCAGTCTTTGTGGCAGACCCTTTTGATGCTCGCAGGTGACAACTTGACAAGTTTTCGAGCCCAGGCTTTTCTTCGCCGACACAGTGTTCATCAACTTCACTTGTATGCCCTACTCCGTTTGAGTAACAACCTCGAACAACCCTGGCGCAGCAGAGTCAAGTCGCACATTGCCAAGATCTTTCGGGTCAAGAATCTTGCTTTGCCGGGTACTAACAGCCCTTTTCGCACTTGCCCCCTGTCGCATCCTGAATTTCAATACAATGTACGCCAATTTTTGCTGCAAATAATTCGCAAGAGTGAACACCGACTCCTCCCACTTCATGTTCCTTCCCGGTCCATATTGTTTCGGGCTCACGTCTCGTTACACGAACGACTGTTCAATTTCCAGGAGACCATGCGTGAATTCTCCTTGAACCCAGGGAGAGTCCCTTCGTGCCCCTGCAAATCATTCTTGCCTAGACACCCCCATTTGGAAATGCATAATGGGCACATTGCTTCCCCAGCCGAGTTCTTGTCGATATCTCCGCAGCTTAAAGCCATACTTCAGTACAGCGCAGCCTCGCAAATTTTACCCTCCAAGCGCACATATTCAGAAGAATTCCGCAAAGATGTCGCCCGCTGGGCTGACAAGCACTGTTTAAACATGGATGACGCTGCCACCCACGACTTCTTGGAAGGTCAGTGGCCACTGCACTTGAACACCGTACATGAGGACTGCATCACTTGGCAGGCTGTTTCATCTTTGCGACAACAGCTACAGGGCTTGACTATTCATTGTCAGGATCATCAACCTTTTCGTACTATGCTGTATTGCCCGTTACTATATTACAATGCAGTGAAGGCCACTTTCACTGAGACCACGATTTTTGAACGCGTGTCTATCCCGCCAAGCAAAGCTCAGGATCTTCTGCACACCCTCATTCCCGATTCTTTGCTTCAGCGATACCCTTGGGCCTTTCGATTGGATTTGGACCTACCACGAGGATATACCTTGCTCAAGCACAAGAAATCTTTTGCTATTGGCCGTTCTATTGTTGCTTACAGGAACACTCCCCTTGCCGCTGCCCTTAAAGCCTGTGCTTTCGTCGTTCAAGCTGTTTCACGTATTGCTTTTCCTGCATCATTGGACCCCGGCCAAAATGTGGACATTTGGAGCAGCATCCGTCATTTCTTTGAGTCCATCTCGGATGACGCCCGCATCGTTCTACGCAATGATGACATCATCGGATTCTTCAATTCTCTTCCACAAAGCCGAGTGTTAGCATCCTGGCGCGAAGCCAAGCAACGCTATTTGAGACAACACGCCGGACCCCCTGACCTCACGTTTTCAATTGACTTGTCCACAACTCACTCGCAGTTTCGCATGTATAGGGGCAAAGGCCTCCTTCGAACAATTCGCCTTGATGATATCGACCTTTTCATTTCCACTGCTTTTACAGCTAGCATTTTCCTCACCCTGGGACAGGTTTATCGGCAGACTAGAGGAGCCACAATTGGCAATCAGCTTTCTCCTGCATTGTGTGCCCTAGCGATTGCCCATCGGGAGCAGATTTGGACTGATTCTTTTCAGCAGTTTTTGCATAGCCAACGACACCTTTTCTGTTTTACCCGATACGTCGACAACAGAATGCTATTGATTCACGCCGACATTGCCAACTCGCCCCCTTTCCAATTTCTATTCCGGGACACTTTTTACATACCTCCTGTTTTGATCGAGCCCGTGAACGATGATCACTATTTGGGTTTCCGCATACTCCATCGTCTTCGACAGGTCAGATTCATCATGCCGCATGCCAAATGGCAGGTTCGTCACCCATATAGCACGGCTACACGAGCCAACAGATTTTCCGGTTATCTATCTCGTGTTGCGCTGATTCGCAAGTATACTTTCCCTCGGTCCTTCATTACCACGGACATTGCTGTGTTGCAGGATTTTTACCAATCCCATGGTTTCACCCTTCGCGAGTTACAGGCTGCGACCTCTCGTCGGTCTACTTTTTAGGTCAACCCTGCGACGCTGGTCAAAATAGATTTCTCACTTACTGCACGTCGCTCATTGTTCATTGTTCTGTGACTTCTTGATTCTTCGGCCATTTAGGCTCATGTTTTGAGTAATCCACTTCCCCCGCCGTCCGCCCCCCCCCTCCCCCCCCCTGACCGCCAAGTTAATACATCTGAGACGGGTTTGCTGCAACTCTGCCAGCAGCTCAGCCTAATTCGAGACGCCGCCTCCGCAAACATTGCCGTGCTGGACCAAATGTTTTAACAACCCGTTCTCGAGATGAACCCTCGCTGAAATTCGATCAGCCCTCGCCCAAATTCGAAGAGCCCGATCTGCCCACTGTGGCATCCGCAGTACAAACCACCTGCAGAACCAGGTTTGTCAAAATCCGTGGAATTCATGCACGCCAGCAGTGAACGGGTTTGCGGCGGTTGCCCCAGACCAGGTGGCTTTCAGCTACGTTTGTCGTGAACGGCGTTACTGACCTATCGGTTCACAGCGGACATCAGTGGACGCATTCGCCTGACGCACAGAGGTTTGCGGCGGTTGCCCCAGACCAAGAAGCTTTCAGCTACGTTCGTGTATGTACCCCGATTTGTCAAATCCGTGCAATTCGTGCATGCCGGCAGGGGGCAGCCGGAAGAGTATGTGGGCGGCTGCCAACGAAGACCCCACATACTTTTCGTGAAACGTACCTGCCTGAGAGCTGCTCCTGGGTCCCGTCGCGGGCAGCTGGAGGGCTCACCCCTAACAATCGCCCTTAAGGCCACTGACTTTGCACGGTTCAGTGCTAACTTGCAACATTTCATCTCATGTTTACGTGTTTGAACGTTTGGTGTTTGACTGCCGACGTGGCATTCCCAGTGTGTGTGTGTGTTTTTGTCTGTGAGCGTGCGTGCGTGCGTGCGTGCGTGCGTGCGTGCGTGCGTGCGTGCTGCGTGCGTGCGTGCGTGTGTGTGTGTGTGTGTGTCGGTTTGTGTGTGTGTGTGTGTCTGTTTGTGTGTGTGTGTGTCTGTTTGTGTGTGTGTGTCTGTTTGTGTGTGTGTGTCTGTGTGTGTGTCTGTGTGTGTCTGTGTTTGTGTGTGTGTGTGTTTGTGTTTGTGTGTGTGTGTGTGTCTGTGTGTTTGTTTGTTTGTTTGTTTGTTTGTTTGTTTGTTTGTTTGTTTGTGTGTGTGTGTGTTGTTTGTGGCTGTGTTGTTTGTGGCTGTGTGTGTGTGGTTGTGTGTGTGTTTGTGTTTCAGGGTACCCTTTTCAGATTACGTAGTTTAAAGGGACACCTGAACACGACCACCCATTTTGGGGTTCCCTATTTTGATGTCCCCTTGCGTGCCGTGGTTGCAAGCCTTGCTTGCTTGAGGATCCTGGGGATGAGCATGGACTCATGGAACCATGGCAAGGGTTTCTAGTGCGAGAAAAGGAGTTTGGACCATGGCACTGCCCTTTGCGGCTCCTGTCAAGTGATCCACGTGCTCAAAACCTGGGGTAGATGCCGGTTAGGATACAGTCCCGGCCAAAAATTAGTGGTAATTGTAACGCAAGCACAGCGACATGCACAATCAGGAAGGTGCGGTTCAGTCACTTCCCGAACCGCTCCATTTTGCTATAACCATTACTTTCGCAAGTCCCCCACCTTCCTTTTCGCAAGCCCAAGAGATGACGGCTTCCTTGGCTGTACGGGGGTCCTTCAAGCGCAAGTCGCGTCCGCCATGAATCGCCAATGACTCAGATGGCGGAGGCTCAACTCTTGGCCCAAAATGAATCGACCAACCATCAGATGCGAGGCTGAAAATTGGGCCTTTGATTGGGGATTCCTGATTTCCATTTGGGCGTCTTTTTGGAGTTGGTAGCCTGCTTTGGTGGTTTTAAAGGGACATCATCATCAGAATAGTACTAAACAAATAAAGAATGCAAAGTCCAATACCTTTTTCTGGGGTCCCCTAAAACAACACCCCCAGTTGGTGTTTGGTAATCTATCCGATCGAACCACCCTAGAGGCTGGCAAGCCAGATCTTTCTCGATGCGACCAAGGGCCGGCCTTCGAGCCTTGGTTTCACGTGGCCCACGAATCCACGAATCGGGCTGCCGAAGCACCTGGTGAGTGTCGGGGCGATGTGGGTCTGTCTCAAAACTGAGTTGAACCCCGAAACAAGTATCAAAGATTGTGTCTTGGTGGACATTTTTTGTTTTTTACATTTGCTCATACTCTACCCCTATAGATATATGATATATTACTAAAAGTGCCCGCACCTCACATTTGGCTGGATCACGTTGTCGCTTTCATCTTTGACTTCGGGGAAGAGCATTTGTTCACCAAAAACCAATGTTTACACTGAGGGCAATAACCATCAGATGATCATCAATGAAAAGGGTGGAATCAAAGCAAACAGACATACTGTGGATCTGTGTCAAAATGAGCTGAGGCCCCTTTTGGACCACCCACATGCAATCCGAAGGGCCAGGTAGGGTTTGCGACCACCTGGCGGGAGGCTCTTTTGCGACGCGCCCACGTCTTTCGGGTTGCCTTTTGCAGCGGCGTTTCAGAACGAAGGTCAGAGAGCCGCGTTGAACGCTACAGCAAGCACCAGTGTGCAAAGATGATCGGCTCAAGTCTTGCGTGGACAGGTTTCCCTGCATGTCCCCTTTTGATCTTCAAACTTGACCTTTTGGTCCACTTTTAGAACTGTTTCCTCTTGGTGGGGTGATGTTTAAGGTAGGTAAGCTCTTACCCAGAAAACATGGCGGCACGCAGGGCCTTTTTGCCTAAAATGAGGGTAGTCTGGTCTGCCAAAAAGGGTTTGTTCACGTTTAGCTTTGCTTGTTGGAAGGTAAGCCTACTGTCCCATGAGACGATGTCGATGGAAATCCGCAGTGGGAATTGATTTGAGCTTCGATCACCTTCTGCCAATTCACTCCTGCACTTGCTGGGAGCGCACTGCACGTTTTTTTCCCTGCAGCACCCAAGTTGCAAAAGTTGCGAAAACGAATGATATATTAATATATATATATATATGTTTGTTTAGGTGCGGTAATGTGGTTTGCAAAAGTTGCGAAATAACTATTTGCTTTTTTAGACGTGGTCAGCTTACTAAAACTGACCCTTCTGCCACTCCACACCGACGGCAAAGCGAGACGTTTGCAGAGGGTTTTGGCGGGGGCTGCGGGGCAGGGGAATTCTCCCAGCAAGCTCAGGGGCTGGAAGGCAGTGCTATCGCCAATGCCGTGAGTTGGAAAAGAGGCCGTCGGAGGGCTTGGCGATTTCCACAACCCACTCACTCAAATTCGGGCGGGGCGTTTGCAAGCGCAGCTGGTTTATTGGGGGGAGGGATCAGGCCCAAAAACGGCAGCAGCAGCGATCCACGGCCCCGGAATAGGGAGCCCCCTGTTTCAATGGCAAGCAGAAGCCAAGAATGGTAAGCAGGAGCCCCCACGATTTTGCATGGCAAGCAGCCAGAAACCAAAGATTTGAGGGAAGGCCAATCGAATTGCTTGAGATCGCTTGAGTCAGGCATTGTGTCTCGCTGGCTCAGACGCGTTTTAAGATAGGCCGAGTTTTTCCAGGTGCCACTTTCAATCACCCGCCCCGCATCCCACCCACGCATGCTTCAATCCGACGGAGGCTTGGGAGAATGCGTCACCGGCTTTAGACAGGGATTTTCGATTGGACCCACATAAAGTGAAAGTCTTTGCAGAGCGGTTGTTGCAGCAACCAAGTCGGGAAGCTGAAACCTTACGCTCACTGGTTCAGACACACTCGAAAAACCAATCCTTGGCTCTGGTTTCCAAGCTTTCATGCTGGTTGTTCTGAACCCGGATGACCCGACTGTTCCGAATGGACTTGTATACTCGTATATATGTATATACTCAAAGTAGGGGCGGATAGGAAATGATTGGGTACATGATTCAACATATACATGTACAAAAACATACATAGCTGTTATACATTGACCTGTATATAATGATATGTATAATATACATATATATATATATATACATGCATCTATTTGCCCCAGTGCGCTGAGCACGCTTTCACCCGGCCCGGTGGACTTCCGCGGGCAATGAGATGCTGCGCGGCCTGCCTGCCCGGGCTCCCGAAGGAACTTTTGCGATCGGTGCGATAGAATGAGTCCGGGTGTGGGTCGAATGAACCGGTTTATTGTTGACCCCGCATTACTCAGCCCCAGTTTGTTAGCTTAAGAGTATTTGTTCCCCCCTGTTGGTTTTAAAGGCAATCGATGCCACTACTGGAAATATACATATGTATATATATATATATGTTTATGGGACTTAAGCAAATGGAGGTTTATTGTTGACCCCGCATTTATTAAGAGGGGGGTGTTCCCCTCGAAAAGTGATGAATCACCACTAGACCCCCATATTAATAAACAGGGGTTTAGTGATCCGGGGTCAACAATGGAAAAGCCACCAGTTGGATGGTTTATGGGGTTGATTCCAGTTCTCATTCCCTGCCTATCGACCAGCAAGGGAAGGTGGTTCACAATTCCTTCTTTGAATAACATTTCGAGGTAGTTTGACCAATGTGTCTCGAACCTTTCTTTTTTCTTTTTGTTGCTTTGTTTGCCCGAGCTTCAGGAGTTTTAGCCTTTTTTTCAGGAGGAACATCTTAGATGCAGACAGGAAGTCTAGAGTTGTTGGCCAATCCGCTCTCAGACCTTTGGAGCCCTCAAAAGTGAGCAGTGGTCAGTCCCTCAAATGCAACGAACTTCTTTTCTTGGATATCGTCCCAAAAGACGTCGGTGAAAAAAAACATGTGTGGTTTTGATTTGCATAGATTGAAGTTTGTGGTAAGATCTGGTAGGCTGGGCTGTTCACAGGCAATACTACACAACTCGGTTTTTGGCGTCAACAGGACATCACTCCATTTTCACTACACAGCTGGTCGTTCTCTCTTCATATGTTGGCCATCCCTCTTTCCACATGGAGAGAGCAAACTTGGCCTGGTCTCTTGAACCAGACCGGGCAATCAAGGGACAAACCAGGAAATAGAAGCGGAGATGGACTGTCTAGAAACGGGTCGCTCCGAAATGCAAAAAGAATGTTTCCTACAAAGGGTCACCAATCTTCTGCCCTTGGGGCTTAGTCATTTGAGGCCCAAGCGGCCCAGGAGCAACTCTGGCTCCTGAGATTCTTGTTCCGCAGGTGGTGCGGGACAGCCACGTCTCAGAGGCACGCCTCGACTCTCGCTCGGGGTGCATCGGTTCCTTCTGTGAGCTCTGAAATTACCCTCAAGCTGGGTTGAACTGGGCTCGTTTTACGGGGAAACTATACATGGGTGTGGGTCAAAAATTGGTATCCAAAATGGGTTGCCCTGGTAAATGTAAACAATTGTGGTTAAATTTTGACCCGTACCCGCAACCAGAATTATGTTGGGTCCCTCGCCAATGGCATGCCGCCATGCCCCTTTTTCAGTGGAATATCCCGAGTTCAGTGAGTCCCCGCAAGTGGTCAGCCGAAAAGGTGTCCCTTTTAGAGCCTGGCTTGCATATGGGCAACCAGTCGACTGTAGGTAGAGCAGCGGTTGGGTCGAAGTTCACGCCCAAAGGTCCTCATTTTGTTTGGCAATCTAAGGTGACCGAGGTGCAGGCTGCTTTTGCTTTGCCTGGTCTGAGTCTGTCTCCCAAATAGGACCCCAGCAAGCGGGTGTCTTGATGGCTTCGTTTGCGCTATGCAAAAACAGAGGGACTTTTCTGGAGCATTCGCAGCCCGAGCTGGGCTTCTTCAGCTTTCTGGCTTCCATTTGCTTAAGAATATTTGTTTATCTTCCCCTGTTGGTTTTAAAGGGAATCGATTTCACTACTGGAAATATGTGTTATTCTTTCCAGGGGTCTTAGCCAAATGGAAGCTGTTGGGTATTGCTGAGGTTGCTCCCGCAAGTTGGGATGCTTCACCAGGTCGATGAATCCAGTGATTGAAGTGGGCCAGGCAGTAGGCCTGACGCTAGAAGAAGTCTAGAAGAGCCAACTCAGCAAGTGATGTATTGCCAAGTGCCCCGAAAACCAGGGGGTGGGAGGGGGCGGGCCTACGATCTTCTGCTCATGGCCGCAAATGATTGGTTTCGGGCTCGTGCGGTGGGCCCTTCAGGAAGCCTCTGGGTTTTCTTTGGATGGGACAAATTGGTGTACATCTTGCCTCCGTTCAGCTTCAAACTTTTCCAACCAACAAGTTTTGCCACATTCTCAGGTCAGACATCGGACAGATCGATCGATCGCAGTTCGACCTTGCAGGATGAGGAGACGACCACTTTGCTGCAGCTGCCGTGGACCTATCGACTCGCAGGGCCCTCAGAGCTGGCGCGGAGCGAGCTTTGGTTTGGGATGGCATGAGGGTTCTTGAAATTACTCGTATGAAAGATGTGACTGCCCCAAACCACCATCAGGGCATTGCTGAGCACGTGGCTTTGGAGTCCACAAGGATTGGGAAACGGGATCACAGGGTTGCTCACGCCTTAAGATGACCAACCCAGCATTGGACATTAGTGAAGGGGTTCAGAGCAACAGTGGATCCCCCTTTGTGGGTTGTCGAGTATTGGTCTGTTTGTCAGGTGCCCAAAATCATCATCTGTTTATTCCAAGTCCGCTGGTTGCAAGAGCGGGTCCTAAATGGGTTGATGTTCTGGACTATGGTTGGACTATGTTTGAACAAGCGACCCAATTGTAGTAGGCCTCTATCAAAGTGCGGCGCGGAGGTTCTTCATCTTTGGGATAGAGCTGGGTAGTGCACCGAGAAATCAGAGAGGCCCGGTTTGTCTGTGCCATACCTTTAGTGAGGAATAGCCTTCCACGTGGTTGGTAGGCATGAACCCCCGCCTAAATGATGTCAACCAGAGGAGCAAGCCACAAGAAGCAAGTGGTCAACGGCAAGGTGATACGAACATCTGTGAGCTACTGGCCAACACATGGCTGTTGATCGATATTCCTGGCCCCAAAATAACCATGGGTGTTTTTTCCCGTTCAGTGGTGAAAGTCATCTTGTTGAGTGGTTTCCCTGATGGTAATCCCATGTATCACGGACCTTTTGATCAACCTCCTCGAAGGAAACCAATGGGCAGAAGTGAGGGACTTGCTGCACCATTGGGAAATAGAATGCGGAGACAAAGAGGTCTCATTTCATAGAGCAAGCGATCAAAGAGGGGAGAAATTAGATGAAGAGACCTCATTTGATAGAGCAAGCAGAGAGTAGGGAAGAATTGAAGCAAGCACTTGAGGGTTCGGGGTGAAATTGGAGTTCATGTCTATCTTAGCCTGGAAGTAAATGGATGAACTGGGGCGTTGGGCTGTGCCTGGAAATGATCTGGGAGGGGTCCTTCTGCACTCGAAGCGAAGTAGCTCGAGTTCATGGCAACCATATTTTTAGGGATTTTCCGTGACTTTTCCCTGGCTTTTTGAGGATGCCCTTGGGTTTGTAGGAAACCTTAGACCTTCAGTGCACAAGTTTTCCCCATTTGCCCGAAAGTTTCTGAGGATGCCGGAGACTTCCTTCCCGTCACCTCGGCGGAGCGACGCCATCGAGGGGTTCCTGTAGCTCACTTCCTGAGTTCATGGATTTTAGAGTTACTTTTCAAGCTTGGACCATTTGAGTGGTAAACAGAAAGTTTGGACTTTTGTTTGGCCAGCCACTCAGGAAGTGAGTTTAAAGTTGGGTAAACGTACCCTCTTTCCAACGGACGTGGAGAGAAAGCTTCAAAGGGTAATTGTTTGTCTTACGCGTTCCTGGCTTCCGGGATTGGAAACAGGGATAGCCGGCGATAGCACAAGTGTTCCCCTCATTTCTGTGTCGTAGTTCCCTCCCACCTAAATGGATTTGTGTGAACTACTTTCATCCTGGTGTAGGATCCCCTTCGGGGTGACCGATTTTCCTAAAACCCCATCCAAGGATTCCCTAAGGAGAAAAAGTCATTCGAGATGAGATCTTCCCCTTGGTCATTGGTCCGCTTTCAGCAAAGGTGCCAACATATGAATCATTCGTTTTCAGGTCCTCCGGACGAGTGAGCTCTGCACCCCCTTTCTTCTGAGTGCAGTTTGGGGCCGCAAGTTTGTTGTCGCTGCATCCGTCAAAGAATGCATGGAGAAACAGTTGGGCGTGTCCATGTCTGCGGGCACCCTTTTGGAACCCAAAGGACAAGCCCGCCATTTTGATGGTCCACATGCTGAACAAAACAAACCATAGCCCGATCTGCGACCCCCCGAAAAGCAGATCCTCGGCTTTTGGGTGCTTGAGGCTGCCTTTCGGGCGCTGAAAGTCCTTTGACATTCACGTTTGTTCAAGCCGAGCTTGTGACTCTGGTTTCTCCCTCCACTTTTAGCGTCCATGTGCTTAAGACTATATTATCATTTCCCTTTTTGGTTTTAAAGGGACTCTATCACTACTGCAAATATGTATGTCAAGGTTCCAAAAGGTTACCCTCACATGGAGCTGACAGAGGCCAAGCCTGGTGTGGCGCCATGTTAGATGAGGTACAGGAAGCCATGTCAGTCTCAAAATGGCAACGGGTTCGTTTTTGTTTCAGCCTGAAACAAATCCACCCAACATGGCTCCAAAAAATGGAGCCACGCCTCAACATCCGACTAGTTTGCTTTCCAGTCTCCTAAGGGCCCTGATGGATTTTGGTGCTGCAGAGTCACTTGTTCACTGAGCCCCCTCAAGCAACTGGAAGCCCCAGGACCCAGAAAGGGCCTCAAGACAAAACGCGCCACCCAGCTGACTTCCCAGGTCAGTGAGGCTCGCGCTTGCTCTCGTCACATGGAAACGCCAGGAGCTGGTGCATTGCCTCCGGCGAAGCCTTGGACGGGGCCCCCGACAGAAGCCGGGAGACCGCGCGAGCCAACAGTCCCGTTGGGTACAGACACCGGCAAAACGGAAAAAGCGGGAAAGAAATCGTTTTCCATTGAACCCAGCAAAAGTTAATTCTTTCGCAGAGGGGGTAACGGCAACCAAGGCCCTGACCGACAAACCCGGATTTCTCTAGCTTCACTGTTCTCAGAGTATTTTAGATGTTGCTGCTTGCTTTGCTTTGTATTGAAAAGACTTGAAGCGTCGCATCAAATGGTCGATTCGAGGCAAGTTGATTTTCCGCTGGAAGGTTCCAAAGGCGAGCTTTGACATACCCATTGTGTCTTTTGGAGAAAATCCTTGAGGCTGCTTTGAGGGAAGGCCAAAGGGAGAGCTCTTCGGTCAAAGTCTCCCCCGTGTAAGATCACGGACCAAATGGAGTCGACACCTCGGCTCCCAAACTCCCGAAGTCCAAAGGCCCAGTGTCCGATCCCGCAAATGGGCATCCCCTCGGCGCCGAAAGCCCCCGCGACACGTTGCAGCGCCGAACGTTCGCGCAGCGGTGAGGTCAAAGCGTGATGTTCCTGGCCGAGCGAGGTGAGCGAGCGTCAGGCCAGCACCGCTCGTTTCGAGCCAGTGGTTCAGCACTTTTTCTTCCCTTGTCGCTTGGTGGCCTGACTGAAATGATCCACAAGGGTCGCTGAATAGGTTTCCTGAGGAAAGATTCCCAAGATCCATTTGTGCCTCAGATAGGCTCTATGACCCCCTGTAAAATGGTTGCTCGCCATATGGGCCATATCCGTGATCTCTTTCGAAATCGAGTGAGTTCACTTCGATTCCTATTGGCAACTTAGTAGGTGGTTCTCCTTCCTGGGTTCAGACGGGTGTAGGCTCAGATGGTTCTGCACATTTTGTTGCGAGCTCACCTGGGGTAAAACGAGGGAAGCAGCGCGCCACAGGCCCGATCACCGCGCAAATGTTCCCCAATCAACGCCCAACGACGGTCGGTGCCAAACGCAGAAAGGAAGAAGCAACGTGCCGCAGGGGGCCTACGCTTTGCTAGAATTGCTTGCATGGCGAACTTGGCCAGTGCACTGTTGTCAGATCGCCATTCGGCCGCCAGTCTCGTAGCCACTAATGTTGGGCATACTTGACTATGTGAATGTTGCGCATGAAGGGGTCCAGGTGGTGGCGCATGCCCCCCACTTGCAAGACCAACAAGCTTCTGTGGTTTGTAGATGGTTGCTCTTTGGTTCCCTTGGACACCCATCCAATTTACGACACGCAAAGGAGCTGGTCCTCCAGGGGAACGGCACATCCGCGAAATTGCCCGCGAAACGTGTTCGCGAGCCCAAAGTGATATTTTAGGAACTCAACTGAAGATGTTCCTTACTATAGCTTCGCAAGCCTTGGAGCTCACCCAAACCTTTTCCTTGGACCCATGCTCCACTTTCCCTTGGACCCAGCTTCCCCGCAACCCGCGGCCTTCAGGTTCGCGGTCGCAAAGCCCCGGCCTGCCGGGGCCTTAGCTCGGCTCCTATCTTTGCGGGAAGCTGCGGACAAAAGTCGCTGGGTGAATTCTAGCGACCTCACACGACCGAGAACAAACCCCAAATGGTGGGTTTACTGTGGGAAATATCTCCCCAACCGCCTAATTTCAGGGTGGCGAAATAAGTCTGATTCACCCGGAACAGAACCCTCCCAAAAGCAAACATGGAGAACCGACTTCTCTTTGCTTCAGGTTATGTGTTTTTTCCCCTTGTTTTTGTTTTAAAGGAAGCTTATCACTACTGGCGGACGCAGTCGCAAATGGAGGCCTAGACGAGGGTCCGCGGAGGAAAATGGTCTTACTCCCGGTCCCTTTCAGGTTTCAGGTTTGTTCTTGGGAGGGTAACGAAGGTGCCTCAATCAAGTTGCGCAACTCTGCTTCAGGAGAAGTGCTGCTGTTGCTGGACTTACCAGGCGGGCTGCACGGCAAGATCAGGATTCAGATCTGTTTGCTTTGCCTTCAGTTTCAAAAGATGAATCAAGTCTGGACGTGGGAAGCATTTCCCGAGAGGGACTGGGTGGTTAGTAGCACTTGTTAATTTCCCCCAAGGCAAACCAAAAGGGGATAGATATGTTGTATTTTTTTCCAGACTCCCTATTTAGCACCCAAGTGAGTGAGAGCTCCTTAGAACATGGTGGTCCATTTGCCAGGAACGCATCTTCGGCTGCTTGCAGCTCGGCAGGCTGCGTTTGTTTGTTTCTTTTTCGGGAGCTTCAGACTTGTGCAGTAGGTGGTTCTATTGATGTCACATTTGGGACGCGCGCTCCAGCGTGAGAATAAGCTTACACAGCTGCAGTTCAGGAAGTGACATGGTCCTCAGACAAACGCAAACGGCAGGAGCATTTGGTCCCCAAGGTCGGGCGACCCCTGCCGAACCCTTTTGAAAGTGCAGCCAACAGCAATCCACGCCATTGATTGGGCACTCGTGTTGTATTTTTCAATCGCACATGTCTAGCAATCTGCTTGGACATGGCGTTGCCAGACTTTTCTGGTTCTCTTGCTTGCAAAACAACAAGTTTTACAAAGGGTCCGCTTGTCTCAGGATGGTTTTACATCACATGGACCAAATTATCAATCAGTCTGCCTTTTTTTAGCGAGCTCACCGATTCGGGGATAAAACGAGCCCAAGGCCCTTTATTTACTTGATCCGGTTCTCAATCAGAGGGCCCACTTGTCTCCGGATTCCCCGTACCCCTCTAGGTGATTTTAAATGGCAGTGGCTTCAACATTAAAGAGCTAGGCTTACCCAGGTTTTGGGCCATGTTTCCACTTACCAGGGTTCCATTTTGAATCCTGGGTCTGCATTTTGGAAAATTCCGGTTTTTGGAGTACCCAAATCTGGGCCAACATCTCAATCAGTGCGTGTCCTCCTAAATCTGCCAAGCATCAAGCGGCGCAGGCTCCCCGCGGCTGGCTCGACACCTGGGCCAGCGCTTGCGCCAAGGCCCGGCCGAAGCGCATGAGTGGCATCAAAATAAGCTGGCATAGGCCGACTGAAGCGCAGTGGCGTCAAAATAAGCTGGCATATGTATAATATATATATATATAATATACAAATATGTATACATGATATGTGCAGGCCATGACCCAAAGTCTATTGTGTGCTCACAAGTCGTCATTTGGATTGCATGCCATTCCAGAAAGGAAATGATCGTTGCAGATGAGAAGGGATAGACAAACAAACAGTTCTCTAAATTCCTTCTTTTGCATTTGGAGATGGCGACAGCTGCCCAAACTTGCTTCATCTGCAGTCAGTCAGTTAAGTCTTGGCAAGTGGCCCATCCAACACAAATCAAGGCATAAGTGCAAAGCATTGTTTTTTTGCACCGCGCAGCCTGAACTCCGGCACTTAAAACAAGCACATAAATTCAGTATTGGTCTGGACAAGATCCTGTGCCGTGGATTCTCCATGTGGGCCTTGCTAATTTCCATTTTGGGAATCGTTGTACTTCGGAGACTCGGTGCAGATCGGATATCCCGAGTCGCCGTGATTTCCCTCGAAACGCGATCGAGGGTTCGATCAGGTGTTGCTCGGAGCAGCACGGAGTCCCTTCCTAGGCGGGGTCCAGCTGTGTCGAAGCTCAGCCGGTTGGAAGATTCTTCGGCATGTGGTGGGTCAAAACCTAAGGTGCCCAAAAATGGGGATGGTTGCCACTGCACTGTTGTCTTTTTAGACTCGGCTTTCTGGGTGTTCACCAGGGTGCCGGGTTTTGACCCATAGCCATGTAGGCTTTGATCAAAAGGTCCTTGGAAGATCTGCGAAGGAGTCTGCGGATGCTTTTTGTGTTTCCCAAGATTTATCGAAAGCTTCTTGGAGGCATGATTGTACTCTCACGTATTTGCAGACTCCACTCTCCTGTACACCTGAAATTGCTTTGGGGGCCTTTTCAGTGGAACACAAGTTCAGACCTTTGGCAATTCCAAGGAAGCCAGCTGTTCCCATAAGACGAGTTCATGCTTGTTCGCATGGTCGGAAGACAGCTTGTCAGCTTCCACTGGAAGACTTCCACATCCAATATACTCATGGTTCGGCACTGGAACAGTAATGTGGTGGCGAATATCGCTAGGGGCAGTCTGTCCTAGACAGGTTCCAAACGCGGGATCGAAAGGAGTCCTTTGATCACAGAGCGAGCAGCAGTGGAAGCCAGGGGCCCCATCCCGACGCTTTTTAACACGAACAACAATGAACCAAATCGGCATTGATACAAAGTTCGGAAATCGGATGTTTGCAGGGGTGGCTTCCTTTCCCTTGTTCCATTTGCCTATTTTGTAGATGAGGTGTCGAACAAAGAACCAGCTGCTTACACGCTTCTTCAGCTTCCAAGCTTCAATCTGTTGGTTGCAGGTTTCTTCCGCATCAGTTTTTTTCCACCTACCCTCCCACCAATTAGCGTGGAACCGAACCTGGCGGGGGGGGTCCTGGAACACAATTTCCTCTTATAGGAACTTCCCCGAACGTCAGGTTCCACGAAAAAAAGGGGGAGGGTAACCCGGCGGGTCGGGCCAAACTTCCTGCGAGACCGCCTCCATCCTCGCCGCACTTCCGGCACCAGCCCTGGAGTGCCAGAGAGGTGAAATCTCCCCGAGGCGGGGCGACGCCCAGCGAGACGCATCGACCGTCAGAAGAATCCAATCGACTCCAAAACAAAAATGGCCCCGAGCCATCCGGTTCCTGATTGTTTTTTGGGTTTGGTGGTTGGGTTTCCATTTGAACTCTGCTAAAAGTTAGTCACGTTTAGCAGGGGATGGGAGGGCAGCACTGCTTATTCACCTTTTTGCATTTGTTTTGCCCCTTTGGGTGTCCTTCATTTTGTCATGTGAGTCATGTGAACCAAAAAGTGTCCACCTTTCACAGGGGTCGAAGTCTGGCCAACATCAGATTAGCTAGAAATGTCGAGTTATGGTTTCGTTTGGGAGGGATGAGAAGGGGGAACTCGCATTCCCGGGCGAAAATAGGGGACCCACTGACACTCCCATATCCTCTTAGGAGAAACTAGTAGTTTCGACGTGCTATGGCTTCTCATGAAGAATAGCCTCCGCTCGCATGGCTGGAGGATATGAATTCCCCATGGAAGGGTTCCCAGGCAGAATTTGCGGCATCCGCGTTTGTCGTTTGTCTCAAACGGGACCGCAAAGCAAGTGGATTCCTTTTGGTCCAAACAAAGAAAATCAGATAAAGACACACCCGTCCGAATTCCCAATCCAAGCCTAATTCCCGGGCAGCTTTTACTGCCATCTCCTGCATCGTTGGGGTCTTCAAGGGGTGGTTCGAACAGACCTCATTTTTAGAATCTGTCTCGAGCATCGAAACCTAGAAGTTCGCATACCAATGGGGTGTGTCCAAAATGAAGGGGGCTCCCAAAATGCTTGGATGTCCTTTCGGATCCCCTTCAAACCCACCCCAAAAGGTCGCCCCCAAACTGGGGTTTTCCACCACGGAGCAGCTTGAAATTCGCTTTGCGGTGGACGACAACCTGGCGTCGCAGGTGAGACAAAGCTCTCCCCCAGATTCGCATCGCCAGAGCCTGGCCGCCGGATCACCGTGGCCAGGGGCCTCAGAGTCAGACAGACTGGGCCCTGGGCCCACTCAGAGGCTGAGTGGATTTTTCGGTCCATGGAATGGAACCCATGAAAGTTTCTGTTTGGACCCGAACGGGGGCTGCTTTCCCATAGTTAAGCCGTAACTCACGGTTAGTTCACCCAGAAGCTGGGGGTTCACACCAGGATTTGATATATGGACCACGTCCATATAATATGGACGTCTACATTCAGCCTATCATCTACAGTTCTGTTCGCTAGCCAAGTTGTCCCCGGGGCGGTCTGGTCTGAAGCTGAAGCAAGGAAAAGGCTCCCCTCTTTCAAGCAGGGAGGCGTCGCATTGTGGCGCTTCGATTTATCTGGATTGACGCTAGTGCTGTTCGAAGTGGCAGGCTGCACCTGGAACGTTGTCCCGCTTGAACATGCAGGGTGTCGGGAGAAGCTTGTTTAGACAGCCAACCCCTGGCCTGGTCTCCTTGCAAGGGAAAACAAAAGAAAGAGCTTGTTTCAACGACAGCTGTTTTAAGATGTTCCATGAAGGGGTTTGCCCAAACTCTGTATCGCAGCAATCTGCTTTAATCAGAGGCGTATATACGCTTGCAAACGTTGGCTTCCTCGTACCTTCCCATGAAAGACCAACCAAAAACGGGTTCCCCAAAGAGAGACATGTGGCCATGGTTCAAAACCAATGGTACCATTTTGGGATAGGTGAATTCACCACCCATTTTAGAGCCTATTTTAGTGGGGTTGGGATGTTCACTGGGGGTACGGTTTGGGTATTGACCCACCATGCGTTACAGCCGTGATTTGCCGTGGTTTTCTTGATTGAAAGCCCGGTCGCTTAGGCCGGCGCTGTGCGGGGGAGATCGCCCAAGGGTCGATCGCCCAAGCTGCGAGCTCGGAGCTTTATCGAAGAGAGCAGGTAACCGCAGGTAACACCAACAGGGTGTCCGTGATTTCCCCAAAATGGTGCCTCAAAATGTGAAAGAGCTCAACTTACGGCGGGTCTTTGGTCTTTGGATCCATTTGCCCAGATACCATGGTAGCTTTTTTTGAGCAGCCTTTGAGCCTTCAAAGGTGGCGATCGTTTCAATGGGTACGGTTTGGGGAGTCCTTGGTCTGGGTTTCTTCCATTGCCCCTTAGTGGAGCCTTCAAACAGAGGCGATCGTTTCAATGGAAGCCTGTACGATGCAAGCTTTGAAGAAATTCAGTGACCTGTGTTCAAGGAGCTGAATGATTGCTAACCTCGCTTTTACCCGCTCGGGTTTCCTTCAGTTTGCCGCCAGCAAAAGATTTGCTTTTTCGAGATCGGGGGGGTGGGGGAGTGCGATGTTTGGCCGAGAAGTTGGCAAGTCCACTCTTTGCCTGAGGTCGTCCCCTTCTCCGGACACGTCGCGATCACCCAGTGGAGGACCCTGTGTTTGTTGCCATGCAACCACTTGACGCCAGGCAGGTTGCAGCAGCAGGAGACGCTTCCTTTGTTTACGAACCCGTTTTGTTGTTCCGGTGTCCAGGTTTTCCCCTTTGTCCCAAAAGGGGTCCAGTTTGCGCAGTGGAAACCCACGCGGGATGGGTCCGATCTGTAGCAAACGTCTGTAGCACCCAGCAGCACCTTGGCCAGGAAGGGAGGATGCCAACGACTGGCAGAAGCGCATCAGACGCCTTCGCCTCGCGAACCGAGCGTTCCGTCTTTGCCTTTCCCAGTGCTTCCAGGCAACTATAGGTACCCAGGGGAAGTCATGTAAAATGATGAGGTAGCTATACCGAAGGGTTACCTATAGTGGTAACTGGCAAAAGGATACCATTGCCATTGGGAATGTTTTGAGCCCTCCCTCACAGGTTGGTCGAACCTTCGCCAGATGTGTAACACTGTCAGAGGGGCGAGAACATTGTCGTTGTCGGGAAGCATTTTACATTTTTGCTTATTGTGGTTTAGTGGGAAATCCCCACTTAACAGCTAAAATTTGAATGTTTGCTCCCCTTCCAACGTCAACCAAGAGAAGGGGTACGAATTGTCCAGACTCGCAAAGTGTCCCATGTCCTCGGGAAACAAAAATAGTTTTTTACCCCCGTCGGCGATGCAAGCTGAATAGTTGCTTCTCTTCGAGCGCAGCGACGGGGCAACGAGCTAAGGATGTAGGTCCCTTGCAAAAGGAGAACGCGGGAGATGGATGCGCCTGAAGCTTCACTTCCTCGGATTCCATGGAGGATCGTTCTAAGATTGAATTGGCTTGAAAACTTTTTCTGAAAAGCTCTAAGAAGCTGGGTCTCCTCAGACAAGAAAACAGAAGTATGCATATTGAAGGTTGTCTAAATACGGAACGGACCTGAAGTTTGGCTTGGAAGTCTAGACGGCGGGCTATCAGCAGAAAGGACTTGGACGCTGAGGTCGCCCAGAGAGGTTCTTGTTTGCACGGTAAATTTGGGTGAGACGCAATCTAAAAATGGGTTTTCAGGTTTTCAGGGGATAAACACAATTTGGAGGGGTCATCCTAGGATGCACACATATCCGAGCCCGTCATAGAGGTCTCATGAGAGTTGGGCCAAGATCCCCTAGAGATACAGCCCATTTGTTCAACCCCTTTTCCCGGTTCACTGGAAATGGGTGTATGGGTGTGTCTATTTTTAGGGGACCCCTAAAATGCCTCAACGGTTGTGTCCTTTTGGTTTCCCTTTAGAGCCAAGCGAAACGGGGGGTCCAACTCCAAATGAGCCCAGGGAACCGAATCTCCGGAACCCCCTCTGAAAGCCGCCCCAAACCACCCCGAACGAGCCGATCTGGGCCTATTGACCCCATAGCTTCCAGCTGTTGGGGAAAAAAACACTTATAAGCCAGAACCTGACGTTCGCTTGGGGATCCTCGTTTAAGGGGCTATTTCCCAAACGTCAGGCCCCGGCTGGTTTTTTTTGGTGGGAGGGTACGGCAGACCCACATAATCAACCCCCCAAAAAGGGTACCAATTCTCTGTTGGATCTTTAGACTTTAACCTTTTGGGTTCCCCTCACACTTCCTTTTAACCAGCAAAGGTTAAACTTTTTGCATGGGGGATCAGCACCCAAAAATTATCCACAAGACACGGACCCAAATCAGCGCCCCCAGCTCCCTCCTGTTCGATTCGGAAAGCTGAGGCTTGGGGCGTTGGAGTCGGCCCTACAACAGCCCCCGCGCCGCCTCGCTGGAGCCCTAAAGCGCCTGGAAGGCGTTTTCAGCCCGCCGGTCAACTTGACTTGACGGCTAGTTGGCTGCATCTTTAACCTTGAGCTTGTTGGGAAAATCTGTGTGCGTGGGTGTGCGTGTGTGTTTCCCACTAATTCACAGAAAATGGCACTTGTTTGGCACAGGAGCAATAGCCTCCCAGCTTAGTTCGCCTTGCGTTTGAATGTGGCGATGTGCATAATGTTCATTTTTGAGCCGAATTTGCACTTGGTGTTTAAGAGCATTTGCTGCTTGGCAGAAACTCCCTGTTTGGTTATCAACTTGCTATGTCATTTCTTCAACCTCTTAGATGGCCGGGCAGTTCTTCACGGACGCATGATGTTCAGGCCCTTCAACCCGCACACGGACTTCGACGTTCACGTGGAATTGCCAGCGCCTCATGCTTCGGCTTGCCATGCTTTGCACAAAGCCAATCCGTCAAAGACGAGCGTTTGAGCCCATAGGTGTCCTTTTAAGGTTAGGTTGTTCAGAAATAGATGGCACTGGGTCAGATTGGTTTTATTGCATGTGCAAGGGTTATCTATTTTTAGCCTTTCTGGGTGAATTATAACGACACGACCTCACCCCAAATGGTGATTTATGTGGGAACTAGCCCCCGAACCACTTTATTTCAGGCTGGTGAAATATGATAATTCACCCAGGCCTTTGGCTTCTCCGTTGATCAACGGTCCTTTGTGTGAGGGGAACACCGTTTAGCAGTTTAGCCTTTCCGTTAATCTCGTTATGTTTCCAGGTCTATGGTGAATTTGGGTGTCCCATCATCAATGCGTCCGCTGTTTCCAGGGCACCAGTCCCCTCAAAGACCCCCCCAGTTTAGGCCTTCTTTGGCCTTTGGTTGTCCCTAGGGCGAATTGAGCCAGTCCGGGATTGAGTCTCAGAAAACGGAGGGTAATTAATTCGGGTCCCTGAGTTATAGCGCTGAAGTTTGCATCTTTCTCCAGTCCATGGGTCCAGATTTGGCATTTGGCATGCAGGATGCACGTGCGAGTCTATGCGGTCTTGAGCCAGGAAGTGTGTTGACAAAGATCTTTGTCATGTGTCCTACGGAAAGGATCCGTGAGAGATGCCGTTGCACAATGGTTTTGGCTTTTGGTCTACCCTTCCCGGTGGCTCCGAACCTCCAGACTCAAGATGGCCAAACCGAAAGGGGCAGTTTGGAAACGCTTTCGGGTTTTTTGCTTATAGAATTGCTTAAGGATTTGCTGGTTTTTGGCTTAAGGATTTGCAGGTTTTTTGCTTAAGGATTTCCAGTTGTTGTTTTTGGGAAGGATGGGAAATTGCTATGGACTCGGGTTTTGACCCAATCTCTACCCGGAGCACTGCCTAGGCCTCCCAGCCAGTGGCAGAGATTTGAAGCCCGGGCCAGCTCCTCAAAGCCGAGTGGTGGAGGATGATCACCTCACACGACCGAGAGCAAACCCCAAATGGTGGTATAAAAGTGTGGGGAATAGCCCAGCCACCTGATTTCAGGCTGGTGAAATAGTATAATTCACCCAGATGATGAGGATGATGATGATGACGATGATGATGATGACGACGACGATGACGACGATGATGACGATGATGAGGATGATGACGATGATGACGTTGATGAAGTGACCCAACCTGCCTCAGGGTTAAGGGCCACAGACCGGTGTTTCCCTTGGTGGTGTGAAAGATCAGTTTTTGGGCTACTTACTCCGCCTGGATTATGTTTGTTGCGTGCCGCATGCTAATAAGTCGGGGGCATCTCAACAGATCGTGCAACCGCAGGCCACTTCAAAGTGAGCTTCCTTTGGGGGGAAGGTCAAAAGAAGGAATGTTGGAAGCCCTGGAAGCCCTGTTCCATTTGAGGCAGATCAAAACGTGCTGGTTCGCTAGGCATGGAATGAGAAATGAAATTACCCCGAGCCGAATCATCTATCTGGTGGTTTCCGATCGGATCCCTACATTCCCAAAACTCTTGAAAGTCCCTTCGAATCAGGAAGGACACCCGTGAACTGGTGTCTCTTTTTGGGACATCGATCACTTTACCTTGGGTGCATCAAAATTTTGTCCTCGGCTTCCCAGCCCAGTGGAACGGCGCTCGATGAGACTAGAGGTGAGCTGGCAAAGTCCTCCGAGAACTTGGGCCCGTTCCCTTTGCCTACTGCCCCACGGTCTCTTGGGGCGCCAAAAGATAGTTATGGAAGCTGATCAATGTCTTTGGTGGTGTCCTTTCTCGGACTCAAAACGCCAAAAGGATCCAAAAGAGCAACAGAGGGTCCTGTGCTGAGACACGAGGCTCAGTTGCGATGAGGGTAAACGGCAAAACAACATCTGAGCCTCGAACTGTTGGTCTTTGAGATGGGCAAAAGTCATTGCCCGGGTCAGCCCTTGGTGCGAGACATGATTTTCGGCCTATGGTCCCTTGAACTCGCCAAACAGAGTGCCCTTGGTTACACCAGTCACATTTTGGTCCAAAAAGGAGGCAACATGTGGCTTCTAATTTCAATCGGGAAAAGCCCTAAAATGGCTGGTGATGTAAATCCAACCATGTCTTTCTGCTATCGGTTTCCCTCCTTTCTCCCGCTTCAACCAGCAGCCAGTCAACTTGTTGGGCCCCACCCCCACCCCCACCCCCACCCGGAAACCCGTTTGCTCAGGTTGGTGTGGCGGACGAATCGGCACGCTGGCCCTCCCACTGCCGAGCAAGGCGCCGGCGGGAAGGGCTTCGGATCGATGTTCTACCTGCGGTTCCTTCCATTTGACTGTGGGTCAAAAACAAGGACTAAAACCTGCGGTCCCCTGGTGGACGAGTTTTGACCCATACCCATTTGTTTAAGAATATATACATATATATATATATATATATATATTTCCCATGTTGGTTTTGGAAGGAAGGGATCACTACTGGAAATAATTTCTCATTTTTCCCAGGGAGCTTACACAAATGGATGGGTTCCTGCTCTTCTCTACCGCTTGGACGTGGCGAATCTTGTCCTATCCCCCCTGTAGGATATTAAAAGAACCTACAGGGGGGACGAACCGTTGAAATCCACGAGCAAGCGCTTCCAAAGCGTTGTCGAGATCTTTTGGAGGGCGGTTCCCTTTCTACCAAAAATATGGTTCTCATAGGTGGGTTCTTCAAAATCTAGCCTTGATCTTTTTGGCAGATGGAAGTGTTGTCCCTTCTTGTGGCATTCCACAGCTATCAGGATTAGTTTGAAGAACCCAACCATCTTTCCAGTCTTTCAAGGTATCATTTGGACCATTTGGACCGACTTCAGGCGTGCCTTTTTGGGAAGACACATCGAAGGTCAAATGAAGTACCGTCAAAATTACTTCTGTTGAGTTTAGTATTCGGCGTGTCATTGATATTGTGAAAATGCGCAAAACCATGGCTAACAAAAAGGGACTCTCAAAAGAACGATACCCCTCAAAACTGATGGAAGCGCCGCAGAACGATAGGGGACTCTCAAACAAAGAAGCGAAACGGCCGCAAGTAAGTAATTTTGACCGTGCCTCAAATGGAAGCCGACAATTTGTAGGGGTTCCCGGAATGTTGGGTGTTTCTTGGCAGTCATTTGAAGAAGCGGGAGGAGCTCCGAATTTTGAGACCCATTAAATTAACAATCTTCCAAAAGCAGGATTGCTTGAAGCCTTCAAAGGATGATCAAAACAGGGCGGAATCCCAGGAACCAAATGTGAACCTGGGTCTTGTAGCAACCTGGAACGGGGGGGTGGCAGGGAGCGGCTTGGGACGCCAAGCTGCCACATCGCGTCGTTGCCCGCGGTCCCTCATTGCAGGTTTCAGCTAATCGACGAGGACCTGGGGTGGAGTAGGGTGCGGCCAAAACGGGGCCTGCGAGAATCAGAAATATGTTCCTGCTATTCCCCATGTAGATGATCCTTGCTTTTATAAGTTCCAAAGCTTGGGATAAAAATATGTCAAGCATAGATCAGCGAGCAGGCGCAGCAAGACTGTTTCACCTGGCGGCAAATCACCATATGGATCACCAGGCCTTGTGCCAAGCAGCGGCAGTATTTGATTGCTTGTGATTCCTGTGTGTAAGCACACAGCAAAACAGGGGAGGTTGCGGCCCCCGTCCTTGACTCCGCAAGAGGCTGGCCAAGCGAGGGGCTTTCTGAAAGGAAACCGAAAACTGGCGCTCTCTATTTTGGGCATGCCCATTTGCTGCTTTGGGCTTGCAAGCATGCCAGAAAAGAAAACCTTCGGACATATCCTTGCTCCTCCAGTTTCTGGACTTTGGCACCTCTTGGCAAGTTGGGGAAGACCATTCTGTGGGAGCCCAAAGTCTAGCTGCTTGCCTTTTCCGCTCAGGAGATGAGAATCACACCCATTTCTCCCAAGATGAACCCCCCAACAAGGGGACGCATGCTGGTGAGAAGGTGATACTTCTCCGGTACTGATTGGATGAAGACAGGGTACAAAGAAGAAGCTTGTTCATGTGAGGAGTCTCCAAAAGTTGTAATCGTTTGTTTGTACTGCCCTTAGGTTCACCGGGAACCCCCAAGAAAAAGCATGAAACACACCTCAGTTCTACTCTCCACTCATTCGTTTGACGATGTATGTTGAACTGCTGTAGAACTTGTCACTTAACCCATGTTTTGTCGTAAACGGTAATATTGGCTCAGTTGACAACCCAGGCGAATCAAACCAATGTGACCAAACTCGTGCCCAAACTTGGGCCATCAGTTTTGGCTATGGCCGCAAGAGGTCATCGCTGTTCGTTTCCAGGTCCTGTGGGAAAAGCAGGTGAGTTGGCTAGCTTTAGCGAAAGTAGCCGAAGCCAAACCTGGCGAAGAAAAGCCTTAACAGTCACATTCAATCCTCAAACCAACCAACAAACCACCACCCTTAACAAAAACAGCAAACCCAACAACTGCAAAACCAGCCCAAGCTTGGCGAAGAAAACGTCCTCCACCGACCCTAAGCCTGCAAGAAGTCATACCAAATCCCTCCCCGATTCAGCAAACAACATCCCCAAGAGAAAGAACATGGCAGCCCAAGCCCCGCCCTGTCACTGACTCAAGTTCTATCCAGCCAGAACCCTGCCCTGAAGCAAACGCAAGCAGTCTGGCACACTGAATTCCCAAACACAAATCCAGCCTAAACAAGCCCGAACCATATCATGTTTTGTAGTGACAAAGCCACCTTCTGTGAGGCGCCGAGCTGTGCCCGTGCCAGTAGTAGGCCCAAAACCCCACACACACACACACCCTGTTTTGGTTTGGAAGAGGCTCTTTCTGTGTCGTTGGGGGAGTTTCTTGAGCGAGCTTTTGTATTTTGTTTGCGTGTTCTTTGGGAACCTTCACTTTCCTTCCTCCTTCCTTTGGCTTTTAGCTGGGTTGTTCTTTTGCTCAAAAACCTCCCCCCCAGGTTTGTGGTTTAGCGGCGCGTCGCAGAGGATGCCCAGACCTTGCTTTGGGAGTCCTCCGAGACCTTGGAGCGCGGCCGTCCCGTTTTCGGTTTTAGCGACCGGATCCGGAGCCCGGATCGCGAGGTGCCCGGCGGTTTTGGTTTTAGGACCTGTGAGGACTGACCAGTGGTGCCCCTTTTCCTTCTTGTGTTTGGGTAAGGGTTCCCCTCTAAATTCAACCAACAAAGAAAGGGTGACTGGGCATGTGAGTGAAGGGGAGGTCCCGACCGGCTTTTCAATACTGGCCCGGTCCAAAGACATCAGTGTGGTAGAGCATGAGCCGGATATGCTAAAGGAATGCTGAGCTCTCTAGGATTTCCTTGGAAGCCCTGGCGAATTTGAGGATGTGATTTTGATGGGCCCGGTTTGGGGGCAATTTTTGGCCCAGTGGGTTGTTGGGCTTCAACAACTTTCTTCTTGTGCGGTGGGTTGGGGTTCCTTTTTGCTTTGCCAGTGATTTTCAGCCCTTAATGACATTTGCTTATTTGTTCTTTCTTGCTTTCTTCTTTTTCTTGCATTTTTTTGGGGAGAGAGGGAGAATGGGTCCCTTCAAAATCAACCTCCCTTCAATCCAGCCGTTTTGAAAAGGGGTCAACGTTGCCTTTTCAATCAAATGCCCTTTTTCATTTAAGAGAAGCTACTGGGCAAGCAGGCTGAAAAGTCGCTTCTCATCGGATGATGTTTCAAGCCACAAGAAAAGGACATGCAGGGAAGCGTGCAATGCAATGGGAAGCCCATGGCAGCACCGGGCGCTCACTCGGGGAAAACATGTTGAACAAAAATGACCACATGGACTGCAACATCTTTGGCCAGTGGACAGCCCCCAGCGGTTGAGCTGGCGATTGAGGTGGGGAGTCATTTCGATTCAGTTTGGACTATTTGGCGTGTCCGATGGCATGCATGCGGCGAAAGGAATCGCGAAAAAGAAGGCACCGCACGCCACGTGGAGAGCGAATTCCCGGATGGCAGGCCCTGGGCACCCCCGGAGCTGTGCCGCTAGCTCGGCTGCTTCCAGGCGTTTCGCCACTATAGGAGGCAACCGGGGATATAATACCAAGTAGGGCCTTGTCCCGATCCATAGGGAGCCTATAAGATTCTGGGGTTAATATGGATGTAAAACCAAGAGGTAAAAGTACTTGGTTACCTAAACCATCGATGTAAACGCAGGGAAACCATCGAAGGAAACCTACTATACCCGCCCACTTGTACAGGAAGCTCCTGTTGGGAGTCGGAGTCCCGTTTTAGGTTCCATGTTCGCAGGGGAGTATCTCAGGAGAAACCAAAGTTGGGGGGGGGGAGTATTTCCAGGGAAGAGAAGAGATCCTTTTGCTTGCGACAGAACTCCGACCCTTTGCTTTTCCCCTATATGTTGGCCTCTCCGAGGCCTACTGCGGGCTAATGAGGTTCCTTAAAGGGGCTTTTGTTCGGCAGGGATTCCACTCTTTTGCGGGGAAGGGGCCTGACGCCCAGGGCTGCTCGCGGGATCACAGTTGCTTTCGTTTTGAGGTCGCTTGGATGAGATGATGTCACGTAATACCTGGACCGGTGAGCCTTGCATGACTCCGAAGCAACATCGCAGGGGGAACTCACTGAATGTCTTTCTTTGGTGGGTGTTCGGGTGTCGCAAATCGCAAAAGCCTTTGAGCCGTAACTGACAGTTTCCTCACATGCGAACGGTTTTTTGAGTCAGTTGCAAGTGGAGCTGTCTTTATCAGCCATGTTCTCAGCCTTTGTGAGGTTCCGTGCCGCTACATGGCCCTCCAGAGGCCGCTCCTTCCCAAGAGTCACCGATTGCGTTCAGTGAAAAATTCTGCGGGAGAGTGTTGGGGAAATTAGTTGTTCTTCAACTCTGGGACGTGTTGGGGGAATGGGTTGTTTGAACTTCCCTGCTATTGGGTTGTATCTTTAGACTTTAACTTTTTTGGAAATCAAGGGGTTTTCCACTAAACCCCCAACAAGTTAGACTTTTTGCCGGGGGTCAACAGTGTTTTGCAAAGCTGTGGATGAACGAAATCCTGCACCTGGAATGTTGCCAACAAACAATGGTTTCCCATTGGTGCAGGATTTCGTTCATCTACAGTAGGGATGGTAATCAACTAAGGAATTGGTCCAATCATTTGTAAGGGTTTTTGAGGGAGCTATGCCTGTGACCCACAGGAAGAAACGACTGGATCCCCAGGGATTGCCAAACCGTTTGCCCGCAAATGCTCGACGCAAAAAAAAAGAAACAACGCTGACCTAGCAGGCGAGGCAACGTCACCTATGTCTGAGAGTTCAGGCCTCAGTGGCGGATCCGCCCAAGTGAGTTGGCTGAAGCTATATATTTTGATTAGATTAGATGGGTGTGTGTGTTTGTATGTCTCCAGTACGCCCAAAATGGCGGGTTCCTTCCTTTTTGGTGCGCCCTTGAGCCAAGGTACAAATTGGTACCCTCGAAAAACACACTCAGATGGTGCTACTGCAGGGCAGCCCCACCAGCTTGGCTTGGCAGTCTCTTCGAATTTGGGGCTGTTCGTTGACACAGTATGTAACTCAATGATTTGCAGAAGCAAACCACATGTGTTGACAGCATAAGGAAGATCGAATGCCCTCCCCGAAACGAGCCGAGCTGCATGAAGTCCACGAGCGATATCGCATGAACTTTTCTTCTGCAGGACTCACCGGTCGTTTTTGCTCATTTTGCTGCGCGATAGAATCAGGGCCGTTGGAGACCTCATCCCAAACCTAGAGCGATGAGGTGCAGTGCAACGCACCACCCGATGGCGCACTCTGGATCGAGCGCTGCCGCCATGGTTTAGACTGGGTGTGAGTCTATCTCTTGCATTTTGCCGCCTGTTTTCTATGGGGGACAAGAAGTCACTGAGAAGACATGCAGGGAGCCTCCCAAGGTTTCATACTTTCGTTGTCAGCGGAAGGTTGGTAAGCAATGATTCATTGTCGAAGGAATTTTAGAAGGAATTTCCGTGTCGGACACTTATTGAGGTGCGAAGAACGAACGCATGCGAGAAAACCCGGCGGGCTAAGAGTCACCTCGCCTGTCTGAGGACGGTCGTGGAATGGTGGGAGCATTTGCACAGACGCGCGCGCGCAGCACTTGGGCAACCTGAGGTACGGATGTAAACAAAAACTCCTGCAGAATCCACCTTGACTACTTTCTCAAGCGGTTGGTGCGATCAGCGCTCTTCCTATTGGTATGGTGTTGATGATGTTGATGTTCTAGTTAGTGCTGTTGATGATGAGGATGATCACGATGCTGATGATGATGATGATGATCATGATGCAGGTGCTGATGCTGGTGCTGATGCTGATGCTGATGCTGATGCTGATGCTGCTGCTGCTGCTGCTGCTGATGATGATGATGATGATGATGATGATGATGATGATCATGATGATGATGATGATGTGTTGGTTTTTTTAGAAGCATGTGTGTTGTCAATATCTCCAATTTCATGTCAAGTGTGCTCTTGCAGGACATCTCATTCGCAGAGGCTATTCTGATGCTGCCCTTCCTGGCGTTCTAGTCCTTTTGTTTCCATGTGGCTCAAGCCATGATTACTAGATGCTGCTTGGTTCCCCGAGCGCGTTTCAGCTTGCGGTTACACTATCCCAACTGCCCAATCAAATCGTGTTCATCCGGGCAGTTCTTGGCTTTTGCTCTAGATCATGATGGGTGCCGGCAATGCCTTACTGCTGAACCCTAGCTGGAGTTTGTGTCTTGAGCCGGTGTGTTGCCTTGAGCCGCAGATGGATCCGGGGGGGGTTCGGGTTTCGGCCAGGCCAGTGGTCACCTGCCGAAGGCGCCCCAAGGTGGGAGCCCCCAACCCCCCCCCTGCCCGGCCTCAAACACTGGTTTCGATGTTCCTTTGCCAGGGCTCCTTAGGAGATACATTTTGCCATTTTGAAACATGTTGCTTTTTCCACCAAAACAAAGGGAAACCACAATTTACAAGGCAATACTCAGGTGTAGAAAGTAAGGACGTCCAGGCAAGAAGCTATAGGTAACCAGTGAAAACCATGGCAAACCAAGAGGGAAGAATACTTGGTTACGTACTATAGTGGTATCTGGAAGCGCTGGGTGAGGTTTTTTGAGGTATTTGATTTCAGCTCAGTGGATCCTAGCTACCATGAAAGTACTGCACAATTGGGCAGCGCCAAAAACCCTTATGAAAGGAGTTAATTGAGGGCCTCTCCTAACGAAGCCTCGCGAAAGCTCAAGCGCAGGAAGTGCATGCTTGCAGTTTCTGTGTTGTCCGCGAAAGCTCTGCGAAAGTGATCATTACAAAACACATGCCCGCGAAAGTGAAACGTGTAGCCGCGAAAGCATCGCGAAAGGTTGCGCGAAAGCGGTTTGTTAGTAGAGGGTTTTGTGTACCCTATTTTCGGCACCACTCAATTGGCGAGCTCACCGATTTGGGGGGGCCGGGAGGGGGGGGGTTGAAACGAGCGAAAACCCACGATGTAGGTTCTTTACTTGAAGTTATCTGTTTTATATGTTGAAATTATCGTTTAAAGTTAGGTTGCCTTAGTTCCCCGTCATACAGGTACCCACTTTTCCAAAACCCGGGTACGGATAGTAAGTGATAGTCCCAACCAGACATGCGTTGCCCTTCGTGTTATTTGCATTGGCGTAGACGTAGACCGTTTTAGTACTAGGTTTCGATTGTGACTCCACGAGGATCCCTGAGCTTGGGTTTGGTGAAAAATGATACTTCACCCAGAATTTGGGGAAGCTCCTCATTGTTTTGTTTGCCGTCGCTTCTGGACATTACCCTCTTTCCAAAATGGAAGCTGACAATCGGAAGCTACTGGAAGACGGAAGCTTTCCTTGGCGGGTCTCGCGTGCGGGCGTTGAGAAATGAAATCCACTTCCTTGCTGGCCCTGCTTTGCGTGGAAGGACTCGGTTTCACAAGCGTCCACCGTTCAACCCCCCCTATGTTTTTGGGCCAAAGAAGGCCCTAGTAGCACTCCTCCCAGGCATCCCTCTTCCTTCAAAGGGTCAAAACCCCAAGCGCTGGCTTGGTTTGACCCAGGTTTCCTTTGGGAGAAACCGCTTTTGAGCATGGCATGTCCAATGCCCGGAGCCCTGTGAGTCGCCACAAGTCCTTGCTCGTTTTTGACGGCATCTTTTAAATGAAGCATGTTGGCCATTTTGCACTAGCTTTCTCCACCGGAGCAAGAGGAAGCCACTTTTTGTTGTGGTTGGGTTGGGGGGGGGATGGGGGTAATGCTCAGGTGGATAATACCAAGAATCTTTGTGTTCCTCATGAAAAAGGCACGCAAGCAAGTCATCGACAGGCCGTGGTGCTTCCTTGGGATGAGCTCTTGGCCGGCGAGCTACTGCTGGAGGCCTTCGGGCGGAGTGCATTGGTCTGGGGCCAGCACTTCGCTCCAGGCAGTCAACTAATCGGGACATATTGGGACCAATTCCTTTTTTTCTCATGGGTTCCAAAGGTGGCAGGTCACCTTTCTTCCCTGACCTGCTGGTTTCACGCTTTTGGTCTGCAGGTGATATCACGGCTTCGGTGTCGCGATGCTGCGCGTCTGCTTGCATCGTGCCGCGTCACCTTGGCATCACAGCAGCCAGCCTGGACGCCTCAGAGAATGTTCCGGTAAAGCTGGGTGTGGTCTTTTCTTCCATTTGCTGAAATGAATATGTTCTATATTATCCTGTTGGTTTTAAAGGGAATCCATCACTACTGGAAACATGTTCATTTTGCTTTTTTGGGGACTTCAGCAAATGGAGGTTTTATTCTCACGGGTGACTACTCTGAGGGGAGGGGAAGTCGAAAGCTTCGGTCTGTTGGCTCTGAGGTGCTTCTTGATTGATGTTTGGAGTAGGGGAAGTAGGCGAAAAAGTCTCATGGTTCTGAGGTGCTTCTTGATGGTTTGGAGTTTGCAAATCGCCCGCGTGCTATTGTCAGGCCTGGCACATCGTCTTTGCCCACTGCTTCCGGCAGGAGGGATTTCTTTAGCCGAGTGCTGTACAATCGAATGCGTGGTACGCCTCGTTAGGCGTACATGCGGTACTACTTTGGGCCTCTGAGTAAGTGCGGCACCCAAAGCGAGAGGCTGGTCAAAATGGGATGCACCTCTCTTGTAATGGCAGGTTTCCTTCATTATGAATGCCTGTACCCCCTTTCCCTACCCCCCCCCCTTTAAGGTAGTTGGGTCCTATCCCTAGGGCGGTTAGGAAGTGGAAGTATCAGCATATTCCCTAATACTTCTTAATCTGAACCTAAGAGACCCCTTGATTTTGATCGGAGATTCGAGCTGCGTTACTTTGCTGCGTCTCCCTAACCTAGGGAAATCATCAGAGATTCGAATTGCTTTTTCTGACAGTGCTGCGTCCCCTAAGCTTTCCGCAAACATGCTTCCCCAAGGTTTCCTAAGGCTTCCCTGGGGCTTTGTCTAGGGCTTGCCTAGGGCTTCTCTAAGGTTTCCAGCTTCCCTAACGCTTCCCTAAGGCTTCCCTAAGGCTTCCCTAGGCTTCTCTAAGGCTTCCTTAAGGCTTCCCAAAGACTTCTTAAGGGTCCCTTCCCAACCCAATTTGCAGGTTTGGGCGGCATTTCTTGTCCAATCAGCTTTTCACGGTTCCCCGAGAGGCTCCCTAGTGTTCCCGCCATGCGCGGGGAGAGTGTCAGGCCAAACTTCCCCAAGGCTTCCGCAAGGCTTCCGCAAGGCTTCCTAAGCGGGGGGGGGGATAAGACGGGGGGGGGGGGTACGGGCTCCATAACTTGAGAGTTTCTTGGATCCCCCACCCATCCCCCCCCCAACAAAAAACGTAGCTAAGAAAATAGGAAAAAGACATGAAAACAGACTGTCCGGCTCGAGCCCAGGCAGCCCACGGGGACAGGCATCCAGTGGGTTGGAGGCTGGTGCGGGTGAATCAGTCAGGTGGATTGATAGCGGGGGTTCCGCTCCTGTCCACGTTGACATGGAACCTGACTGAGGGGACCTGGAAGACCATTTTCCTCTCTCAAAGGGACGCTTTGGTGGTTGTTCCCATGTTGGTGGACAGGAGGGTACCAAGAAAACATTACACCAGCGTAAACCCCAAATAGCAGCGCTTGCACACCAGCACCTCCAAAAGCACCCCGCCAAAGAACGCTCCAAGCAAAACCCGGCTGTCAATCTTGCGAGAATCAACCAGCACCCCAAACAGAATCCCAAACCACCACCTAAGCTGCATGCCTCCCTTGCACCCCTACCGTCAAGATGCAAGCATGCGCCTGCACCGTCACCTGCATGCCCGATAGCACCCGAGCGTCAATATCGCAAAAATGCGCCCGCACCGCAAACAGCTCCCCACAAACTGCGTCGTATAATTCCATCAACACCAACACCCCAAACTGCATTCCCCCCTGCGTCCCACCGTCCAGACGCAAAGATACGCGCCCAAAACAGCACCTGCACAAGCACCCCAAACTGCATGCCGCCTAGCACCCTAAAGATGCACGCGCGCTGCCATCAGCACCTCAATCAACACCCCTAATCAGCGCCTACACCAGCACCCCAAGCTGCACGCCCCCTAGCACCAGCCCATCAATCTCGCAAATAACTTTCCCCTTTTTATTGGAAGTTAGAACCCCTAATTATAGCTTCAGCTATCTGGGGAAAGACAGGAAAGGGGGTGATTGAGTGTGTTTCCCCAAACAGTTGTGATTTGAATGGGACGCCCCCTATCAATCAACCAGGGCTGTAATAGTCCTGGGTCATTCTTTCCATGAAAGATGCCTCACAAGAAAACCATTGGGTGTCCATCAATACAGAAAAATCCTAGGGGGCGTGTACTTCCATGAGTGAAGAAGACTTTGGACGGTTGTCTCGAACACTGACCGCTTGGCAGATACCAGCTCCGCCTATGTCGGTCAGGTTCTGAGAAGGATAAATCCAGAGCTGCTGTGCATCTCATCTTGTCCGGCCTCGCAAGGAAATCAGAACACAGGGCAAATGTACGCATCATTGATGGTGAAAGAATCCTTCGGGCACACCTTGCGCAAGACATTGCCATCTACTTGGCGACAGGCATGTGTATTCCTTTCATCCAAGCTAGTTCGACCCTCCAAAAGCTGTGCTTTTCAGCTCCTTTCAAAGTGGTTCATGTTTTTTTTGTCCACTTTCCATGGTCTACGTGAGGTGTGGCTTCAGGAATGACAAGGCCCGGTTCCCAGTCGCGCTCAAAACGGCCCAAGCTCAGCGAGAAAAGCGAAGCGGCGAGGTTTCGACCACGGCTGCACACACGGCCTGGCGCCCAGAGCGTCTGCGGTTGCTGTTCCCTTTCCCAGTGCTTCCGATTGGCGTTTCGATTGCCAGTATGGTAACCAGACACCTGTAAAACTGCAAAGCCAAGAGGAAACACTAATTACTTGGTTTCCCACTAGAATTGGCAACTAGAAGGACTGGGTTTGATAAATTTGGCTAAAAAATAAAAATCAACCTCAAGGGTGTCCTTTTTCTACAAGGGTCATTGAAGAACTGGGATGGTTTGCTCCAAAAGTCCTTCACTCCAGGATTGGTCCGGAGCGCCGCGCCACGCCACTGTCAGGCGTCGGAAAAGAGTGGGGCATCGGAAAAGAGTCAGCGGCAAATCCGGGGGATTTGGTTTTTTTTGCATCCCAAACCTCTGGAGGCATGCGCAGTGGCCGGCAACCAATTCAGAGGGGGGTCCTGTTGACATGTGGGGAAATGCAGTTGGACCCCTTCCAAAGGTTTGTACCTTAAGCCGCGTCCGCAAGGGGGTCGAAGGCAGACCCCGGCAGAATCATTGAAGCACTTCTGCTGAAGGCCGCAGCTCGCAAAACCTGTCCACCTCGTGGACAGGCCGTCCTGGGCCGAGTGCGTGAAACCTCAACAACTCAAATCATCTTGGTGGTGCTCAGCGGGGAATGAGGCAATGCCCCTTATAAACTATCCAACTGGTTTCCTCTACCAGGTCCCCCAGTAGTGCCCTTCTTACCCTTTTTTGGGGGGACCCCAACTAAAATAGATTACACCAGCATAGACCCCAGACAGCAATGATTGCACACCAGCACCTCCAACAGCACCCCCCGAAGAGTCCCAAACAGCACCCGGCCGTCAATCGAGCACCCGTGCCATCACCAGTACCTCCAACAGCACCCCAAACAGCATCCCAAAACAGCACCTGCAGCAGCACCCCAAACTGCATGCCCCCTGCACCCTGCCGTCAATCTCGCAAAAATGCGCCTGCACCGTCACCCTAAGAGCACCCCAAACAGCCCCAAACACCCAGCTGCACCCCAAACAGCATCCCAAAACGCCACCTGCACCAGCACCCCAAGCTGCATGCCCCCTTGCACCCTACCATCAAGATGCAAAAACACCGTCACCCCCAAAACAGCACCTGCACCAGCACCCCCAAACTGCATGCCCCCTAGCACCCTACCGTCAATCTTGAAAAGATGCGCCCGCACTGCCATCAGCACCTCAAACAGCACCCCAATCCGCAAAAACCAGCACCCCAAATTGCACGCCCCTTAGCACCAGCCCATCAATCTCGCAAATCACTTCCCCGCTCTTTATTAGAAGTTAGAACCCCTATGGCTTTCTGGGGAACTACAGAGAAAAGTTGGTACCCTTATTCTAACCTCTCATCTGGAGGACCTAGTCTAATTCAGGGATTCATTCAGCCATCTTCCCTACCAAGGCGTTGCCGGGGCTCTGCTGCCTCACTGGGCCACGGAGGCCTTCGACTGGCGCCAGATTTGCAAAAGGCCGGGTGGTCAGATCGCATTGCTCGGCCCCAGACACCTACGGTGGATGGTTGCGAAATCCATTTCGCACCACTTTGAAACCATGAGAACCATTGTCCGTTGGTATTTACAGGCCAATCATCATTCCAGAGTTTCTGAAAGGTGGTGCTGGATTTCGCCCATCCACTGTAGTACTGCCTGTTTTTGACAACTTGTGTTGGGAGAGGGGGGGGGGTAAGCGTTCGACTCCTTTCTAAAATCCACCTCCAGAAAAAAGTGCCGCTGTTTTCTCTTCGTGGCCATCGGGGAGGGCCGGATGGAAAGTTGCATGCATGGCAGGTTCTACCTGGCACAGCTGCTGTGTGCGAACGTGAACTTTCAGCTTTTCAACTGCAGCACCCCGCAGGGATTCGCCGCGGACTTACGGTTGTTTTTCGGAGGCCGAAAGGTGTCCATCTTTGGAGTGTTATGGGTTCGCGGCTTGGGATGTTCTTTGCCTCGAGGTGAAAGATTCCGGCGAGACGCTTCACGTGGCCCGCGCGGGGCGCTCAAAATGTAGCATGGTGCCGTGCACTATGGTTGCGCCATGGCTGCTTCAAAGGGACAAACGAAGAAGAAGCTGTTTCAGTAGCGGTGTTGCGTGGGTGTTTTGCATTTGGTTCCGTCAATTTGGCGTGTAGATGGGGCACCGGGTTCACCTTAGGCTTCCCAGGGCCACGCGAACTTCCGTTTCGGCTGGCCAGAAGCTGAGAGATTTCTCCATTGGGGAGACCCCCGAGAAAAGTCGAGGGCGTTGTGTGCCTGTTGTTCGGAAACAAAAAAAATCATTGACGCAGTCCAAGGTGATTGCCTTGGTGCAGGATCAACTGAGAATTCCGGGACTTTACTTTCCGAAGTCCTTAGGAATCTTCCCTTGGCGGCGGTTCACTTCCACTCACAGCCCACGGCTGTAGCGCTGGCCTCAGTGTCCGGTCAACCCAAAAAGTGGTTTTCCCTCTTTGGTTCACCAAGCCCTGATCCATCGCGATTGGGGTTTCCCGTTGAGAGGGAGTCCGGATCATTTGGGGAGTTGCAGCCGCCTTGTGATCCGCCAAGTCAAAGAATCTGGGGTCAGGTGAGCCTGAAGCAAAGCCTACGCCCATAGAGGGACCTTCCATAAATGGCCGGTCAAACAAATCAGATAATCTTTCTCTAAACCCACGTACCCTAGTAATCTCTTCCCCCTATTAATAAATACGAGTCCCCCCCTTCCCCCCCAATTATTAAAAACTCCTCCCCACATTTTTTGTTTTTTAAAATTGGGGTTTCGGAATTGTGTTGTTTTTTTGTCCGCTTTTCTATCAATGTGAGGGTATACGGATTTCTTATGTATCATTATATTTGTTTTTTCAGTTTACTGGTTGTTTGTTTCCAGCCAGGCAGGTTAATTAATTAGCCAGCATGTACGGGAGAGAGACAGTCGCAGCTAGACAGCTTTTGGGGACATGTTTTCTTTTGGAGAAGCAACCTTTTAGGGAATTCATCTTTTGAGGAACCCACCTTTTTAAAAGTGGGGCTGGAAGCTTGTTAAAAGTGCCCCCTAATAAGGATTCCAAGACTTTAGTATTGGTTTAGTATTGGCGCAATGGAAAGTCAATTGTGCGGAGTGGAAATCTGGTCCCGGGCCCCGGATTTCCATTTTTTATAAATTGGGGTCATTCATTAATAGGGGGAAGAGATTAGGCAACTACCCAGTTTCCTCTTGGTGTTTACTTGGTTGTTGTTGGGAAACATTTTGCATTTTTGCTTATTGTGGTTTAGTGGTTCAAATCCCCACTTAACTGCCAAAATGTCAATGTTTGCTTCCCTTCCAACGTCAATCAAGTTCACAGAGCGGTTCCGCGGGGAAATGGAACCGCCGTGTTTGCTTGTCGGCTCCTAGGTGGCGCACCACCGCTCACCCTTGGGTGTGGCAGGCCACCGGGGATCGTCTCGCCGCCCGCCCTAAACCCCACCGTCACCAGTAAGTTATAAGGGGGGGATGGGAGAGGAGGGGAGGGGATGGGAGGAGAGGAGGGGATGGGAGAGGAGGGGACGGGATGGGAAGGTGAGAGGAGAGGGCATGGATCTTGTCCGCCATAACTGCTCGGCAGGAGTGCCTCCCAGCGTGGCGACCGTCCGTGGCACCGCAGGCCGCTTCCGGAGGTTCACAAGGTGAAACCGGGGGTTGATCGATTCCCCGAAAGGATATTCCAAATTCCTCGATGTCCATGTCAATCTGCCGGAGTATGTCTGGAAAGAGTATTTCCCACACACACATCAACATCAAATATTTCTCTGTGCAATGAAACAAGCATCCTGGCAGGTTTCCCATCTACACCACGGTTTGTGTCTGGCACAATTTCCGCTTGGTGGTTCCCAGCTATTCCGGTTCCTTGTTTTGTTTAGCTTTTTAGCTTTTTACTTGGTTCAGTGGCTAGGGTTTCCATTTAACCCACGAAAAGTTAGTCGCTGTTAGCAGGGGATCTGAAAGCGGACAGCCCATTTCATTATCTGCTCGCCCCTAATTGAGCCAGATCAAAACCTGGGTAGATGAAGGTTAGTAAGGGACGATCCTAACCATAATTAGCTGCGGATATCCGCCTTCTTAATTCTTTATATGGTTCTGGGATTACAACCATTTACTACCGGGTTTTGATTATGACTCATTTGTTCATGGGGGGTGTTCTCGTGCCAACGCTCACTCAGGCCCGGAGCCAATGGCATGGACGCCAGTTGTCTCGGAGAAGGCGAGCGATGAGAAGCTGTTGTTTTGAAGCCCGAATTTTGGGTGTCTGCCTCTTATTTGCGGTTTTAACGGGATACCAAGAGGAAAAGCTTGTCTTAATGGCACAATAAATATCAAAAGGAACTACACGTCTTAGTGGAACAATACATATCTGCACGGAACACTGCCAAAAGAGCGGAAAAAGAACAACCAGTGAAGGCATCCTGACTAGTTGCTAGGCCCCTTTTGTTGAGGGTAATTGCCCTCCTACCAACAAACATGGAACATATCCCTGTAGAAAGACTACTGTCCTTTTGGAAAGGAGGGGTCTGCTCTTGCATGTTAGATTGAGGGTACCCTTTTTGGGGGGTGGGGTTGAAAAGAGGAAACCCGTTTCGGGCATTTTAGGCGGTTTTTTGTGACCGTGCAGGACTCCGCGGTGATTTTGCCCATGGCGCTACCTGGGCAGGACACGCGAGACGGGCGGAATTCGGCTGAAAGTTCCGTGGTGATCTGGGGACTTTCCAACTGCAATCACAATCTGCGAGTCAATTCTTGCTCCTAAAAGCATGTCTGCCCTGATCCTCCTGCCCCGAAGATCACAATCTGAGAGTCTGAGAGTCAATTTATTGCTCCTAAAATTTGAGTTCTGTTTGATCCTCTACCCTGCGATTTGGGGGATTGCCTGGGGAACTGTTCCCCACTCCTCAAGGGGAAGATTGAATTCATTGAAAAATTCGCGAGACGAACCGCGCAGGTAAAGCTGCAGTGGACGTTGGAGGCGGTATCCGCGTGGACCTTACTGACAGGCTGATGAATGTTGGCGACGCCAGGTGGATCCAGGAAGGTATTTGGTGGTGGTCACCGTGGGCGATCGGCATGTTGGTTTCGCAGCGCACTTGGAGGCCGATTCTGCGAATGCGAAGTCGCATGGAGGTGCTGAGTGCAGCGCATCTTGTTTTGCAGGTTGGAGGCTTCCCCATCTTCTCCGGCGAATGGGTTGAGGCTTGTATGCCGCATGCCGCCTGCCGCGGCGTTTTGGTGTGCCACATCGCAGGCCGGCAGTTTCAAGTCCCGGTGTCTCGTCTACGAGACGCGCTACGGTGCCATCACCGTCCCAGCCCGAGATGCCGACGAGCTGAATGGAGCCCCATCGGTGGGTCTTCAGGTTGGACAGCACACCTCCAAAGCATGGGCTTCAGGCAGGAGTAACGGCTGTGGCCAGTTGACGCTGATATCCGCAGGCTTGCACAGGGATGAGTACTGGCGCTCGCCTGAGCGACTGGAAATAGCTGAGTGTCCCAAAAGGTGAAACTGGGCAACTTGTATCCAGCTCAGCTGGGGGAAAAGCGAGCCCACCCATGACAGTCCTTTACGGAGGCCTATTTAGAGGTGTGTCTTTTCTCAGGGCCCTTACCATGAAAACACTTACCAAATGAGATGACGATGGATGGGGGATGAAAAGATGGCCAGTTCCCTTAATTTGGGAATTGGTGATATCTCGGGGCTGACTGGCAAGCAGGCTTTCCTCCTTTTCCTGATCGGAATGTTTAGTTTGCAGGGCCAAATTCAAAATTACGCGTGTTTTCCTTTTGAGGTTCCCATGTCCAGCTTGGGAAGAAATCGCACTTCGCCCAGGTCAAAGCTTCCAGCATCTGCATCCGAGGGCCTGATTGAGACCCTGGCATGGTGCCCAGTCGGGAGGCTCTCCCAGGCGTCTCTTTCTGAAATATCTCGCATTTGTACCTGTCTCCAAGAGTCTTTTTCAGATGAGAGAACAGAGATAGAGGCTTCTCCAGTCGTATTTACCAGCCTCTATCCCATCCATCACGATTCTCTCTTCATCCCTTCCCCCAAGCCCTTCTATGAGGTTAGGTCAGGCTTGGGAAAGGGGGAGAGAGAGAGAGAGAGAGAGGCTGGCTTCTCCATTGGCCAGCTTTTCTCCTCGCTCTAGGCTCCAAGTGGTGACTCACCACCCACCAGCTCGCCTCGCTCCCCCCGCTCGCGCGGCGCACAGCACGTTTTTTTCTCAAGATAGTGCCCCCCTAGAAAGTGTTGTTTCCTTTGCTTTCCCTTATGCATGTGTCTTCCTCATTTATCCTGGCCGAAATGTCTGATCTGAGTCCCTAGTTGTTTTTCTCGGTGTGCTGGGAGTTCGTTTGAAAATCAGCCAACGGCTATTCTGTTTCATGGAGAACCGCTGATTTCAAACGAGAGGAAGGCATGCAGTTTGAGGTCGCTGGGACCTCGTTCTGCTGCCACTGTGGATGCCCTTGTCCGAATCCAAGCGTTGCTGGAGTCATGGAGCGTGTGCGAAAAGTTGGCAATGGACTCCCGTTTGCAAAGAGTTGTCAATGGACTGCCGTTTTGATGGTCTTTCATAGATGTTGCGGTCTTCCTCATCCCATTGCTGGAAATATATTGTGCTTGTGCGACCACGCACGTTCCTGAGAGGCCAAAGGCACGCGGCTAGTTTCCATCCGAGCAGCGGCTGTTTGCCTGGCGCGGGAGGCGGCAAAAATCGGGAGCAAGCGAAACAACTCATATGTTCCGTGAGGTCGAGAGAGAGCGCAAAGCGACCTTGGCTGATCTAAGTGGTGCACCCAGTACTTGGTGGATCTCTTAGACTTCCGCCTAGCGGACTGATAGGTGCCAAGATTGCCGATGCGCAAGCTCGCGCGGACGCGATCCGCCAGGCTTGGTTTTCCTGAAGTGATAAACTAAAGAAGTTTGGCCTCTGCAGGCGCCGGACATGGTGATCGGGGCGCAGGTGGGAGCGTGCAGAAGTCACAGTGTGAGCAGAGCTCAGATGACGCCAAGCAGGCAGAAAGAGAGCTGCATCGAGCACACGCTAAGCTCGCGGAGCTACAGGTCCAGCTCTGAATTGCCTTGTCAGTGCCACATGCATGAAGTATGGAGTTCTGATGCACCGCAGGCTCAGAAAGCGCTGAAGTTGTTTTCTTTGCTTGCAACATCTCGGCGGGTGCTGCCCTCATTTCAAGAAGAACGGTCCCGATACAAACCGCTTCGAGGTGGTGCATCCATACGTCTACCTCAGCGGTGAGGCGGCAACCCTTGCCGCGCTTTGCTTGACTGCTGCTGTCACGTTCAGGTTGCTGCCCACCCAATTATCGAATCTGACATCAACAGAATGCAGAAGCACATCATCATACATTAAAGATTCCGGAAAAGATGTAATGAATGTATTATTGCTTGATTCGGTCCCGGACAATACAATGCGTTAATGTTTAATGTGTTGCTTGCCTTATTCGGTCACAGTGTTTACGCCATGCTGGGTCCCCCAGGCTTTCGTCTTTCCGTGCTATTGCAAATAGTGTATGACTGAATTTGTTAATATGAATGGCAAATACATGTTATACAATGGAACTACATGTGTTATATATACATATTATTCCCCATATAGCTGAAAGCTAGGGGTTCTAACTTCTAATCAAGAGGGGAAAGTGATTTGCGAGATTGATGGGCTGGTGCTAGGGGGCGTGCAGTTTGGGGTGCTGGTGCGGGTGCTGATTGGGGTGCTGTTTGAGGTGCTGATGGCAGCGTGGGTGCATCTTTTCAAGATTGACGGTAGGGTACTAGGGGGAATGCAGTTTGGGGTGCTTGTGCAGGTGCCGTTTTGTGCGGTGACGGTGCGCGCGTATTTTTGCATCTTGACGGTACGAGGCAGGGGGGAATACAGTTTGAGGTGCTGGTGCTGATGGTGCTGTGGGACGCAGTTTGTGGGGAGCTGTTTGAGGTGTGGTGACGGTGCTGGCGCATTTTTGCGATATTGACGCTCGAGTGCTATCGGGCATGCAGGTGACGGTGCAGGCGCATGTTTGCATCTTGACGGTAGGGTGCAAGGGGGGCACGCAGCTTAGGTGGTGGTTTGGGATTCCGTTTGGGGTGCTGGTTGATTTTCGCAAGATTGACGGCTTGGGATGCTCTTCAGGGTGATGGTGCGCTCGCATTTTGCTTGATTGACGGCCGGGTTTTGCTTGGGGCGTTCTTCAGGGGGGTGCTTTTGGAGGTGCTGGTGTGGAAGCACTGCTATCTGGGGTCTATGCTGGTGTATTTTGAGATGTGTTTATGTATATATTATAATATTCATGCGCTGAGAAATAGTGCCTTTTTTTCCCGGATAGCCTTAGCTATGGTGTAGGGTCTTGCTTCTAAATAGGCGGTTGTTCAGCGAAATCGGGCCTGGTCAGGGTGGTGACTGGCGGTGCTTTTTCCCGGAAAGCTGAAAGCTATAAGGGGTTCTTACTTCTCAAGAGTGGTATGAGTGACAGTGGCCAGATTGCTGCTGCTGGTGCTGGTCAGGGAGCTGTTTGGGGTGACTAAAAGTGCTGCGGTGGTTGCTGGCAGTGCCTGCTTGCGGTCAGGGTGATGTTGGCGGTGCTTGTTTGGCGCTGCTGGTCTTGGTGCTGTGGCATTTCGGGTGCTGGCCAGGTTGTCGTTTGGTGTGCTCAAGGTGTGGTGCGGTGGTTGCTGCCGGTGCTTGGCGATGCATGCTTTTTTGATCATTCTGACGTGCTCAAGGTACGTTGGCAATGACTTTTGGTGCTTGTTTGGGAATGCAGGCAAGATGCTGTTGTGGGTGCTGGTCCGGGTGCTGCTCAGAGTGCCGTTTGGTGTTCTCAACGTGGTGTTGTGGTTGCTGTCAGGCTGCTGGTCAGGGTGGTGTTGTAATCTCCCATGCTATTTATTGTCTATGCTGGTGTATGTTTGTTTGAAATCTATTGTTTTGTTCTAGATTGTGTTGGAGCGGGGAGATGATGTGTTGCATAAACATGATGTTGGCGAATGAATGGCTGAAATACTATTAATTGATGCTATTTGTTTAATTGGGATATAATATATCAATTGTAGTGATGGTTGAAGTCATTGGTTTCATTTTGGAGAGAGAGAGAGAGAGTGAAAGAAAGAGAAGACAAAGAGAAAGGGAAACCAATCGAGTAGGTGAACAGCTTTAAACTCAGATTTTTATGACCATTAAATTGAGCGCGGCTTTCTGATTATTGTGGCCCTGTTTACCGGAGACGTTGCAAATAGGACCACTACACGTGAGACAGGACATATTTGAATCATAAGGCCAGCAGTTTGGGTCGCACTAGGGAAGTTTAGAAAGTCTTCCCCCAAAACTCGCAATTCTTGGTTTTGGGAACACGTTTGTCCGAGGGTGAATATGAGCTGAATGTTGCATTTGGACGTTCACCTGAAACAAGGCGCTGTGGAACATGATCACTGTGGCACCATTCTTGATCTCAGTTGTAGTCATGGCTCATTTGCAGTTTTCCAGTGGGGCACATGGAAGGCCCTGTTTGGACACCCAAGAGCCAGTTGTTTTGTTGCGTGAAGAGCTAAAAATTTCGACGAAAGCGGATTTCGAATGCTGTTCAACTCCCCAAAGGGAATGGTCGGTCGCAGAACCATGCCACCAGTGCTATTCCACAAACGAGTGCAGTAAGTGGGTGGCCGAACACAGCTACCGTGCAAGAAAAACCGAGCGCTCAAAAAGGAAGCAATTCACATATTGATCCTTAGGAGCTCTGGGGTCATGATTTTGACGGTTTCTGGGAGTTATCAAAGTCAGAAAAAGGGGGTTGTTTCCCTTTAACCCACCACTTCGCGGTTTAACTTTGATTAAATCAGGAGGCCAGGAGCCGCAAAGGCCAGTTGCAGCCTGACAGGTTGTAGCGTCGCTGCATGGCAGGTTTTTACTACTGGATTTTGAGAGTGGTAGGTTAGACACTGGCACGGTATGGGACGACATGGCGCAAATTGAAGCGACCTTTGAGGACGGATAGGTATTCACCGGCAAACTGGTGTATTCTTGTTATGTTGCTTCTCACGTCTCAAACCTGACAATGCCTGTAGCAGTCCGCAAAGTAAGTGTGTCCTGTTTGCTGATTTGTTACACGTGCTAAGCAATGAGATGGGTACAAGTGCTGTCAAAGACTGCAGGCTAAGCAGCTCTACTATACTACAACCAACTGTCGAAACATTCACCGCTTTCAAGGACTTGTCCAAGTCAGAAAGCCAAGCTCGAAAAGGAAGCGAAAGCGAGGACATGTTTTCTACCCTTGCAGCTGCCCTCAGGGCAGAGGCACGAATTTCATTGAAGTGCCAGATTCCCAAAGTTTGCATTTGTGCAGCAAGCCTTTTGTTGCTGAAGGCCGCGTGAATTCCCTATTTGACTTCTTCAGCCAAGGCACGGCGTCGACCCGCGAAATGCGAATACAGAATTGGCGAAGAGATGGGCTTTGGACGTCGGGATGTACAGCTATAAACCCTCCTTCTTGTTTGCGTGTTTGCGTGTTTGTGTGTGTGTGTGTGTTTGTGTGTGTTTGTGTGTTTATGTGGTCGTGTGGTCGTGTGTTTGTGTGTGTGTGTTTTTTTTTGTTACTTTTTTTTGTGTGTGTGTGTGTGTTTGTGTGTGTGTGTTTGTGTGTTTGTGTGTTTGTATGCTGGTGTGTTTGTGTGTTTGTGTTCGTCTGGTTGTCTGTGTGTGTGCGTCTGTTTGTGTGAGTGTGTGTCTGTGTGTGTCCGCCTGTTTGTTTGTTTGTTTGTTTGTGTTGTTTTGTTTTGTTTGATTGATTGATTGTTTGATTGTTTGATTGTTTGATTGTTTGATTGTTTGATTGTTTGATTGTTTGATTGTTTGATTGTTTGATTGTTTGATTGTTTGATTGTTTTGTTTGCTTGCTTGCTTGCTTGCTTGCTTGCTTGCTTGCTTGCTTGCTTGCTTGCTTGCTTGCTTGCTTGCTTGCTTGCTTGCTTGCTTGCTTGCTTGCTTGCTTGCTTGCTTGCTTGCTTGCTTGCTTGTTGCTTGCTTGCTTGTTGCTTGTTGTGTTTGTTTGTGTGCCTGTGTGTCTGTGTATGTGTATGTGTGTGTGTGTTTGCGTTTGTGTTTGTGTTTGTGTTTGAATTTGTTTGTGTTTGTGTTTGTGTTTCTGTTTCTGTTTCTGTTTGTGTTTGTGTTTGTTTTTGTGTTTGTGTTTGTGTTTGTGTTTGTGTTTTGTGTGCTGTGTGTGTGTGTGTATCTCTGTGGCATTTTGCTGAAGGAAGTTGCCCAAAAATTGAGACAGCTGTGCAAACCTCTGAAGTTTCGGCCCAACTTAAGGAGAACTCCTGTGTATGGCCTGGTGCAAAGAATGTCGGATAGAGTTGTTTCTTTAAAGTCAATGGATACAGGCCTTTGTATCATCAAGAGCCTTTTTTCCGGTACAACGGCACAGAAAACTGAATGACCAGCACTCGCAGTTCCTTTAAAACGCAGCTTCATCGCAGATACCCACCAAAGCCTTCAACGAGAGTGATCAAAGAAAGATCCAACATCTTGGTGTTTCCCGGCCGTTGCCTTAGGCCTTAGACTTTTAGGTTTTAGTTCGTTTAGTGTTTGGGTTTCCATTTCACCCACTAATATTTAGTCGCTTTTTGCAGGGGACAGAGACATGAAGTAGCAGAATTCGCATTGATGCGCTGTTTCAGTTCTTGACATGGCGAGTCCAAAGCGACCCGGCGAGCATGATGAACATGTCGAACGTCTTCGAGATTTGAAATGTCGCTTACATGATGTAAGTTCTCGTGAGCAGCTTATGATAATTGGTGCACGAGCAGCAGAGGTCCATTTTCCAGAGTTTCCTGAGCTGGGACACTTCTTCCCACATCTTCATCTCAATTCACGCTCGTGCAGGGCAGCCTTGGTGCGGTTTCTTTGTTCCAAGGTGCTGCACTATAGCCTTCTCTTTTTGCTGCTTGTCGATACACTGCTGGTAATGGGGGGACTGCAGATGAAGATCGAAGTTGTCGCCCTACAGGGTATGGCCGTTGGCTATTGTTTCAATGCTGCTCTGGAAGGCAACTTCTCTAGCATTCACCATCACGACTTCAGCAATGTAGCTGGTGCCTTGGAGTGTGTGAAGGAGCACTCCACTTTCAAGACAGCGGAGATGCTGGAGAGCATGGACTTTGTCTTCATCGTGATGAGCATTGCCATCCTAAGCATTTTCCTGATGGAGAACATTCTCTTCATCGTGGCCTTTCGCTGGAATTTCTTCAAAATCATGTTTTTCCCCATGGATTTGCTGGTGGTTCTCTTGTCCTTGGGCACTGAAATCCTGAGCCTCACCAGTCCGGGCCTGGAAGCGGTCGAAAGCCCTTTGCAGACCATGGGCCAGAAGGCCAGTATGGCCAGCGGGGCGGTCTCTCCGCTGGTGGCGATTCTGATCCTGGGCCGCTTTTGGCGTTTCTTGCGGATTGGCCACGCGGTCTATTTGCTGCAAGGATCTGAGGAGATCGAACCCTGGGAGTCAAACCACCATTGAAACAATGGGTGGGCTCATAGTAAGGAAATTGGGTCCGCCTTTCTTTTGATGGGGGTTGAACCCTGGAGATTGACGACGTTTTCATCCAAAAGGTCGTGAAGCCGTTGGGGCCGCGACGGATTGGTTTTGCTCCGGAAACCGGGGGTGGGGGGTGTACCCCGTTTCTGTGGGGGTTTAAAGGGATAGTAAAAAGGAAGCACGGCCTTTTCTCAGGAGCACGAGGATACTCTCAAGCAGCACTACAAAGAGGAAATCTTGGCAACAAAAAGAAACGATGATGATGATGATGATGATGATGATGATGATGATGATGGCATTACCTCGCCGTGTAGAAGCCGCGCAGATTTGCCAAACATTCCAGGCAGGGGCGATCAAATTCGTTTTTGTGGTCAACATGTTCAGAACCAAGGGAATGTTATCCTGGTGCAAGTTCAGGGTTGCAGTTATTTTCCACTGAGACCAGGTGAAGGTGGCTGGGTTGTCACTGAGGTGTCTGAGCTGTAGGCCAAAGAGGCTTCGGCATGGCTTTCTTCCATATGGGTGTCTCTTTTTTGAGGATTCCACTTTGGGTTGGTTTCAAAGGAAAGCAAAAAGGACACCAACATGGTTTGCTTGCGGGGATCTCCCCAAAAAAAGTCATACCCATATTCAGGCAGATTTGTACAGGAATTTCCTGAGATACATTCCATCGACGCAACTTTCGGGTGTGCCTCTCGTTTCACAAAAGCCCAGCGTAGCCTATGGCCCTTGTTATGGGTCTCGAAGCTGGAGAAGCTGATTTGAATCGGTTTGTGAATGTACTGGCGATGGGATAAAATTAGGTTGAAATAATATAAATATTATATTATTTAAGATATATAATTATACTATATATATATATAATTAATTTATAATATATATAGATATTATTTTATATATTTGTATATTTTATGAATGATATGTTTATATTGAATATAATTAAATTGTTATTTATATGTATATATATAAATTATTGATTATAGACATATTTAATAGGAATTGTGCGAAAGAAACATGAATATTGAAAATTGGATATTGATTTTTTGGGATGGTATTTTTTGTTGATGAGAATTTTCTATTAAAAGATATAATTAGAAATAATAATTATATTATAGGATTATAAATAAATAGAATTAGGAATATATTTTATTATATAAGTATGAATATATTAGATAAGATATATAATATTAATGTGTTATGTTAAGTATATGAATAAATTTGAGATGTGGATTTGTGGGAATATAATATATATTCGAATTATAAATTAAATTATTTTTATTTTTCAGATTTAAATAATATTAATAATTAAAGAGTTGTATATTAATTATTATTAAAACAATATAATTAATATAAATATATAGAATTATTATATTTATAAGGTATATATATTAATTTGATATATATATATATATAATAATATTAAATTATATAATTTAAAATTATATGTAATTATATGTATAAATTGAATTTAATATTTATATACAAATTAATATTAAATATAAATTAATTAATTATATATAACATTATATATATAATGATAATATTTTTGCAATTTTGTACGAATATGATTATTATGTTTTTTGAAAATGCTATATTGAAATGAATCATAATCCGAATTGTGTTATTTTTGATTTTGTTATCCGCCCTTATCTTATTAATTAATCGAATAACAAATATAATCGACCTACAATGAACAATTATGACCCAATCTTTTTTTTTATCAATAATTTATTCCAAATAGATTTATGATTAATAATAAATCTTAAATATCTGAATTTCAATTATATATTTCTATGTGTATAATTGATTATATATTGATTTTATTCTTCCCATGGTATATTTCTCCCTATTATTTATATATTATTATATATTATATATATATCAATTATTATTTTAATCACGAAATATCTATATATTAAGAATCGATTATTATTTATTATTGAAATTATTTATATTAATTCAAATAATATTATTTAATTTTATTTATATTAAATCAAATTTCGCATATATTATATAATTCGATCGAATTATTATATTTATAATAAATAATTATTCATTTGTTTTTTTAAATCTAATCCCATATTTTATATATTAAATTTATATTTATAAATCAATATTGGCTTATATATTAATATTTAAAAAAATCAAAAAATATGATTTCCAAAAAAACATATAATCCTAAATAACAAAATAAATCTAAAATTACAATAAAAACGAATATTTAATAATATATAAAAATATATAAAATATAATTTATATATGTATTAAATACATGAATATATATTAAAATTTAGCTTACAAACAAAAAGAAGGCTGTAACAACATACAATAAATATTATAAATCTAAAATTTGCAATAAATAATATTTGACTTTATAATTAGATCGATTTCTCATCAATTAATTTCCAAAAGACCCAATAAATGAAAATTAATGATTGATAATAGAAGATCTATTCCTTGGCAATGTTTTCATTCACCGCCTCCAGGCTATTCCGTAAGATTCATTAGCTCGCGGCTTAGGAAAGAGATATTCCAAGATTTTTTAAAAAATTACAATACATAATAAAAGTGTTTGAATGTCATTATCTTCCTCAAAACATTCTAGAGCTTATAAATAGTATAAATTACTAATACAAACAGATAGACTATAACCTCATTCCTCCGTCTATTCGTTAATCCATCAATATACCAAAATGCCAATAATAAAATTATAAAACAAAAAACAATATAGTTACAGGAAATATAAATAGATAGACGGCTGGATTCAATTTTTTTTGGTTATAGATGGTTATCTATGAAAGCCTTAATCTAGCTCCCGCTCTCTATATTCATTATCACCTAAAATTCCTAAATTGCAAGGATACGAACGAAAAGATGGAATATAGATAAAAGAGGATTTACTCGTCAGCGGAAGGGATGTAACGCAGGGAATAAACAGGTGACGAAAGAAGATTCTCCATGTCAATCCTCAATCAAATATTATCTGTAGAAGAATCCAGCCTTTTCTTTTCGTACACTTACAGAAAGGTTCATTCTCTCTCTCTATCTCTCATTCCGTTCCTCTTCCTTCATCTCCCTTCCGTCGATTCCAGGCGAGACAGAGGAATCGGAAAGAGGAAAAAAGGGAATTATAAGCCATCTCATTCTATTTCCTATCCGCCATTAGACCGTCTTATAGCTAAATCCTGGAGGTTTAATCCGTTAGCAATTGTAGAATGTTTCTAAAGATAACGAAAGAATCCCATCTCCCATTCCCATTTCTTTTCGTTCGGAGGTGTCTAGGAGCGAAATGAATGTGATGTGGTAAAGAGAATAAATCTTTCTGCAATAGATTATCGTCAAAATTAGAAATTATAAAGGATTATAAAAGAAAGGATGTTTAAAGAATACATAATCAATCGATGGAATAAAAAGAGAAAAAGACGATAATATGATCTTTCCCTAATCATCTATCTATATTTGGGATTTGTATATATGAAGATGAATAATTCATTAATAACATTCCATTCCCTCCATCACGCCTGCTCATCACCATTTCCTCACAATCTAATTCATAAGCTTAAAAGATAACAAAACAATAAATATAGATTACACAAATACATTATTAAACAAAATATCTCATCCCTTCCATCCAATTCCCTTGCTTTCCGATTTTTAAAAAATCCTGCAAATAAAAACCAATTAACATATTTCCTTAATCTCTAAGATCATCTTTTTATATCGTATATCATTTTCCCAAATTCTTAAATAATAATAAATAAAATAATTTCCCTTTATTCGTAGTTTTCCAATCTATTACATTATTATTTATTGTAATTCTTATTTGTTTATCTAATTTTTAATTATAACTTATCCAAAATATCGAAAAACATAATTCTTTTTTAAATATAAATTCAAATCTATATAATTAGTCATCAAAATATTAATTCATAGCTTTGTAGCATAAAATATCATTCCATAAGGACCCATATCATTCGGGCCATATGAATATGTAACCATCGCGGCACAATAGGTTTGACTAAGAAATATAAAAATAATTAACAGCAGCGCTAACGCGAGCCTTTTCTTAGCTGCTGTCGAATAAATTGTCCGAATTTGTAAAATTATTACTATAAGATATTTAGATGCATAATAAACAATGATAAAATAAACAAAATATATAGTTATATTTAACCTAACTTACAATGGCTTCTTGGCCTCTAACAAAACACATACCCCTACTAATGCGGAGCTAGCGCGAAAAATTGCATATAATTTTATAGCTTAATATTTTTTATAAAATTATATATCATAAAATCAATTATATATTTCGTAATAAATAAAATGTTTTTGGAAATATAAATATAATAAATATAATATGTTTATCAACATTATAAAAAAAGAATATACTAAATATTCATTCCCACAAAATCAAAATGCTATATGTATTTATCTCATATACCATATCAATTAATATCTCCAATTTAATATTTTTATAAAAATCAATATATTAAGCTCAAGAAATATCCTTTCGATAACACATAAAACCCCATAACCCTCGCAAAACCTCGTTAAAAAACAAGAGTCGGGAGGAAAAAGAGATAAACAACAAATAACTAACAAAACAAGGAAAATAAAAATCCTAATAAAATCCTTATAACATCTTACCTCAAAACTATCCCATACCAAAACCTATCTAAAAGTCTTAAAACAAAAAATACAAAATTACCAATAATATCTATATAAAAAAATAAATACAATAAAATTATATATATATATACATTATATATAAATCCCTATTCAATCTTTTTAAACAACACCATATAACAATAAATTAATAACAAAACACTAAATTATTTCAATTCGAATAAATCCAATATTCCCAAATTTCCAAAAATAAATATAATCAAAACGGGAATTAACTAGCCACATAGTAATGCTCATTGCAGTGGCTTTCATTCAGACAAAGCAAAGTCCATATAATCCAGACAATAAAATTAAAATCTCAAAACCCGCCATTTATACTAAATCAAACTAATTTCACACTCTACACACACTCAAAAATCCTTCTCATACTAATTCACACGAAATTATTACTCGCCGATTTAATAACTTAATTTATCCAATCCACATCATTACCATTATAAAATACAACAAATAATATCCTTATTTTTATATTTCTCCAATTAATCCTATATGCCGGAATAATATCCTAATTAGAATTTTCATTTTGCGCCTTACCCCAAATACCCGGATTCGAGCACAAACCTCAAACCTCATCTAAATATAAATTACAAAGTTCATAAAACATATAATTTCCACTAACTTAATAAACCTATATAACATAACCAACAAAACAAACGCGCACACACTTCCCAAAAGGTCCTTTGTAAAAAACCCTCCTAAAAAAGTCATTAACAAACTAAAAAACCTCAACATTATACCAATTTGTAAAAAATCAAACATTTATCTAAATTATAATATATTCAACTAATTCTATTTTATTCAAATTTAATATATATGTAAATATATATATGTATAAAAATGTATTTATATATAAACATATATCTATAATATATATATGTGTAAATAATTATATATATAGGTTTGTATATATATATATAGATATATGTGGCACATACATCGCCCGCAACATCTGTCAGTCTCATTTCCCCGAGGTGTGTGTGGGGCCGGACGCTTCTGGTAGGCTCAGGGGTGCCACCACACGGTTTGGCCGCGTGTGGTTACTGGCGCGCCAGGGGCAGACCAACCCACACCCCGGTCGCGACTGCTCTGCTGCTGCCGCCGCTTCTGTTGCCGCTGCTCGTTGCTGCGGTTTCTGCTTCGGCTGCTGCTGCTTCCGTCGCTGCTGCTGTTGCAGCCGCGTTTTCGAGCCTCCGGCTCCTTCCGCCGACTATGAGGTACTCTTCTTCGACAACGGCTGGGTGAAGTTTCTGCACACGGACTTTCTCGGCAAGGCGCCCTAGGCGCGTTCCGTCGGGTGCACCTTTCTCTCCTGCGCCCTCTCCCTTGGCGGTGCTGCTGCTGCTGCTGCTGCTGTTGCTGCTGCTGCTGCTGTTGTGTGTGTGTGTGTGTCTTTGTGTCTGTGTGTCTGCGTGTCTGCGTGTCTGTGTGTCTGCGTGTCTGTGTGTCTGTGTGTCTGTGTGTCGAGTGAACCGACAGGTTCAAAGACCTACAGCTGCGGCATCTGCCGATCTCTGACGCAGGCACCCTTCCTGCTGAGATACTCTTTGCCTCAGCTTGCAAACTTTTGCTTTGGCAGAGTTGGCGTTGAGAGATGGCTTGGGTGCCAATGCTCTTGGTGCCCTCTACCCGGGCGCGCTCGCCCGGGGGGTGTGCCATCTACGGGTTTACTGGTTCCTGGTGTCTGCAATCCTGCGCCCCGGGGGTGCTCCCCCGCAGTCAGGAGTTGCTGGCGCACTTTGGTTGGTTGCAGGGCGGGTGCGCCCATGGTGTTTCTTCTCAGCCTGGTGTTCCTCACGGACCTGCTGATGGCACCTTGTCCTCCAGTGGCGGCCAGCTGCTTGCTTGCACCGCTTTGCATCTGCGCAGGCTGGCGGGCAGCATTTGGCTGCTGCCGTTTGTTTTGGTCCTGTCCCCCCCCCCCCTCCCCTTTGCTGGGCTATGACGTTTACAGAGCCCGGGGCGCTCAGCCAGTCTGAACTCCAAGTGGAGGGGGCGATGACGGTTGCGGAGCCCCCTGCGAAGCCGGGAGGGATGGCGCCTTAGGCAGGGCCCTGCATCTTGTGTGCAGAGGCTTTTTTTTTTTTCTCTCTCTCTCTCTCTCTCTCTGTCAGTCTCATTTTGTCCACACCTGCCGCTTCTTCTGAAGCATGGCAGCAAAGCGCCCAGGCGCATTAGCTAATGAAAGACGCCCGGGTGACACGCGACAGTTGCCTTTGGCGACAGCCGGTGAAACTGAGCCGTTTCAGGCCCTAACCTACCAAGTGCGTTCATTCCCAGGGGTCTTCCACGACCATCCGCCCAGACACTTCGACAACGGCGATCAAGATGCGGTTCTCCAGTTCACTATGATTCGCCCAAAGCCGGGTTAAGGACTCCTTCAAAAATGGAACTGGGCCTTTCAAAGAAGTTGGGCCAGGTGCGCGAAAGCGAGGTCCCAAGGAGGGAACACTTGCTGCTTGCGAGGCCCCAAGAAACATCGCCCCAGGGAATTCAATACATTGGGCCTTGCAGGCGATGTTTAAGTCAACCAAAGGCAGTATCACGGTCCTGACAAATGGGCCTTCTGAACCACATCTCGAGCTGCAGCTTCAGCCATCTAGCGATGCTGCTGCCTGGCAAGATTGGAGGTCTGCCAGAGCAAACAGAATCTGCGGCCTTGGCATCAAAATACCGAGCTTTCCGGAAGGGACGTGAGAATGTGATCCCCTCTTTTGTGGGGGTCGTTTTCTTGCCATGACAGTTAGTGTCTTAACGAGCAGCACTCAGCGGTTGTTCCCCAAATGCTCGATGGTTTGCTCAAACTCAGCCCCATCATCCTGGCTCAGCAAGTTGCTCTTTCCAAAGGCATGAATGATATGTATCCGAATCCAAGGACACGACTGACGTAATGTTCCAAGTTGCTCTTTTCTAAAACGCATGCACCTGTCCACCGCGCATCAGCCATACAAACTGCGGCAACTTCCACTCGGCGAAACGGAACTCCAGCGTAGCACTCGACACTTACGACTGGGGCCACTTGTGCGAGCAAAGCAATACGATTCACTTGAGAATAACAGACCGTTTGTTGTACACAAACACAGTGCAAGCACGGCTCACCCTGGTAATCCACGAAACGTTTTAGTCCTCATGTTGTTGAGGAACATCCACGCATAAGCTAGCACATCAACACCAAACAAGAGCGCACCAAGCGAGAACCCGAAAACCACACACCCCACACACAAACACACACTTGGAATTCTTGCGCACACCGACCATCACTGTTGCCAACACTACTACACTTACCATTACCCTGAAACATGCTACCATTTTAAGCCACCACTAATCTGCTGCCCTATAAATATGGAGCAGCATCCAGCATTCATATGTATATATTTGTTTTATCAAATCCGAACCCATATTACACCCACTCTATATCAACTATTTTCGAGACAAAACAATTCGAGAGGGGTGTCCGGAAAAAAAAAATACTAGCATCATTAACACTGAATCGTCATCTTCGTGATTCCTCCTCATTACCTTAACAAGCTACGCACCACATTGGAGCTGAACAACCCACATGCCACCGGGACATGCACGCCCAGCCTGATGCCGTAGCCTTTCAGAATGTCCTGCCGTTGGTCATGCTGCAGGTCCGCTTTGCAGAGCTGATTCGCCCCAGAGAGCTCTTGGGTCTTTCCAATCCTTGTCAACATGTCAAATTATTGTCACTCAACACACACAATATGCAGCAAGTGGGCTTGCTCCCAGTCTCCATGTCCACGAACCATCGTCTGGTCTGAAAGACCACTTCAACAGGGGTTGGTCTCATGTCTTATTGTTTACAACTATAAGTGGAAAAGCAAAACCTTCAACGAGGAAATCCGACCGACTCGAGAAGCAAGCTTAGGCCCCCCACCCTCTTAGACTTCATAGCTTGACGTTGACTGCCGCCCACCCACCCACCCACCCACCCACCCACCCACCCACCCACCCACCCACCCACCCACCCACCCTGGCCCACCCACCCTAGCCCACGCACTCTGGCTCACCCACCCTGGCCCACCCACCCTGCCCACCTACCCTCCCTGGCCCACCCCCGAACCCCAACCCCCACCCACCCACCCACCCACCTACCCACCCAGCCCCAACCCCCGGCCCCAACCCCAACCCCAACCCCCACCCACCCACCCCACCCCCACGCAGCTCAGCGCAGCCGCCCCGCCCACACCCAGGGCCCACCCATGGCCCACCCACCATGGCCCATCCACCATGGCCCACCCACCGCACCCCACCTCACCCCACCCCGATCACACAACCACACCTCAGCGAAGCTCAAGCATAAATCTGCCACGGGGCAGCCGCTTCAGACATGGAACACATGGGATTGCACAAAGCGCGAGTTGTTGCCTTAGCATGAGACTGAGAAACACAAGCCATGACTATCTTAGTCCTATGATAACATATGTTGGCCTCAAAGTACCTACAACGCTATGTTTTTCCGAACCATGGTTTCCAGTTGCGCCGCTTTTAAGATGGGTTCAACAGGTTGGCCATCATTCTGACAATTGCCAGTCGATTTGATCTTTCTATTCATGATTTTAGCCTCTGTCTTACACGTGTATGCTTGGCTGGAATTAGGACCCCAGCAAATATATATATATATATATATGTATTGCCCGGTTAGTGGCAAACAAAGGGAACCCCAAAAAAGAAAAAAGAAAAAAAGCAAAGGGAACTAATTCTGGGGAAGTATGTTTGTTGCTTCACTCACTTACATACATCGGACGACCCCCCCCCTCTCGTGAGCAAGTGTATGTTTGTTGCATAGTTGTTTAGCCACTGGTGTGCTAGGTATTTCTCTTTCACGCTCGGGCACGATTCCCCCTCTAAGCACTTCCGCTGTCCTCAGGCGACCACTCCGGGGCTTCCTGGCGTTTCAAGAAGCCATCGATCGCGCACGTCAAACTGTTGACTTTCAAACAACATGCCCGTTCGATATCGTTCGAGCGTGCAAACCAGCCATGGCTCAAACGCAGCACTCGGCACAATACCTTCAATGCACGCATGAGCAAGGTGTCACTGCCTCTGCACGGACGTAAGCAGTCTTGAGTTTTCTGGGATGGGGCTGGGCTGTGCGGGGTGGGGGGGTGGGGATGGGATGGGGTGTCGCAGATTTGGCGTGGCACTGGACCCGCTATGGCTCGCGCATGATGGTTGCTGGCTAGTGGGCCCCATATGCAATGTGTGCAAGTTCTCTTTTGGACTTGTCGCCACTTCAAGGGGGGTTTGCCACACTGTTACCATTTCTCTTACAACACAGGATGCAAGCAATGTTAAGCACGCAAACACAACTGAACATACTGTATATGCATGTGTGTATACATTCATCTATGTACGGTTGCAAGTATGCATACTACTTGCAACGAAAGAAATAACACGGCGTGTGGTGTCATGCAATGTACTCATGATAGCTGCATGATGCACGCGCACGCGCGGGTCCAGGAGTGAGCCAACCACCTGCCGCAACATGCTTGAATCTGATCCATGGCCATTGTGTGATCTTCCTGGAGGACCAACGATTTGTACAAACAAATACTTCCATGATTGACCCTCCTGTTGGCTTCCCTTCAAAGAGGACAAGGGGACTGGTTCAGGCCAATTCTGTCTTGCCCCAACAGCCTCGGAAGGGTAGACAGCTTCCCCAGAAGAAACTAGAGTCTAACGGAAACCGTTAACCGCCCTTGTGGCCTGGTCCTCTTCTGACAGGTCCACTAAAAATTTGTTACGTATCCCCAAAGGTTTAGCGTTTAAGGGTTCAGGGGTTTAAGGGCTTAGGTAACAACCAAAACCCCGTACTTATTCCAAAACCCCCTTGAAGGGGCTGACTTTCTTTAGGGTTTAGCAGTAACCCCCCCTTTTAGGGGGCTTTGGGGTTTACCTTTAGACTTCCCGAAGGTATCCAACCACAACACCTGAGCGAGCGAAGCCGCTTCCCTTCCGCCAGTCGAGGTTTCAGGCCTTGAAGCTGAACTCGGGGTGGTACTTCACGTAGCTCTGCTTGCCCGGCCACCAAAGAGCTTTCACCTGCGATCCCCTTGAAAGCGCGCGCTGCCCAAAAGGCGGTTCTCGAGAAAAAAACAAAACAAAAACATGGACAAACATCGCCAAGCTCGGTTCTCTTGGCTCCCGAAAGATCGGAACATCATCATGAAGAAACAGGTCTAGTAAAATTGGACCAACATGAAAGCATGATGTTGGAAAGCGCAAATTTGGTGTTGTCTTGTTCTTGAGCTGTCGGGAGTCAGACCAAAAATGAGCCAACCAGGGACAAGCGCAAGGTCACTTCGAACCGAGTGTGCGTCTTTTTTGCGAGGGTAGCTTTTCAGGGCTGCCTTAGGGCAACCACAACATAAACGCACCCCTTCCCCGAGATAACCCGGTTGGAGCCCGCAAGGTACGTGAATAAAACACAAAAGGCACTGTAGGAGCCAAAACACAGGGACGAGCCCGTTGACTTGTCTTTCGTGATTGACTGTATAGAACCTGCATTTTGGCTGTACAGCCAAATCGACCCTTGAGCCTTTTATTTGCAGGAAGGATCCAGCTGTTGGCACAACCGGCAGCTGCAGGACACTCCAAACAATCCGTCTATTCTGAATTAGAATATATATATATATATAGACAAATGTGCATACATATATATATATATATATATGTATATATATATATTCATGTGTTTATCAACATTTATATCGATCTCGCGTTTGTATTCACATTCACACTGTAGTGCGTCGTAGTCATCCCCCCCCATCTAATTTGGGATGCTACAAAAAGGGAGCTAACATGAGCTAACATGAAACCAACCTGTGGAGAGCCCCTCCATAGAAGCGATCAGATCGCCTTCTCCGGTTTGAAGGAGATCTTGGGCACCTCAGCTCCCATTGTGGATGGACGAAGCCGGATGGATCTGTCCGAAGAGACTACCGACGGACTGCAGGATTTCTCCATCCATGGCTTTCTATGAATAGACCAGCACTGACTCAGCCAAACAAGGCCTGCAGTTCTTCAAGCACTGTTGTCATGTCTGAGGGTTCCAAACCCTTGGTTGCTGTTGAACCCCCTGTGACTTGTTGGTGGTTCCAAGCGAAAAACCCTTGATTTCCCAAAAAGTTAAATCTAAAGATCCAACCCAATACCAATCAAGAAATGAAACAACCCCTTTTTGTAGCGTGTATTGGTAGCCAAACAGGGGGTGTGGCTAAGCACGCACCCGAATGGCACAGCCCCATCAGACACAACCATAAACCGCGCTGTCCTTTCATTTTGAGGGCACCCTTTTTGGGGTTGGTTGAAAGGAAAATCGACAGGAAGCCCATAATTTTGGTGGCCTCCCAATTTTAACACATACCCAGCCTTTAGCTTTGACACTTGCCCCCAATGTGTGAATTAACCTTCTCCAAGCAGCAGGAAGTCTTCCTGCCACCAAAGTAGCTTTGACATCTTGACCAGTAAGCATTGGCAGTCGAACTGCACCCAAGGACTACTTGAGGAGGTAAAATACCTAGCAACCCTACCGATCACGTTCCGGCGAGCCGGAGCCGGGCCATGCTCTAAACACGAGGTTCAGGCCTCTGATGGTGTCTTATGGGTTTCTTCAAAAGCCAAGCCACCCATGTATCCATAAGTACATATGTATATGAGTGGTAGATTCAGCATAAACCACTTTCTGATCTTGATGTCCCCCAAGGAACAGTCATTTGCTGAGTTGGTTTCTGTTCGGTCTCTCTGTCTACCATTCACACCAAGGTGCACGTTGTTTTGGATATCCCCGGAACCAAGGCTGACAGGGGGATGAGTTTGAAGCCACCCTTCAAGGGGAAACATAGCTTCCATTTGCTTAACCCTGCAAAAAACACATATTTCCAGTAGTGATCGATTCCCCTTAACACCAAAAAGGGGGAAACATGTGGCTATGGGTCAAACTCCCCCGTACCCCCAGTGAACATCCCAATCCCCACTAAAATCGACTAACCTGGGTGGTGCACCTACCCCAAAATGAGATCCCAAAACGGTTTTGACCCACGGCCATATTCTTAAGCAGATGGTTGATAGGGAACAGGGATCCTTACATTATACACCTCAACATTGCCTTGTACATGGTGGTTTCCCTCTATTTTGGTGTTGAAAAAGCAACATGCTTCAAATGGTTGCAACATGTATCTTTTAAGGAGCCCTGGGGAACATATGGCTATGGGTCAAAAAACCGGTACCAAAATCAACCCTGGTAAGTGGAAACATGGACCAAAACCTGCGTAACCCCTCCTGTTTAATTTTGACCCACACCCATATTCTTAAGCAGATGGTTGATAGGGAACTTGGTTTGTTTCAAGTCGAAACCGACCGAACCGAGCGCTAGACTGTGCCATCCGTGGTGGGCTTCACCCTCGCGGTGAGGAGGTCTTTCTCGGTCAACTGGGCGGCACGGGCGATGTGCGGTGCGGAGGGGTTTTGGTGGAGTTTGTTTTTGTGGGCTTTTGGATGTTTTTTGGATTTTTGGAGGGTTTTTGGTGGTAGCATCTTAAAGAGTCCAGTAGAGAGGCTAGAACAAGGGAACCATTTTTTCTTTTTTGTCTATTTTAGTAGGGGAACCCTCCCCCAAAAAAAGTTGGTAAAAGGGCACTACTGGGGGACGCAGGAGTAATAAAAGAGCACTGCACAAAGACGGGCAGGCGGAAGAATGGGTGGGATCGCACAAACAACTCATTCCATTCGATTGCTAGAGATGATGCGGTGAAGCATAGTGAACCTAGCATCACCTTCTCAATTACCTAAAATGTCATTTCGCTTCGTGATTCCACAACATGCGTCTTGTATGCATTCCCATGATTCCACTCGACTAGCGATCATGGCCAACATGGACACCGATCACACCGGTTCTTGTTGTTGGGTTGCGAAGCGGAACCCTTGAGACAAAAGGCACTTGGGCGCAAATTTGCAACTGTCGATTGACCTGGTGCGCTCGTATTGTTCTCCACATCAACATGTGGGTTCCCAAAGCATTGACCAAACCACTATGACGGACACCCGATTCCAAAGGCATCTCTCACACTCAACACCCTTTGCGATACTCACAACTTGACTGGCGGCATACTCCTTGAGCCACGGTGGGAACAAACAACACATGCAGCACATGGGTGTGTCCCTTTTAAGGGTATCCTTTTTTGGTCTGTTTCAAATGGAAACCGAAAAGAACACCAACTGATTTGGGGGCTCCAGTCCAAATCGGACACGAACCCAGATCCCTGCCCAGTTGGGTCTGAACCAGCCCCGCACCCCTACAGGTTTGCTGGGCTCACAAGTGCCAGGGGAATTAATTTTCAAAACACCTATGGGGGACCTTCAGTCGCCACGGAAAAGAGCCACCGAGAGATTTTTTGGGATGGCCCTGGTGCCATGGCAGGCTTCGGGCCCCATATCCCAACCAGGAACCCAAAGTGGGCTCCATTGGCGGGGTAGAAAGGGGCCTCAAGTGGACGTCCACCACAAATAGCAGCCACCAACTTCGCGGGTTTGGCTGATCCCATGCTAAAAATGAAACATTGAAACGAAACCCTGGGGTCGTCATAAATTCGACTCTTTTTTCTCAAACTCCAACAGTCTGAGTAATATGTGTGAGAACCGCCAATCTTTGAGAAAGAACATTGCCAGCTCTGCTTAAACATCCAGTCATAGCTGTCCTTGTGGGGTAAAAAACACAAGAGAGGGCTCTTTCAAATGCTTTGAACATCAAACGGGAAGAGGCATCCTTCGGGGCCAGCTATGCAGCATGACTCGCCCTGCTGGCGCGCGAGCGAGGGCCCGGGCCGGGAAGTGCACCGCCGCTTTGAAGTGGTCCGGCACCAAGGCCGACTGCGACGCGTGCGAGTCGGGCGTCCGCGGGTAAGCAGATTTTGGGCAAATGTGCGGGTCGGGGGGGGGGACTTTCTGGTAAAGAATGTCCATTTGAAGGGAAACTGGCATATCCCCCCTAGTTGAATGGGGGTGCTTAAGGCTACATAATTTGATGTTTGAGTCTTTATCACGAAAGAGAGAATGGCCTGCTGTCAACATATCTTCCAACTTTCAGCTGAGCTCTCCCCCATTTTGGGCCGGTTGCCAGCGTCCATGCCCAAGTTCACCGGACAATCCATGCGCTGCATTGTACCTTACACCAACAAGCAAGAGTAACCAACAAATGGAGAACTCCAACAGCTTGGAACTTGTTTGGGACTGCGTCAGGGACGCCACAAGGACGCCCAAATAGTTGCAGGCGCCTCCTGAAACCGCCCAAAACGCGCGACGCATTGCCATGCCAAAACTTCGGTGCCTGCTATCTTGAGCAAGGCAGGCACCTTAAACCTTAAAACCACACCAAGGCCAAAGAATCGAAACTCCTCCCGTCTGTTCCAATCACCGAAGAAACAAAACACGAGCTTCTGCCATCGTACAACACGCTGGCTCCCAAGACTTGCAATTCGGTGATGTAGCTGAGCTAGATGCAGCGCAAAAGATGTGGAAGCATGTGGAAACCTACAAGGCTCCCGAGATGGTACTCCACAGAGTTCCCCAAAAGAAGATTCGACTTGCTTCTCCGCTGATGACTGTGATCATCGCTAGCCAGGGTTCCATTTTTCTATGACAAGGTAGAAGAGGTGTCCTTTTTGGGGAAACGAACCCATGGGTTTCAGTCTACCCTCCCCCAGGCTAACATGGAAGCTCCCAGGACCACTTTGGAAGACATGGCTCCATTTGCAGAAGCCTTTTGGGAGCTTCCATGTTAGTCTGAGGCAGTCTATGGGGAGTGAACAACTTATAACAACTCCTAGGCTCCGACTATACTTGCCCTTTTCACCCTGTTTAGAGAAGACTCCCTTCAAACACGACCCAGGCGATGGGTGAAACCCGCAAAAAGGTTGAGATATGGGGAACCCCGCCTAAAGTACAAAGACTCAAACTTGTGAGTTCAGTTTGAATCGTTGGAGAGTAAGGCTGTTTGCAAAAAAGCCAATGGCCCGCTAACAAAGCGGCATTGGCTGCCCAGAAGTCACGGTCAATCACATCCGTCAACCAGTTTCACTGAAGTCCCCCGACGCTTGCCTCAAAGCAATACACCAAAATGTGGGGACTGACCAAATGGGTGAGCCTGTCCTTCAGCCTAACCTTTTCGCGCTTGCTGTAGATCGCCAAGTCTCAGCCACTTCCCCTGCCTCCGAGGCCGACTTTTGTAGCTCCCTGGCGAAGACTGAACTCGTTGCGTGGTGCCGCCCCGCAAGGCTAGGGGATACATGAGACGGTTGTGTGCTATGTGTGGAGAGCATGATGTTCACAACCTAACAATTGGAAATACCCTCCCTCCCACTAACATATCACTTCTGGGAGGGTACCTGGAAGATGAATCTCCTCTTGAAGGGAGCCTCTGGCCACGTTAGTGGGAGGGTATCCAAAGGTGTCGGAACTCCTTGTACGGGTGTGTTGGAAATGGCAATCCAACCCAAACCTTATGAGTTCTGTTGCAGCTTTATTGAGCGGCGCTCAACTGACCTCACAAAATGCATGCCTCCAAGACTCTGTCTCTGCTCTCAAGCGTCTTCCTTGTGCTTCAGGTGCCTAACAAGCAATCAACCATCCGACCGTGATGAATCCCCATCATTAAAGGGATCCGTGCATGGCTCTGCATGTTTTGCTGAAGGTTCCCTTTGGAATAGGGGTGTTTGAACAGAAGTCAAAGCAGAAACCATCCAGTTTGGAGGTCCCCTATTGGCAATCCAGTTTCTCATCCATGCGGGCCGCTCCAAATTGCACCATTGGCCTCTTCTTTACCCAGTTCCATCTTCATCCATTCACCTGGGGAGCTAACAACCTTTGAGAACAGGCCTTTCCAACAAAAAGAAAACTGGCGAAGGGTTAGCTATCCACTGGGCTGTGCAGTTGCAGAAATTTCTGTCACACCATTTTCAGCCAAAACTTGAGTGAACAGGTGATCCCTGCCTGCTCCCCCGCAACGCCTGGGTAGTCTTTTTATTACTCACGCGGGCATAATTCGATTTCTTGAGGGAAACCAGCCAGAGACCGTTGCCATTTTCGGGCTTCCCCCAGATAGACGAGACAAACCCACATTGCCACAGCAACTCTTTTGGTGGACGCGTGCATCCGCGATCTTAGGTTCGAGGCAGGATGCGCACCGGAGATTGGCATGACATGAAGCGCGGCCGGGCAAGCCAGACACTGCGGACGCAAATCATGCTGGACGCGCACTGCAAGTCGCGCTGCACGTGATGCCCTCAGGATCCAAGTAAATGCAGCTCAAAGGCTGTGCTGGTGATTGCGTCACACTCAGGTGTATACGCTTCGCGCTACCTCGCTTTTTCACGTGACAGCTCCGGTCTCGTCCGGGCTGCACACCATGTCTCGTCCCGGGTGTACAGCCGCTCTTTCCGCGCGTGCCTTTGATGCTCAAACCGTTGCGTGCTGCTGCCGCTTGATCCGTGATGTACCTGGCTCCCTACCCAAATCGGATTCTCTTTCGCCTGGCCCTTTTTCTGGTTACCTTTTGTTTCTGCGGAGAGGCACCGCGGAGAGGCACCGCCGGTTCTTCCGGCGATGTCTTCTTCACTGTGTGAGTGGTGGATGGTCCTTTTCCCTGCATTTCGGTGATTGAACATTGGGATGTTCCACCCTAAGATTGTCTCGGAGGTAGCTAAGTGGTCAGTAACCCAGGATTGAAAGGGTTCAACCGGGGACCACCAACACTTACCAACCATTTAGTTGCAAGCTAGTGGGCCATCTAACTAGCAACAAAGAGCATATCACTTGATTCCCAGGCGTTCCAACTTGATTGCTTGAAACCCAGTTGCCAGGAGCCGAGCAACCCAAGCCGGGCAGGCCCCGCTGATCTTTCCGAACGCCTTGAGCCGCTGGAGCAAATGCTCCTGCTACCTGGCTAGCCCGCTTTGCCCGAAGCGCATCGCTTGCATCGGAAAGACTTGACTGGATGTTGCCTTTTCACCCGATTTTGTCAACTCCCCTAAAGGCAAACAAAAAATGACCCGCGGGAGTCTCTTTTACTGTCCCAATGTGGTCCAAACGCCAAGCTCTTTTCGTTTGCTTAGGGGCTTGGAGTCTTGGCGTGCAGCTGCAGTGGAGCTTCCACCGCATCATAGCGAATCGGCTTTGCGACCTATTGACGCATCCATCAAAACTCCGCAAAGAATTGGCAAAAAGCTCGAGTCGCTTGGAATTTGATCGCGCGGATCGCACGCCGCAAAAAAGAAGAAGAACGTGAACCTGTCAGGGTGTCTGTGCTGACAACCCTCAGAACTTACCTCAGGGATATGTTGTGCCAGGTCAGAAAGGGAATGAACATTTGTTCAGCTCCCTGATTGGCTTGGTTGGGGCTTTGCACTCCAGTGGGTCTTACTGCCACATAGTCACAGAAAGATCCATACGAACCAGCTACAGAAACAAGCGGAACTTGGCCAAATACCAACAAGAAAATGCCTTCCTGCGGAATTGCACTGTTTTGCTGGCTTCTCTGATCCGTTCAAGAACCCAAGAGAAAGATCTGGGATACCGTGAGTCAGTGGTTGGGTATGGACCTCTCACGGCTCCTCTTTCCACTTGAGGGATTCCCGGATGGTAAACGGGGTCTCCTTGGACTTGGACTTGGTATTCGACAAGTGGCGCAAACGACTTAAGCTCAAACGGGACACATAGCTACTCTTGGCTTTAAGCCCTCTCAATCAAACCTTGCTAGGCGAAGGACATGTTGCCCACTTACCATGTGGAGACAAAGCCACATTAAGAATCCCAAGTCTTAAGTGCTGTTAACATTATCCACCATTTAAATTGGCTTCCGATTGGTTTGTCTTTGGACCCATCCCAAGTGTGATTGCAGCTTGATTTCCGAGCCCAACCCAAAACGGACGGCGCCAAAAACTGCGACGGACCCGACGGATCATCCGGATCCGGCGAATCCGGTCGAGGTGATCGATTCGATTCGCCTGCTAAAGACAGAGGGCTGGATGCCTCCGATCGGCTGGAGCTGGTCCTGCGAATGAATCAACTCAGAAGCCAGAAATTTCCGTTGGACAAACACCGCCACCCTTGTGATTTGGTGGATTTTCAAGGGAACCCCTTCCACAAGCGTGACACTAGGGGTACCCTTGTTTGTTGGTTCATTCTGAAGGGAAACCTTTCCCCAAAAGAAAGCAAGCAAGGGTGACACTAGGCAACTGGGTTCATCATGCTCCATCTATCTGGGGGTAACCCACAATACTACCACCAGAAAATTGATACTGGCCTACACCATTTTATCCGCTGCTCATATGAACACATAGGCCCCGAACACATTTACTATAGCAAAGACTACATGCCTTCACACTGGGCACATGTGTATTAGTCTTGCCTGCAATATCCTGCAATGGATGCTTGGCTCTCAGATATGGTGTACCAAGTGCATGTGAACCTCTATACACCCTCAAAAAGCACAAACAGCAACAACACTTACACTGACAGAAACCCCGTGGAAGATGTGTATTTCAACCGCCTCCTCCCGTGAAGCTGCAGATTGTTGGATCAAAGCATTTGCATTGCGAAAGGAGCATTGACGCAGTCATAATCAGCTAAGATGGCAGTAGCCACGCAACTGGAAGACGACCACATTTCATCACGCAAATCAACAAGCTCACGAAGCAGACCCTCCTCCTACGCCCTCCCTTCCGACCTCGCCAATGTCGAACACAGTCATGCAACCCAAAGACGACACAGGACAATTTGATTGTTCCCTTTGTGTTTGTGGCAAACCAACAGAAAACTTCCAATCGTTTGATTTGTATGCGACCACGGGGAGAGGGAAGCATTTTTTGGCGCGAGCTCACCAATCAATGCTGTCTTTGTTTCAGGGTACCCTGGGCTTGTACATAATTGCAAATGAGGGAAACCGCCCATTTTGGATTTTGGTCCCCGGGCTTGTTTGGGCTTTATTAAGCCTTATTAAGCCTTATTAAGCCTTATTAAGCCTTACTAAGCCACATTTGATAACCAGTAAATAAGGCTTATTAAGGCTTAATAAGGCTTAACAAGGCTTAGTAAGGCTTAATAAGGCTTATTCCCCTTCACGCTGCTTGGCTGCGCAGGGTTGGTGCGTATTCATTTGGGAGGGGAGGGGGGGGGTGGCTTTGGGGGTCTTCCTGAAAATAAATCGTGCATACTGTATATAACCACACTTGTGAGGTGGATGTTGGGAGTGCCTAGGGATGTGAGGCAACGGGAATTAGGCATCCTCCACTCTTTGCGCGCATGGGCGTTTTATAGACATGAGCATAAACGAACTGTCTGAAGTGGCACGCGGTTGAGTATTTCGTTGCCACGCTCACTGGGGGCGTCAATCCCATGAAGGAAGCGTATATATGTAGAGGAACAATGGCGCGAGCCTCCAAAGTATAGAATTCTATATACTTATGTCTGTGTGTGTGTGTGTGTGCGGGGTAGGTGAGGGTGGGTGCGAGCGTGTCTGCGCTCTTGTCTGATGTCGTTTCTGTGGCTCTGATGTCATGGTTGATGCGATCAAGTCGGGTGTGGCATTCGTGAAAACCACGCCTAGATCCCTTCCCTCTGAGCACGGCCTTGAGTTTGGGGGGCACTACACCGCGGGGCTTACTCACATTGGAGTTTCTCAAAAGAGTGGTCCCCCAAAACTGTTGGTTTGCCTTTAAAAGCCAACCTCCACCATTTTGAGAACCCCCCAGGTGGGAGGCTTGGTTGGGGCACCTTACGTTCACCTGACCGATTCGACAAACAACGCCGTCCAAGCTGGCCTGTGCCGAGAACGCCGGCGCCGGCGTTCCTCCTGAAGGGGGCCAGACTGAAATCACCACCCAACACCACACACACACACACACACACACACACAACAGCACACAGCACTGCAGAACTCCACAACACCACACAACACTGCACGCCCACACACCCACAAATGTTAGCGGCCAACAATAGACATACTATAGAAGATTCGCCATGCGGCACGATGGCCCTCAACTCCTTTTCCAGCATTTTAGCCCCAAAACTCCCGCTCATTTAGAATGCAGGAGCCCCAATCGTCTTCTGAGTTGTCCAAATGTCATTGGAAGGAAGACTCCAAGCGTTTGGTCATCTGGGCCGCTGACTAAATTACTCACCCAAGGGGCCATGGGAAAATTGGCGGCAGGGCGGGCACCAGGGCAACAAGTCGCAATTCTGGTCATGGACCCCCTGAATTTTGGGCTACCATTTGTGCTTGTTGACCTGCCGGTTTCGCACGTCACATTGGTCTACATTGCTGCTCACCATCTATGAGTATTCAAAACTGTGCTGCAGCTGTGGACCGCACCAATTGAATTCTAACATCTCACAACAAACTACATCGCAGTGAGCTCGCTATCCCTTTTAGCGGTGAGCTCGAAACTCACATTTCTCCCAGCCACTCCTTCGCAGCCAAGCGCTCCACCTCTGCCTCGCGGGTGCCAGACTTTCGTGGAGGTTTGGCCTATGTGAAAATGGACATGCAATGGAAGGATGGTAGGAGGGGATGGCGTTTCTGGACCGGACGGTCCGGGGAGGGGCGGGGAGGGGCGGGTGGGGGGGGGGAGGTGGCTAAATAGTACCACCATAGCCCATTTCCCCTTCAGGGCGGTGGGTTCTGTGGGAGGTGGTTGGGTCGATTCGGCTCACATCAAATATACTTCTGTGAGTCGGCCTTTGACTCCTGCAAAGTAGCATGAAAGCCAACGGCTCCAAACAAGCTGCCAGTCCTACAGAGACATTGGGGTGGAAACCAAATGCGTTTCCACCCGTGAGGTGTGCTCCAAACTATGACTCCTTTTACCCCGTCGGGTGTGTCCTTTTTTGACGACCTGCCACCAACTCTTCCGTCACTTCCGTCCTGCTTTGTCGCGCCATTGAGGAAGGATCGCTCCTGGCGCAGAATGGCTTTGAGCTCTGGAACCATCCGCCCTAAAACCAAATGAGCAGGGACTCAGCACCTATTGACTTTTTGGCCAAAAGGGCCAAGCGCTGCAATCAAGTGCAGGTTGAGCGCGCTGCAGCTCTCATTCTAGTAGAGTTGTCCAGCATTGCCTTCACCGAGTTCGCGGTTTGCTGCGGCCGAGCCAGCTGCGCAGCTTTGAATCACGGCCGGTTTCGGCGAGAACAACCACCGCCAGCCAACCAAACGTTCAATGCCCATTACCATCTGCCTACTGCATGCCTTGCGAGATACCGCGTGAAGGCGCCCTCTTTGGGAATGCATCGTTTCACCTATCTGGGCAAAACAATAGTTCATCGACCGAAAACAAGGGCAAGCCCCGTGTGCGAGGAAATGGATCCTGGTGTGCGCATCGTTTCAGTTGGACTTCCAAACGACGCGCTGATCCAAGCATCATGGAAGGTCCATCTAGGCGGGAGGACCTTTCTTTCATCGCTGCTATAAAACTCCATTGTGACTTCCGGGCCATTGCAACTATTTAGAGTCAAATAAGTAGAGCATTCAACATTTATCAACGCTGCCCGATAAACCAACTGAGCTACTCCCTGGTTGTGGTATTTAAAAGATTCTGTGATACCAAATTGGGATTCCCATCCCTGTCACTACTTTATCATTCAGGATATTTTCTTGGAATCACCTTAAGCGGCCTGAAACCTAACTTCACAACCCTTGGTATGGTAGCAACACAATTTGCTTTTTGCAACCCTCTACTAAAACGGAACAGAACCAAACACTAAAAGAAGCAAAGAACTTGATCCAAGGGCAGTGCAGCTACTTTTCCACAAGCAGACACACCTTCGAAGGCAGATTCGCTGCGCCTCCTTCTCGATGCGCTGTGTCCAAAGGATGTTGAAGCCTGAGTCACTGACGAGATCATAGTCTAATGCTTCGGGAGGACAATCGGACAAACGGGGGGGGGGGCGGGGCAAACCAAGGTCAGAAGACGAAAAGGTCTACCTTGGTTTGTCATTTGGGAAAACAGGTACTCTTGTTGGAGGGCTGTGCTGGTATTGGCCTACCATTAAAAGCTGGGCACCCGTGAAGGAAACATCGCCTGTGGGAATTGCAACTGTGATATCACTGCAACCCTATACTTCCAAAGCCTATTTAAAAAATAGGCGTTGTGACAACCCCGTTCTTTTGACAAAGACTTTTTTTGACGACGAGCGGCCGCCTCCGTTTTGGACTGGAACAAGGGCGAGGAAAGACTTGACGCTAAGGCCGCTCCATAGATTCCCGAAGCCGAATATGTATATACATATGCAGCAATATGTTTCACTATTTACAAGGCTAATGTTGGTCTCTATGTCGCTTGGCTTCTTGGCATGGCCATGTAGCGCGCGAAGGTGAACCCTCTTCTGACCAATTCTGTCCTTCTTCTGGCCCACCCCCTTAACCAAAAAAAAACAGGGACAGCCAACACCCCTCCCATCACAGCAACCATTCCAGGATGGGGATGTTGATCCTCTGGTCGGCAAAATTTGCCTGTTCTACTCCACAAAATGGTGGCCAAAAAATAGTGGTTCTACGCCAAAAAATAGTGGTTCAACGCCAACAAATAGTGTTTCTACGGTTTTTCTACGGTTTGTCTACGCTCGCGTTGTTTTTGGACCTGTGTGGAAATTGGAACGGAACAAAAAAAAAAAAAAAAAACAGCACACAATTACTTGTTCGTGCCACCTGCGCAAATTGCAGAGGACAATTCTACAGAGGACCCTATCAAGAAGTAGTAATTTAACTTTGCTGGCAGAGAAATATGTGGCTCCCAAGGCTACTTAAGAGGTTGCAGTAGCAGGCGTAGCTTTCAAACAAAAAAAGTAACAACCCAAAATGAACTCCAAAGGCCAATGTCAAAAAATAGGGGTTGTCAATGCAAAAAATAGGGGTTGAACAACCCCTATTTAAAAAATAGTCGAGGAAGCATAGGGGCAAGGCCTTCCTTCACGGGGTAACTGCTCCCTGGCACGGCCCCGGATCGTCGAATTCAAATGACCCCGGCTTGATCAACCTATATAGATCTCATCGGTGATTCCCTCTAATCCTTTTAGCCCAAAATCGGACACTCGTGCTCAGCAGGGAAGAGAAATAGAATGACCTTCTATGGTCTCCTTGAAGGGAATCCCCAGGTTGTTTCCCTATTCTCTACTTGTCGCACCAGCAAGAAGATCTGCTTCCTATCCCGTCCATCCGTCTGGGGCTATGGCCCATATCCCACGCCATGGCGCGCCCGGGATAAGCCCAATCGGGACCCGGCAAAAAAAGAAAAAACCCGAGCCCTCGGATAAAAACACTGCGACGGAAAGCGCTGGAAAGTCTTCAAAGGACGCCTGAGGTCTGTGAATTCCGTATATAACCGAAGTCACAGACTAAAGGTATCTAAATTGTAGTATGAAGGAGGACCTTCCCCAAATTCGCAAATCCCTTCTTGCGGGGGGGCGCGCCGTAGCAGTGCATTGGTTGTATATATATATATATTTATAAATGATGTGCTGTGCGACTAACACATAGGATGTGCGGTCGTCGTCTTAGCCCCGGGCTTCAGCGTTGGGCCGCGCCCCTTCAGAGAAAGTGCGTAGCAACATGGCTGGGGGTAAAACATAGGGTAACCCCAAAATGGCTACGACTTTTTTAGAGGGTCTGTAACGCGCGACGCGCCACGAATCTTGTTACGGAGGTCTGTAACGGAGGTCCTTGTTACGCAGGTTTGTAACGGAAAAACATGTCTTGACAAGTATCAGTATCAGTAGCACAATGTAGCGCAGAACAACAAAGAGCAGCAGCTCCCGCTCGAGAGGCTCAACTCTTCGGTGCAAGCGCAGTACGCAAAGCGCGCCTCCGCAGCTCCAGGTTGATTGCAGCTATTCCACGCAAGCCACGCTGCGGTAGAAAGGGGCGTTGCTGGCCCGGGCTGGGGTTGGGTCTGTAACGAGGTATGAACGAGGTCTGTAACGAGGCAAAGCAAAGCGCAATATTTGCAAAGACCGCCTCCGCAGTTCCAGCTTGATTGCAGCTACTCAACGCAAGCCACGCTGCGGCAAAAAGGCGGGGTGCTGGCCCGGGCTGGGGTTGGGTCTGTAACGAGGTATGTAGCGGGGGGCGGGCAACCAGCCAAGCGGTTTGCTCATCTGAGGTGTGTAACGCTAACGAGGGGTGTGTAACGAGCCAGCGGGTCTTGTTACAGAGGTCTGTAACGAGGTCTGTAACGAATGTCCGCCGTGGCTCTGTTACAGACCCCTCAACAAAATTCACGGCCAAATGGCCATAGTTGTCAGCATACCGCCAGAAACTCACTTCTTGAGAGGATTGGTCAACAAAGCCCTTTCGCCCCCACTAAAATGGCCCAAACCCAAAAAGTGACTAACGTCCAGGAACTCAGGAAGTGAGGAGAAAGGTGGCCCTCTGAAACCATATACTCTCCACTATCCCGAAAACAGGCGCTCTTTTTCCGCGAAGCGATCGGCTCACTCGTCCCGGAAGCCCGTGGAGAAAGTGCCCCTGGCGTTCATCACAGGTTTGCAAGGCGGGCGTGGGGGCCAGGATGAAAAAGCGGTACAGGGGCCTGCCCAAAACTATAAGAATCAAAAGGCCGGATAATTACCCCATAACTATTTGCGAGTTTCCCCACTACAGATCATCTACCCAGATTTTGTGCGTTTGGATCGAAATAAAAGCGGCCACAGGCACCTTGAAAAGCGAGCAACCCTAATCTAAGTTGCAGGACTGAACATACAAAAAAGGGCCGGATACATGGGCCAGCATTTGGAAACCAGCAGATTCCCTCGCATAGCCCGCGCACGCGCTTTAACTGTCCCCCGCTCATGTCTCAGGGGGCATGCGAGCAATGCTGATTACGCGCACCCACACACACACACACCCACACACACCCACACACACACACACACACGAACACCTAACCAACGGTACCAATGAGGGGCTCTGACTCTCAAGTTGAGCGAGCCGTAAAACACATGCGGTGCATTGGGATGTTGTCTTCAACTTCCCAATCGCCATGGAGTATCTTTGACGGCAGGACGCTAGATGAAAGGCGCTCGCGTGTCGTCGCTCCACCCTTGAAGGAAAGAAAAGTGAGGAAGACAAAGGCTGTTGGTAGCGGCGGAACCACACCTCTGAAATTGCCACTGGGCCATGGGGCTAAGACCTGTCTACGAACTGGCACAGCGTGCTGCTCGCCCGAGGCTTGGGAGTGGGCTCGAAAGATCAAGAGAAATCACTCCCTGCCGCCCGACCCCGAAAATGGCGTTGGTCAAACCAGCCAATGCCCGGCGCCCAAAGAGACTACGCAAGCCCAGGCGGTCCAAGTCAGGCGTGCGCGTGCCTTATCTCCCGTCATGAGCCAATCACAGGTCTCACGCGTGTGACGTTGCATGCGCCCAAGCAGTCCAAACGAGCATCGCACCAGCTCGTTTCGGAACAGTTTGCATTGCAAGCTCTACACAGGCTTTTGACTACAGTCTTCCCAAGTCAAAGACGCCCTGCTTCCTTTCCAGCGAGCAAATATGTCCAAATGTTGTTGTTGTTGTTGTTGTTGTTGTTGTTGTTGTTGTTGTTGTTGTTGTTGTTGTTGTTGTTGTTGTTGTTGTTGTTGTTGTTGTTGTTGTTGTTGTTGTTGTTGTTGTTGTTGTTGTTGTTGTTGTTGTTCTTGTTTGTTGTTGTTGTTGTTGTTGTTGTTGTTGTTGTTGTTGTTGTTGTTGTTGTTGTTGTTGTTGTTGTTGTTGTTGTTGTTGTTGTTGTTGTTGTTGTTGTTGTTGTTGTTGTTGTTGTTGTTGTTGTTGTTGTTGTTGTTGTTGTTGTTGTTGTTGTTGTTGTTGTTGTTGTTCTTGTTCTTGTTCTTGTTCTTGTTCTTGTTCTTGTTCTTGTTCTTGTTCTAGTTCGTGTTCTTGTTCTTGTTCTTGTTCTTGTTGTTGTTGTTGTTGTTGTTGTTGTTGTTGTTGTTGTTGTTGTTGTTGTTGTTGTGGTTGTTGTTGTTGTTGTTGTTGATGATGATGATGATGTTGTTGTGATTGTTGTTGTTGTTGGTTGTAATTGTACTTGTGTTGAAGTTGTGTTGTTGGTTGTTTTGCTTGTGCTGTTGTCTGTGTAGTTTTGATTTGGCTGCCCTCGTTGGCTTTTTTCTCTATTGCCTGTTTCGTGGCTGCTGCTTGCTTGAAGCAAAAGCAGGCTCTATGGTTTTGATTTTTTTTTCTCTCTCTCTCTCTCTCAATCTCTCCCTCTCTCTTTCTCTGTCTCTCTGCGGCAGCGAGAAAGCGCGGGCCTTTGTCGCCAAACCATCAGCCTGGCACGGTTCGACGCACTTGCTGAAAAGATGATGTGGATAATCCCCCCCCACCCCCGAACAAAGGGAACATACGAAAACGCCTCCTTATCATTGAAAGGGCAGAAAACTCGTTTCAAATCGGCACTTCCCAGTATGCAACTTCAAAGGAAGAACAATGAGCCCAAACGGTGTGAGACAGGAACCCACGAAGGTAACATGAAAGCAGAACTGAAACACAGACGCTCACTTGCTTCTGCGCAGAACTTCTTCAAATGACCCGAAGAGCCTCTATACAAGGTCTTCCGCGCGCTCTCCAAACAGATGCCTTCTGAAAGCTCATGTAAAAGACTTCCTGTTGAAAGAGGTGGAAAAGCATGACCGCAAAGCTTTGGACATCTGTCCGCGCACATGCTTGCTTGGCATCATGAGACCCGATCGTTGCCCGACATGTTCCTGGGCTTGACCTAGGTTGTGTCTTGCAAGACATGCCAAACAGCTACAACGAAGTGATATGTCCATGTCAAAGGCAAGCGCGACTTCTTAGGACGCAGCCAGGTGACCACCATTTGGGAACCTTGGCTCAAAATATTATTGGGGGACCTTTGTGGTTGGGGGAAATGTATCAAGCCTTGAATTATGTCCCCCAACCTTAAAGGTTCAAGGCGCCGCCATTTCGGAACCTTTCATCGAAATGGCAACGAAACCCATAAAGCCATCAAATTGTTCATGGTGGGCGAAAGGCGGGAACAAATCCACCAAGCCACTGGGGCAAGGGATAAGGGACACCAACAAAAAGGTAGAAAGGGACCCTGGAAATGTCGGTCTTGCCAATCCATTTGGCGCTAGAGATGGTCTCTCCTTCTTGTTTCCTTTAAAACATAATTCTGGATTCTCACTCTAAACGGAATGACTAGTTCTGGGGATACCCATATCTACCCCGCCAACTTCAAGGGAAATGCGTGTTTTTGAGGAAACCTTTTTTGGGGCCGGCTTAAAGGGAAACCAAAGGACGAGCACTTGCGTTGTCGTCATTTTGAGACAGGCCCAAACGGTGCCAATCAAACATTAAATTCCGTTGCTCTTTGCAATGCTAGATCCATCACATGCAAAACATGTAACTTGACTGAAAGGGGCTCCACCCCTTTTCAACAAAAAGGCACAGCCTTACAATGGCTCTCTAATTTTCCTGTTTAGGGGTCCAATCCCTACCCCAAACAAGGTCTTTAGACCCTGGGCACAGGTGTGCTTAACGAGAAACACTAGACTTGGCGGGTTTGTCTGGGAACATCAAAGCAACTACCCATCCCTTGGATTCCTTTTGGGAAAGTTGGCTATGGGTCTAAACCCCGGTTCCCCGGTGAACACCCAGAAAGCTAAAAAGACAACTGTGGAGTAACCATCCCCAAAAAGGCACTTTAGGTTTTGACCCACAACCAGTTGTTCAGTATGATGTAGCACCCAGCAATGCACCCAGCCCGTCTCACAGCAGATGGTTTCTCCCGTGAGCCGACCGCTTGCCCGCCTGCGATCGCCGGCTACCGAGTACAGGGAGCTGCTGCTGGGATCCTGCGGCAACCGGGGACCCCCCCCCTATCGGGTACACGCAGAGCTCATCCTACGTCCCCAGCTGGACAAACAACTGGATATTTGAAGGTAAATCCGGTCCGGCAAAAACACGGAAGACACCCAAAAAGCGCTTGGGCATAGTAGTCCGGCCGAAATGCAAGTTTGGCTTGGGAGGTCAACCTCCGTGCACCTGTGACTATCGGGGGAAGGGGGGTGGGGGTGGGTTCGACTTGACATCAGCTGCCTTGTAGCTTCATTGAACTGCCGGAATTCACACTGTTTGGCCCCTGTGATGTTTCGAAGCAGCTGCTGGCAAAACAAAAAGGAAATGCATAAACAGGCAAGACCAGAGCTCCTGTCAAATTTAGGGACCGCATGGGGGAAAAACAAAGCTTACAGCCTTCAAGGAGGGATTCCGTGGCCAGTTTTCCGCTTAGGCTCATCGAGACCTGCTGGATCGTCCAAGGGTCAGAACCGTTTTTTTTGCTCTTTCCCACTGTGCAAAAGGTCGATCACCTTGGCTTAGTGAAGACATTTTTTGTTTTTAAAAGGTCTGGGCTAACTAAGGCCGCAAAGGCCCGCCGTGAGAAGGAGACTCCAGTGTCTCCCTTGGGCTGCTTTCAACGGCTTGGGCACCCGCCGATGTCAAAACTAGAATGAAACCGAAGGACCGGAAAACTGAAAAAGGGGCCCGTAGAAGACTGGTCTCCCAACATGGATGTAACATGGATGCTTTCCTTTCGGGTTCCCTCTATTACCAAAATTGCCAAACAAAGACTTCATCCACTCTTTGTATTTCTAGAAACACCCATACGGCCTTGCTCTCAGGCAAAACAGGAAGGCGCTATACTATTCCACCCCTGACAGGTATCTATGAATAGATCACAAGTGGCAACTACCCTCGGCCCCATATTTTCAGACCTGTTGCCCTAGGCCACCATGTTTGGATAAATCCGGTTGCCGTCCATGAAAAGCATGTTCCGAACATATTGCCGCTATGCACCGCGAAGCTTCCGCGTATCCCTTCCACTAACATGGCTCCAGGGTACCTGTAAGATCAGCTTGCAGCTTTGACTTGGAGAGACCCCCTGCCTTCATTTGCCGTAATCCCTGGAATCCATGGAAACAAACACATATTTCCAGTAGCGATAGATTCCCTTTAAAACCAACAGGGGAAAAAAACATATTCCTAACCAAATGGAAGCCTGTCAGTCGCCATGGCAACTCCGCGACTTGAGGGCGAAATGCGACTCCGCTCCGAGGCCACGCTGACTTTGGCGAGGCCGCCTGCGAGGTGTTCCGCGGGCGAGTCCGAACCCATCTACAGCCAACTTGGCACCGGCGCACCAAAGACATATGGAGAAACACAGATGGATCCCCCTAGAATGCTTGGTTTCCTTCACCAGTTTGGGAAACTCCATATTCCTGATCCATACTTGGCCAACTTCCTACAGTATCAGAAAATGCGTTGAAGAAATACCAGAAGGGGTTTGCCAAGAGATTATCTGTTGAACAAATACCAGAATGGGCTCGCCAATTTGACAAACTCCCATATGGTCGGACTGTGACCCATACTTAGCCAACCTCCTAACAGAACATCTGCTGAACAAATACCAGAAGGGGTTCACCATTTTGAGAAACGCCCATATGGGCTGACTCTGATCCATACTTACATCTGTTAAACAAGTACCAGAAGGGGCTCGCCATTTTGAGACACTCCCATATGGTCTGACTCTGATCCATACTTAGCCAACCTCCTGACAGAACACCTATTGAACAAATACCAGAAGGGGATCGACATTTGGAGAAACTCCCATATGGGCTGACTGTGATCCAAGTATGCCATACTTGGCCAACCTCCTCATAGAACATCTGTTAAACAAATACTAGAAGGGGCTCGCCATTTTGAGAAACTCCCATTTGGTCTGACTCTGTCATAGAACATCCTTTGAGCAAATACCCAGAAGGAGCTCGCTATTGTGAGAAACTTGCAAATGGTCTGACTGTGATCCCTACTTAGCCAACCTCCTTGTTCGATACCCCGTAAAACAACACCCCTCCAAAAGGAAACCCACTTCGAATGGCCGAACAAAGGTGATGTTTTGAGGACGCGGGACAGGCAAGAGGAGAAAATTGTGAATCCTCAGTGAACATACATTCTGGGTACAATATTGGGGTGAGCCGTCATAGATTCACCATTGCGGGGAACGGGAATATTCATATTCCCGAGCTAGCATTTCAAATCTAGGCCCATCTGTCTGTGCGAATCAGATATTGAACCAAACTCTACAAGGTACCCCCTATGACAGGCGCTCAACATGGTCGCACACGCCGTGGTTGTTGCAATTCACGATGGAAAAGCAAGGAGGCGACTGACTCAAGGAAGTGACATTCTTGACGAAAGGTGACCGACTGTAAAAACCACGGCGTCCGTTTTTCCCGAAATCGCAGCGAATCGTTTCTTCCTGTAAAATTCAAATCACATGAGATACTCCACAGAGGGAGATCACCAAGAAACCGTCGCCCGCGAGGTTGTGTCGAGAAATATCACCAAGATATCGCCCAAGAGATTACGCGATGTAAGATAATAATTTTGAGAGAGATTGCACGTGAGATTGCTGAAAGAGATGTCAAGGAGAGATCACCAGAGATTGCATGCGGGATTGCGCCGCATGATTGCACGTGAGACCTGCGCCCGAAAACTCGCATTCGCATGTGCAACTTAACCCAAAGACTTGCGCCAGAAGACTCAGCTGCAGCTTGAAGTCTTCTAAGGCGGCGCAAGCAGGACCGGGCGGGTCGACTTTCAGGAACTGAAGACTTTTCGACGTTTTGCGGCTTTTCGGCAACCCTCTGCAGTTGCACACAGCACCTTGCACAGAGCACTTGCAAAGCCTATGCTGATCACAGTGCACAAAGCAACTTGTGCGACAAAGATGCTGGCGGAGATTACCGGACAGATTGGGCAGAAACATTGCTCCTACGCGTCGGGCAAAGGGAAATCAGAAAAACTGTCCCATCGGCGACCGCTGAACTCCGCAGAGTGTCGACCTGTGAATAGTCTAGGTCCTCCAGTGGAGAGGTTAGAATAAGGATACCCTTTTCCTGTAGTCTATGTTAGCAGGGGAACCCTCCCCCAAAAAAGGAACGGCAAAAGGGCACTACTGGGGGACCTAGTCGTTGTGAAGCGTCAAAAGCTGCTCGAACGCCAGGCGAGACACTCACGGCTGCCAGCTTCCACGCTCGATGGGTCGAACGGTTAGAATCCGGGAGCATCTCGGGAAAGCAAAAATCGGAGCTTCCCAGTAAGATAGACATGATGCATCCTCTTGCTTTGTAGTGAAAAGGGACACCAAAATGAAACCAATCACTTTGCGGGCCCTTATTTTTGAGAATTCAGAACCCCCTGTAAGCACTTCGTAAGAAAAATATGTAAGCAACTCATAGTTGCTTACTTCCGGCGTCCGGAATTCAAAATTGGTAAGCCACACCTCGTCTCCAACCTCCGACTCCGGCCTGTGCCCTCAATCTTCTGAGAGCACCACAGCCTTCTGAAGCCGAGCAATCCCTTTCCGTTTCGGACATCACGAGCTCTCCTCATTGAGCAAAAGGTCACCTTCTGAGCTCCAAAAGCCATTGATTTCCCAAACGTTTGAGTGGGTGAGGTCACACAAAACACCAGCCATGTTAAATAAGATGAACTCCGATTCTTGGACCAGCAAACGCCCGAATTCAATGTACAACTTTCAGTCATGCCGACGGGTAGGGACAGATTAAATCACCAAAGAGTCTATGCCCGTGCTGGGTTGTTTCCTCTGGCTCTTTAGGAGACATCCAGGCATCGTCCCTTCCAACAAGTTGATTTATCGTGTCACCAAGACATCAATTCTGAAAACTTAGCGGAAGAAGACCTCCAGTTGTTCAAGGACTTTTGCCTTGTCGTCCTGTGTATGGGTGTACCTCTAAGGGGTCCCAACGAGAATTACCCAAGAGCCTGATATAGGACAGCGGCTGGTTCCCCAGTGAATGGGGAGTAATTACAACCTTCTGGGAGCACAAAGCACTAGACCTTGAGTTGACCAAACCACTTTGAAGGCACAGAGGTGTGCCTCAATGCTGATTACCAGGAACATGTAGTTGTATGCGAGCCCACCACAGATTCAAAATGTTTGCACATTCGGTTTGGTTGAATCTGAAGGCTAGAAAGTAATTAGATGATCAAATGGAACATCAGCTTTCAGAGCAATGAGACACTCTCATGAGTCGCTGTTTTGCGCTCAAGAGACTCTCAACATGACATGTTGATAGGTGGTGAAAAGGACGCCAATCCCCAATTCATACTTGGCGAAGCCGCGACTGCGTCCACATAAACCCAGTTCAGCATAGTCCAAGCAAACTTGTTTCATTCACGCATGAACAAACAAAGGCAAGCAAAAGGGAGGCCTTTTGATATTCGAGCCGTCGGAACAGGTCACACAGGCTTTGGGGCGGGGAACCTGAAGGGAAGCACTTCCTCGGGGGGCGCTGAAGGGATTGCACCGTACTCGGCTCAGCTCTCAGCAAAGCGAGCGCTCGGATTCGATGGCGGAAAGCGGAAAGCGGAAAGCGGCAAGCGGGGCGCCGAAGATGTGGCACACTCTCCGCACCGTTGGCATCCTGAACCCGTTTTGTTTTTTCAAGAAGGGGGTGCACACCATGGTTCAACGTAGTTCTTTTTGTGAATGTTGATGGCGAGGGTGGGGGGTGGGAATAAATGATCAAACTGGCATTAATAAAAACCGAATCCCTCGAAAACATACCACAATCCATAGTTCCCCAAGGCTGAATTTCTGGCCTCCGGATGCCTCCGGTGTGGTACAAAAAAAACGGCTCCCCATGCTTCTCCCCGAAAAACCATCACGCCAAAAGGAAACCCAATGCCAAATAGCTGATGAATGAGAAACCACCAAAAGGGGAAATTCAGAGACTAGGTCCTCCAGTCAGAATAAGGGTATACCCTTTTCCTGTAGGGTATAAGTTTAGGGGGAAAAAAACCCTCCCATCCAACAAAGAAACGGTGAGAAAGGGCACATAGCTGACCTAGTATAGATAGTCCAACGGTTTTCCGCGCAGGGCGCCGATTCCTTAAGAAGCGCCTGGGAGAGCAGTCCCAGACACAGCACTGGCCCTTGGCATCGGCGGTGATCAGCGGGCCGTTGTCGAAGGGGCCGTAGGCGATGGTCCTGATGTGAAGCGCCACAAGTTATATGGTGGGTCAAAAATAGGTGCCCAAGCAGGACCCCTGAGAAATGGAAACATGGACTCAAACCTGCAGTCCCCTGGCGGTTTAATTTTGACCCATACCCATTTCCACGAGCATAGGTGTCCTTTGTTCGGGAAAATAGATGGCCCTGGTGTTGATTGAACCACCAGCTAAACCAGGGCCCTCCATGTTTCAACCAAATCAAACAAAGAGAACACCTATGGCCACAAGTATTTTTCCCGAGACGGTCATTCAGAGCCTGAGCCTGAGTCCAACTGAAGGAGTGAAACTGAAACCAGCGAGCCCCATGCCAAGTGGCTTTTTCTCTTCTGATTCCCTGAGCAGAAGTTGAAGATTTTCGACCCCGCTCTTCGAGAGTCTCAGGGTTCCCCTAACTCAAAGTGCCAAGGCATCAGTTGACAACGAAGGCAAGCTCAAGGCATCAGTTGGCAAACTGCCGGGTTTTGCTGTCAGATTTAACACGAACATGGGGCCCCTTGACACAAAGGCAAAAGGGCAGCAAGGCGACACGGCGACAACCATCAGAAAGGGCAGCGACTTGTTGTTGTGGGGTGGTTTGGTTGTGGGGGGGAGACTTGTTGGACCTTTTTTGTAGCTGATTGGTTTGTTGATCCCTTGCTGAAAGTTAAACTTTGCTCGTGGCCCTGTGAATCCACTTCCCTCAAAAGTGGGTAATCAAGAAAACCATTCTTTACAAACTAGAAGGTCATAGATGGCTACCCATTGTGGTAACTAGGATGCAAGGGATACCTAGGACCTCCATTGTGTGTAAAATAACTGCTTTTTCAGAAATATCTGCTTTTTAACCCCTGCGAGCGTTTTTCGAATTTGCGAGCGTTTTTCCTAATCATAAAATATTTGATAATTATGCAACTTCTGCACTCATGATGTTCGTGAAAAAAGCGGATTTTGCCGGTCAAAAAGCGGATTTTGCCGGTCAAAAAGCGGATTTTCCTGCCATTGAATACGCTGCCCGCTCCAGGAAAACTATGGAAGGAAGCAAGGCTCCAAAAAGCACTTTTGAATCGAAACGGCGAATTTGAAATGAAACGACGGAAATGTGTGCTTGTTCATCAAACGGCAGAAATTTTACACAGCGGATGTTCTAGGTATGTCATACATTTCTCTGCACGTTTCTCAAAGTCCGAGTGGATGGCTGGGAACGGTGGGATTCAATGTCCCGATCATTTTATGAGGACCACGTCAAAGGCACGATGGGTAGCGTCAAGCAGTTCTAAAAGTAAGGGAACCCAACAAATGATGGGTGGCTTCCTTTGCTGCCCCCTCAAAAAGCATCACCGAAAGAGTAAAGTAGATCGTGAGTCACCAAACGTGGTGCTTTTCACCCTGTGGCGACTTGTCATGCTGAGGTTGCCGCTGTATGGGTACATCCTCGGCGACTCGAGTGAGAAAACCAGGCGAGGGCTTGTGATCTAACAAAAGATGTGAAAAGGCACGATTCCAAATTGAGACCCTTGCCTGCTGAACCCATGAGCTGCAGTGACTGTGGATGGACATGCTGCACCAGTTGGTAGGCCCCAGTGTGAAGGTTTCATCCATGCCGCCTGGTGCCTGGTTTGGATTTTGTCCGTCAGGGGTTCCCCTAAATACTGCAAGTGCACCAACCGCAACCACGGCGGCACCGTCTCCTGGATTCAATCGAAGGTGCATTACGACATTGATGGCTTTCCAAAACTGGACACCACGTTTTTTGTGACTCCAAAGGGAAACCTTTTCCAAAGGCAACTAGGTGCGCCGCCGGGCAGTGGTTCAAGAGATGGACCGCGCACTTCATTTGACGGAAGGTGGCAATCCATTTGATGCTGCACATGCTTCATCTCTTTCTGGTTTCCTTTTCAACACCATCCTGAAGGCGCATTTGAAAGGGGGTGCCTGATTTCTGGGATTCCCCACATCCTTTGAACAGCCGCCACAGCAAAGCAGTCTGTTGTGTTCCGCCAGAAGGATACAAAGCCAAATGACTTTCTCCTGCCCTGAGCTCAAAGTACACACGGCGCCACGCGACAATCACATGAACAAAGCAGAGTGAGTGCCTGGCGTGTGCGATGATGGCGTTCCTCGGCTTTGGCTGGCAAGCAGCATGTGCGCGAGACCGCCAAAAGTCACAACCGCACATGGATAGTTGTTTCATGCTAGGAGCAATGAACAACCAGGGTCTATAGAGGAAGCGTCAAAGAGCTTTTCAAAACAATGATAGGTCCTGATGTTGCACAGGGATCCTTACATTAACACCTGAACATTGCCTTGTAAATGATGGTGTCCCTTGAAAACATGTTTTAAATGGGCAAAATGTATCTTTTAAGGAGCCCTGTTGCAGAACAGTACAAGTAGCAAAGTAGATCTGGTGCAAGGTCAGGCTCCGAATGGGATATAGCTGAAGTATGTGATAGAGAATTTGCCGACGGCACAGGTATTCTAAGCAGCTTCCTTTTCTGCTGTTCCCTTGGATGCCCTGAGTCATCCGAACAGATTCTCGATTGTTGAGACACACCCACACAACACTCCGTCACAACAATGTCTCTCTACCAAGGCAGAGCTAGTGCTTGTGGGAACACTTCCAGTGATATCTGCGCGTCTTGCGATCTACAGCAGCTTGATGTAGCTTGTAGCTGCTACTCGCCCTTTTGCAGAAGGCTGGCTGGCCAGCTGAAGCCAAGTGTTGTTGAATCAAACAATCACTGGGCGTAATCAAGCCGCAGGAAGAGCGAATCAATGATTGGTTGTGTTAGACCCCCAATTGGAATTAGGCCCTCGATTGTAGCAATTGCTTTTTCGCAACTGTTTTTCGCAAGAGGGTCCAACATTCGCAAGGGCTCTCTGCGGGGTGCCTGTTGCTACCTGAGATTCCCTTGACCTTGTTATTCATTCAGCATGTTCTCTCTGCACCATTCAGTGAGATGTTCGATTGGCACTGTACAACATATTCCTTTCTTTGACATGGCAGGGAAGAAAACTCACACAAACGTCAAAATCAGGAAGGAATACAGTATTCGGAATACACCAACAACTGCGACACAAAAGCATATCCAGCTCAGCGGCTCAGCAGTAGGAGAAGGAACCACTTGGGTTAGCTTCGAACATGGGCGTTTCTTGGGACTGTCACACCAAATGCCATCTTTTCGGGACCGAAACCTACAAGGAATTTCTTTGTTCCCTTGTGGAAACCTTGCCCATTTCTTGGGCAAATCTCATACCTCCAGCAATGCGGCACCCAATGGGTATGTGTCAAAGCCACAAGCCTCTCAAAAGTATGCTTGACGCGGTCCCTGGTTTTGACAGCGACCAGCTATGTGAGCCACGGTCAAAATGTTCTTCGGCAAAGACATGGGAAAGTCAGAGTGTCTCCTGGTCTTGGAATTGACCACAAATTACCAGGACCGAATAGTTGGCTGAACCTCATAGCCATGTCGCTGGCACATGGGCGTAGGTCCAAGCGTCCACTCCTGCGCATTGACCCCCCCCCGACGCTTGCATCAGGGTGCAAAGCAAACACACAACCCTCCACCAACTAACATGGAACCTGTCCGGAGACCCCTCAAGTGGCTTCCATATAGTGAATGGGAGAAAGCTTAGACCAAAAGAGAAACCACCACGGCTTTTGCCCCAAAAGGTATGTCTGATTCCTTTTCTCCTCTAGTGACTCTAGTGAATCTCAAAAACAGATACCAGAAAAGAGAGGGGGTCGGATCCAGTCCATTGGTGCCATCTCTTTACCCATCCTTGTATCCAGCTCTCTAGTCACGGCAAGTCTCATCTGACAGCAAGATCTGCCTCAGCCTCAATGGGTCATTGGCTCCCTGACTCGATTCGAACAGGCAGTGTTGATACGTAAAGCACCCGATGCCAAAACCTGGCCCTCAGAGGGTCCAAGATTTGATTTCGGTTTCAGCAATATGTCAAGTGCATGTCCAAGAAATCCACATGAGGCACCAAAAGGAAACCCTCTGGGCATTGCATTGCTCTTCCAGTTTGTGGCATTCGGTTTCCGCGGCTGCGGCGTATGGCAAAATCGTATGGTTGATTCATCTCTCCTTTTGGAACGAAACCATACATTCCTTTTGTTAGCCGACAGGGAGGATGGAACTCATTACTTGCAGATTCATGTCCACCAACCTTTTCCTCACTTCCTGAGTAAAATGGCCAAACACAGGTACATTTTCTGTTTACCAAAATGGCCTTCCCAAAACGGACAAAGTCCAGGACTTGAGGGACTCCCTATTGAAATATACAGCCAGTCTTGAAAGCATGCCCGAAAACCGCAAAAAAAAGGTCCATCAGCACGCCGGCATCCTCACCGGCCTCAAGCGCATGGGAATGTTCTAGCCCAAACCACCCCAAAGCAAAAGGTGGGGGGGGCTGTAGTCCCCTTTCATGGACCCGGGCTATGTCAGTATTATCAGTGTTTTGCCAGTGTTTTATAACGTTGTTGCATTATTGTTGTTGTCGCAGAATGGGGGGGGGGGGCGCAGTGCCAGCTTTTATATATATATATATATAATGTAAGAAATGATGTCACCATTTGCCATGCTCCAGGTCTCCGTATGCATCTTCGGAGTATTGGGACACACGAGATGTGTTGGCTTTACTAATATATTATATATATATATGTATATATATATATATATGCAACCATTCTGGGAATCAAGATTCAAGAATCTGAGAACACTATGTTTGGGAACCTGTAATATTCAGCCCCACATTTATCTAATACTGTTGTTTCAAAATTTGGAATTCACGATTCAATAATTCGACAAACATCCTTTTGGGAATCGCGAATCCCATATATATATATATATATATATTTGTCTGATCTAGTGTTCCAGGTTTCCAAACGTGCTTCTCCGATCGTGCGTGCGTCCGTCTGCGGGGTCACATGTATTTAATCTGCAACCCTCTCAGCTTTCCCAATTCCCGCACTGGCTGGGTCCCAAGTACGAGGACAAGATTCTCGGAGAAAAACTGTGCAATATTCAATGTTGAATCTTCAGTCCAGTGGTGAAATACTTGACCGCTTGGTTCGGAGTTGGCCGGGAGTGAAGATTCTCGCAAAAGTGTTCCGTGCAATCGTCAACCTTGAATCTTCAATCCAGCCGTGAAATACTTTTCAGTGTTTAGCAATCCAGTGGAAACACGTTCAAGTTGAAAGACTTTCAAGTTTTGTTGGTGAGCTTTTTTATTCATGTCAGCTATGCTCATTTCGACCTCTTTTCAAAGAGAGCAATAAGGTAATTTGGTGCAATGATCAAGCACACTGTATAGTACATTATTTTATGAAGAGGCGCAGGTTCATGAGGGGCACCATATGCATGTATATATGTATGCTCCACCCATTTACTAACTTTCCACATCTGCTCATCTGCTACCTCCGCCTTCGAGATAGAATGAAATGTTTCCCTGTTCAAATCAGATTTTAAGTACTACTGATCTGGCTAGAATTGCTATTTTGAGATTGATTTTCTGATTTGGGACACCAAAACCAGAATCTGGAGATCTGAATCCTTGAACTGTCCAGCTTTGGGCCCCCGAAGCCTCACAATTTGGAGCCCGGAGTCCTCCGAAATGTCCAAATATGATTCCTTTCCAAATATAATTTTACTTCAACCCGAAGTTTGAATTTGAATACAACTAAGTAAGAACATAGTTCACCAGAATTTCTATGTGCAACTAGAACTTGTATAGGATGTCCTTTTCAAATAGGAGTTTGATTAAAGCTTAAGAAAACATAAATATAGATTAATACGGAAATAATTGAACCGGCCTTTGACCATAAAACTCAAAGAATACTTCTTTGATGTAAGCTCAAGTAGAATGTTATACGGACAAAATTCAATTGGCAATCGAACATATCAAGGGAACTCATTCCCAAATACGGTTTAGAGTAGATGTGGATACTATTATACCAAAGAATCAGGAACACAGTTCAACTATATTTGTTTTCTTAACTTCGGCCTTGAGTATGAATTCCCTTTCAAACATGATGCGAATGACAGTTGTATTAAACATTCAAGTGGCATCTAGTCAGGAAATCTGTGGAAATCGCTTCAATCTAGGACTTGCATTGTTCTTACTGTTGCTTACACTATGGCCCTTTTGTAGAATAAGAAAGGTCCGAAATTTATATGATTTAGACCATCCTCACAAAAGGCACCAAGACCTGAGCCCATTGGGGTGAAAAACAAAATGCAATGCCATGGACAACTAGTATGTATACATATTTCTATATATATATATATATTATCTTCGAGGCGCCCAGGGAGGACAAACCTATATCAGCAAACCGCCCCAAGAAAAACTGGGCTAATATGCGCCATGTAGTGAAACCAAGTAGTGGAGACCGCTTGGTTGGGTGGGGCGGCAAAACCACGTGTCCAACATTGGCGATGAAATCTTATACAGCAGGAACCCTTACATTATACACCTGAACATTGCCTTGTAAATGGTGGTTTCCCTTTTTGGCGGGAAATGCCAAGTTTCAAAGGGCAAAATGTATCTTTTAAGGAGCCCTGTACAGGAGTGATTGATAAAACCGCCCATTGCATGCTGCAGAAGCCCAAAGACGGCACACCAAATTGCTGCCCCTTAGTAGCGACGGCGCAAGCCAGTTTTTCCACACCGAAACTCTGCCCAAGCAGGGGTTACCGGAGGGCCAAGTCTCGTTTTTTTGGCTAAAACACCGAGCCATATGTGTCGATGTCAGCTGAGAAACCTCGCGGAAAGCCCGAAGAGCTGCAAAGGAATAGCTCAATGCCGGGAACCGCGCCACATGCTGGCCCTTTGCCATGACCCCGGCGACCTGCGAGCCAGAAATCCGGTCCGACCGAAGAAAGTTCCATAAGCAAGTTGCAACAGGTGGTCGTCTTCCAGCCTTTGCAACCATCCACTGTTGGATCTGGCTGCTTGCCAGGCAATAACAAAGAAAGCTGCCCAAAACTGCGTGCAATTAACTTGCTTATTTGAGCGTCCTCCTGGAGTACGCATCGTGTCCGGAAATAATAAACATGACGGTCAGTGCCTACATGCGTCACAATCAAAACTTAGTACTGGCGTGTCTTTTGGGGAACCATGTTCGGTTGCATTGAAAGCGAGAAAGAGGAAACCAACCATTTGGCGGTAACAAAATGAGACAAATTCATGAGATCAGATCAAGGAAGCTGACAAAACATATAAGCTGCCCCTGCGTTCCCGTGTTGTCCTTCACGTCACGTTGTGTGTGTCTCTGCTGGTGCAAGCAATCTCATCCTCCATTTGCTTAAGCCCTCTGGGGAAAAGTCATTTTTCCAATATATATATATATATAGTGATATATATATATATTGATATATATATATATATATATATAATATAGATTCCCTTTAAACCAGCGGGACGAACACATAATCTCACGCAGACGGAGGTGGGCCTTGGGGTTTGGAGAGCATGGCCGGACTTTACACTCGGTTTGGTCATCGGGGTAACGCAAGGGAGTCCCGGGAGTGGTCTTGCCCCTTGGGACCATGGATTCGCTCCGTGCTTTAAAGGGCACTCAAAACACAGGCACGCAGCCTTCAATTTTCAAATGGAAGCCAAGACAGTCCACCAATGCGCTGCGTCTTGCGCTCGTGGGCTTAAGGGATTCAGTGCCAGGCGTTGGGCAAACCATTGAACGATCGCAAAAACCCAAACCAACCCCACCGGCCTGAGCCACCCTTCTGTTTTGCTTCCGCGACGCACATGTCAGGAAGTCTCGGGGCACGTCGCGTCAACCGCAGCGAGGGCGGCTTCGGTTGGTTTCACAGGCTCGGGCCCGGATTTGAGTTCATTGGAGAACGACATAAAGCACTCACACGGTACAGCAAATGATCTTCGCCAATGAAACATCAGCTCGTCTTGGCCAGATCTCCATGCAAACGGCGTCTCCCTGCAGCTGAGATGATGGCAGTGGCCGCGCAAAGTGCACGATCCACGCGCCGGGAAGAAGCAACACAAGTTGCTGGCAAGCTTCAAGACCACCTCTGAACCAAGCTCTGATCAAAGTCAACTTGAAATACACACACACACACAAGGATTCCTAAGCTTCAACTGCTCATGATTTCGGATCCACATGCCTCGGCGCTTCCACTCCGGCTGGGATCGAGCAAAGACCACATATGGTCATCAAAACCGCAACTGCACGGACCTTCGCAGCCGCTTGTGGCATCTCCGGCTGCGGGCTGGGAAGCCTATACAAGTTCTCAATTCTCTCCTGTTGTCCTGGTCAACCAGTCAGACTACTGAGCCTTCAATGGCACGCAAGCCAAGGGAAAGAAGGGACGACCACGAAGAAGAAGGGATCAGTGTGCAGAGTGTCCGAGCAACATCCTGTCTCCGAAAAACGAAAGCAAAGTTAGTATGGTGTCCGTTCCCAATGGGCCCGCGCAACTGGTTGGCAGCAAGTTGACTGGCTGATCTGCAGAATTCATCCGACTCCTTTCGCCGTCCTTTCGCGGGCCTCAGGCTTCCTGTCTCGGAATGACATGTTTCAAATGAAGCAACCTCTTGATGGCTGGGTTGGGCTGAAGGGCTGTAAAAGCTTGGGTTGCTGAGACAGACGCGCATGAGGGGCCGCCGCAGCTTTCCAAGGGTTACCTTGCCCTCCGGAATCTGCTCAGCGAGGGAGCAGGCCAGCAGTTCAGCAGGTCTGCGGGGCACAAAGTACGCTGTCTACCCCAGCAGATTGGAGTGGGACTAGCGCAGCCCCGCTTTCAGAGTTGTCGTTTGCGCGTGCAAGATTAGGAGACTGGCAGGCAAAGTTTGCATGCTTCGTTGGCCCATGCGAGGACAAATGCATCCGCCTGAATGCCGATAACGACGAAACCGTTGCTTCCAAGCTTGCCACGGAGCTCTGGGCATGGCCAAGCGGGCGTAGCCAACGTGTGGATGCATTGCTCAGGTCAGGCCAACATCCGCACTGCCATCCGAAAGCCCACGGCCACAAGCACGCCTGGTTTCGTCGAGCGTCCAAAGTGGAACCTCTGAGCTGTTTTGAAGCGAAGCCAGAAATCGAAGCACATGCTGGAGAACTGCCTGCCAGCCTTAGCTTGAGGGTTGGGAAGTAACAGTGTTGCAGGCGCTGCAAGGCAACGCGTCAGACTCAAATGGTGCGAACACCAACGCGCAGGCCAGCGTTGCCGTGTCTGCCAACTAAATCAGCGGTCTGAAGCTGAAGCTTGCCGTGGAGTTCTGGGCGCGGCCAAGCTGACGGAGCCCCACGACTCTGTGCTGTGCTCAAGTCAACCAGAAATGACGCGCCTCGTAGTGCCAGGTCAGGGATAATACACTGGGACGCTGCTGTGACGGGACTAAGCCTTGTTAGCTGGAAACTTTGCAAAGCTCTCGGCATGGGTTGGCTGTGTGCACCACCAGCTGCGGATGGCAACGTCGAAGGAACTGCCATCCGAGAGCCCACGGCCGCAAGCACAGCTGGCTTCGTCGAGCGTTCACAGTGGAACCTGTGAGCTGTTTTGAGGCGAAGCCAGAACTCGAAGCACATGCTGGAGAACTGCCTGCCAGCCTTAGCTTGAGGGTTGGGAAGTAACAGTACTGCCGGCACTGCAAGGCAATGCATCAGACTCAGAAGGTGCGAACACCTGCGCCGGCCAGCATTGCTGTCTGCCAACCACACCAGCAGTCTGAATCTGAAGCTCTGGGCGCAGCCAAGCTGACGGAGCCCAACGAGTCCGTGCTGTGCTCAAGTCAACCCAAAACGACACGCCTCATGATGCCAGGTCAAGGAACACATCCCTGGAATACACTAGGACGCTGCGGTGTGCAGGTACTGAGATGAGCCTAAGCCTTGTTAGCTGCTTGGCCAGCAGGCTCCGCAGAGATTGACTCTTGCCACGTGCGGCTGGCAACTTCGCAAAGCTCTCGGCATGGGTCGGCTGCCTGCACCACCAGCTGCGGATGGCAACGTCGAAGGAAACGCCATCCGAGAGCTTACGAAGTCAACTCACGCAGGGCTGGCTTTGTTGTGCTTCCAAAGTACAACCTGTGAGCTGTCTTGAGGCGGCGAAGCCAGCAACCGAACCACATGCTGGAGAAACGCCTGCCAGCCTTACAGTGAGGGCTGACAAGTAACGGTACGGCCGGCGCTGCGAGGCAATTTGTTAGACTGAAACGGTCAGGCCAGCGTTGCTGTGTCTGCCAACCACACCAGCAGTCTGAAGCTGAAGATTGCCGCGGAGCTCTGGGCGCAGCCAAGCTGACGGCCCAACGGCTCCGCGCACTGCTTAAGTCAACCCAACATAACGCGCCTCATAGTGCCATCTAGTGCTACTCCTGGCTCAAGCACGTTAGAGGGGCACCATCGCTGGGCGCTCCACCAAACCAAGTTTGTTAAGCCACTTACAACGTGCCACCACAGCTCCAGAACGGCAGCCTCGCTTTGCCGAAGCGCTTTGTAGAACCCTTCGCAGAACTTCCCAGCCAACTACGCAAGTGATTAACCTGATTCGCAGAACCGCGCAGGAGTGCTTCGCAGAACCACTTTGCAAAATCACTCGCCGAAGCAAAACAGTTCGCAGAGCCTATTTGCTGGGAACACATTCAGCTGAGACTGGCCTAAGCCTTGTTGGCTGCTTGGCCAGCAACCAAAGCCCAGGTCGGTATTGCCTTCACCACCAGCTTCGGATGAGTTTCGGATGACAACGTTGAAAGGAATGCCATCCGAAAGCCGACGCCTGTCTTTGCAAGTAGGCCCAGTTTCGTTGAGCTCCCAAAGTGCAACCTCCGAGCTGTCTTCAGGCAAAGCCACAAAGTGAAGCACATGCTGGACAAAAGCCTGCTAGCCTTAGCGTGAGGGCTGAAGGGCAACGGCACTGCCGGCGCTGCAAGCCAATGCATCACACTCAAAAGGTACGAACATCTGCGCCGGCCAGCATTGCTGTCTGCCAACCACACCAGCAATCTGAAGCAGAAGCTTGCCGTGGAGCTCTGGGCGCAGCCAAGCTGACGGAGCCCAATGAGTCCGTGCTGTGCTATTCAACCCAAAATGACGCGCCTTGACATGCCAGGTCAAGGAACAAATCCCTAGAATACACTGGGACGCTGCGGTGATGGGACTAAGCCTTGTTAGCTGCTTGGCCAGCAGGCTCTGCAGAGATTGACTCTTGCCACGTGCGGCTGGCAACTTCGCAAAGCTCTCGGCATGGGTCGGCTGCGTGCACCACCAGCTGATGGCAACGTCGAAGGAACTGCCATCCGAGAGCCCACGGCCGCAAGCACAGCTGGCGTCGTCGAGCGTCCAAAGTGGAACCTGTGAGCTGTTTTGAGGCGAAGCCAGAAATCGAAGCACATGCTGGAGAAATGCCTGCCAGCCTTACCTTGAGGGCTGGGAAGTAACAGTACTGCCGGCGCTGCAAGGCAATGCGTCAGACTCAATTGGTCAGGCCAGCGTTGCTGTGTCTGCCAACCACACCAGCAGTCTGAAGCTGAAGCTTGCCGCGGAGCTCTGGGCGCAGCCAAGCTGACGGCCCAACGGCTCCGCGCTCTGCTCAAGTCAACCCAACAACAACATGACGCGCCTCATAGTGCCATCTAGTGCTACTCCTGGCTCAAGCACGTTAGAGGGGCACCATCGCTGGGCGCTCCGCCAAACCAAGCTTGTCAAGCCACTTACAACGTGCCACCGCGGCTCCAGAACGGCAGCCTCGCTTTGCCGAAGCGCTTTGTAGAACCCTTCGCAGAACTTCCCAGCCAACTACGCAAGTGATTAACCTGATTCGCAGAACCGCGCTGGAGTGCTTCGCAGAACCACTTTGCAAAATCCCTCGCCGAAGCAAAAAAGTTCGCAGAGCCTATTTGCTGGGAACACATTCAGGTGCGACGGGCCTAAGCCTTGTTGGCTGCTTGGCCAGCAACCAAAGCCCAGGTCGGTATTGCCTTCACCACCAGCTTCGGATGAGTTTCGGATGACAACGTTGAAAGGAATGCCATCCGAAAGCCGACGCCTGTCTTTGCAAGCAGAGCAGTCCGCAGCCAAGCTGACGGAGCCAACCGACTCCGTGCTGTGCTATTCAACCCAAAATGACGCGCCTTGTAATGCCAGGTCAAGGAACAAATCCCTAGAATACACTGAGATGCTGCGGTGATGGGCCTAAGCCTTGTCAGTTGCTTGGCCAGCAGGCTCCGGTGCAGCTGGCAACTTCGCAAAGCTCTCGGCATGGGTTGGCTGTGTGCACCACCAGCTGCGGATGGCAACGTCGAAGGAACTGCCATCCGAGAGCCCACGGCCGCAAGCACAGCTGGCTTCGTCGAGCGTCCAAAGTGGAACCTGTGAGCTGTTTTGAGGCGAAGCCAGAAATCGAAGCACATGCTGGAGAACTGCCTGCCAGCCTTAGCTTGAGGGCTGGGAAGTAACAGTACTGCCGGCGCTGCAAGGCAATGTGTCAGACTCAATTGGTCAGGCCAGCGTTGCTGTGTCTGCCAACCACACCAGCAGTCTGAAGCTGAAGCTTGCCGCGGAGCTCTGGGCGCAGCCAAGCTGACGGCCCAACGGCTCCGCGCACTGCTCAAGTCAACCCAACATAACGCGCCTCATAGTGCCATCTAGTGCTACTCCTGGCTCAAGCACGTTAGAGGGGCACCATCGCTGGGCGCTCCGCCAAACCAAGTTTGTCAAGCCACTTACAACGTGCCACCGCGGCTCCAGAGCGGCAGCCTCGCTTTGCCGAAGCGCTTTGTAGAACCCTTCGCAGAACTTCCCAGCCAACTACGCAAGTGATTAACCTGATTCGCAAAACCGCGCAGGAGTGCTTCGCAGAACCACTTTGCAAAATCCCTCGCCGAAGCAAAAAAGTTCGCAGAGCCTATTTGCTGGGAACACATTCAGCTGAGACGGGCCTAAGCCTTGTTGGCTGCTTGGCCAGCAACCAAAGCCTAGGTCGGTATTGCCTTCACCACCAGCTTCGGATGAGTTTCGGATGACAACGTTGAAAGGAATGCCATCCGAAAGCCGACGCCTGTCTTTGCAAGCAGGCCCAGTTTCGTTGAGCTCCCAAAGTGCAACCTCTGAGCTGTCTTCAGGCAAAGCCACAAAGTGAAGCACATGCTGGACAAAAGCCTGCTGGTTTTGGCGTGAGGGCTGAAGGGCAACGGCACTGCCGGCGCTGCAAGGCAATGCATCAGACTCAAAAGGTGCGAACACCAACGCGCAGGCCAGCATTGCCGTGTCTGCCAACTAAATCAGCAGTCTGCAGCTGAAGCTTGCCGCGGAGCTCTGGGCGGAACCAAGCTGACGCAGCCCAACGACTCCTTGCTTTGCAAGCAACCTTACGCGCCTCACAACGCGCTAGTGCTACTCCTGCTACCCAGCGCTGGCTTTGCCGGGATTGACTCCTACGTTGTGCACCTAGAACTTCGCAAAGCTCTGGGCATGTGTTGCCATCCGAGAGCCCACGCCTGGCTTCGTCGAGCTTCTAAAGTGGAACCTCGAACCACCTGATGGACAAACGCCTGCTTCAAACTCAAATGGTGCGTTGAACACCTGCGCAGGCCAGCATTGCGGTCTTCCAACCACACCAACAGTCAGCTCTGGGCTTAAGCTGACGGAGCCCAACGACTGTGCGCTTTGCTCAAGTCAACCCAACATGAGCCTAAGCCCTGTTAGCTGCCTGTCCAGCAGGCTCCGCACAGATTGACGCCTACCATGTGCAGCTAGAACTTCGCAAAGCTCTGGGCATAAATCGGCCTTCACCACCAGCTGCGGATGGCAACGCCGAAAAAATTGCCATCCGAGAGCCCATGCCGGTCACCGCAACCGGGCGCGTCGAGCTCCCAAAGTGGAACCTTGAACCACCTGCTGGGCAAGCGCCTGCTAGCACAGCGTGGGCAACGCATCGACATCAAATGGGCCTAGGTTGCGGAGGCGTCAGGCTCAAATGGTATAAGCACTGTGCGGAGGCTTGAATCAAACTTTCCATCAAGTTCTGGGCACAGCCAAGCTGCAAAGGGCGCGAATTGGCTGGGAAGTCTGGCTTCACAGCCACAGCGCCGGCAGATCTACTCCTGGTCCGGGTGAATGGTTGGTACACCCACTGTTAGCCCAGCCGCTGTGCAAGCAGCTCTTGAACCAATCGATATGTGCTTATTCTCCAATCAGGGAGCACTTCTTAGCTTGGCCATGCTGAGACCCAAGTTGAAGCGAGTCAAGGCATGGCATGTCCGAATGGCAAGCGGTTCAATAATTATTGTCTATATTGGCTTGGGCCAAACGCTCTGAATCCTGCCATATTTGTTCACCGTCTGGGCGTGCTTCTTCACCGTCTGGGCGTCCCTTTTTCAGGAAATGTTGAAGTCATCTCCTTCGGTTTGCTTTGGAATGGTTTCCCGACCCTACTAGAAAGCGAACATCTCAAAAACCAGGCAACTGCCGGCACAAACCAAAACGTAGTCCCTTGGAAGCGACCACTTGCCCAGCTCTCCATTGGATTTTCATGTGAAACAAATGGTGCCTTTGTTCTGGTACTTGATGTCAACAGGAAACCCCTCACTTTAAAGGGATCCCCGCATTTCAATCAGAGTTCTACAAAGGAACCCACCTTTCAAACGAACACAAAGCTAACTTTGCTTTTTTTGTGGAAACATCTTAAAGTAAAACAACTACGCAAACACCATAGCCCCACGGACGCTGCTCGGAACGAGTGGGGCTCCCGACGAAGAGCATGCCCCGCGGCACGCTGGCGGTTGCCCGGCCTGTGGCCTATCCAAGCGGGAACGAGCAAAAAATTGTTTCACTTGGCCAGTGACTGGCCCCAAAAAAGTTTACACTTTTTGGGCCACTAAAATAAAGGGAGAGCCACCAAGGAACAAAGTATAAAGTCTTAAAGTGTGTCCACTGGCTGGGTGAGTCGTGACTTGGATGTTCTCTTCGGCAAGTGGTTTAAGAGTTGAGGCTTTTGACCCCCTAACAAGGTTCACTCCCAAGGCAAGAGGAACTTGTAAGTGGGTAACCCACAACTTACTAACTTGGCCGAACACCCAAGTAGACCCTTTCTAGGTTAAATATCTAGTTTCAACAGAGAACCCAGCGAACACATGAGCGGAGTTTTTTTGGGGTACATGAAAAGGGGAACTCCGCGGAACCTACGCGAGCCTACGCGAGCTGCATTTTTGCAGGGTTTCAGCCTACGCGGAGGCAGTTCCTACGCAAAAAGCCTACGCGGCCTTTGCGGACTGCGCAGGCACACTATTCCAGCCTACGCGGCTCCGGGCGCTACAAAAAAAACAACAACTCTGCTCACATGTTGTTTGGGCTCACCATGATTGAAGGGGAACTCAAGCAAAGCCTTTCGGGGTTCACCTTTTTGGAGAATGCATCAACAAAAGCTTGGTAAAATTCACCTATATTTATATAAGAAGGCAACAAACAACAACTTATTGAGTTTCAAATGAGAACCCTAACACTATGTTTGTCACTGTTTTTTAGATAACGCTTCGTTCGGGTTCAAAAGAGAACCCACACTATGCTTTGGGGTTCAGCTCGCTTTAGAGATCGAGTCAGACAAACCGAACAAAACTCATTGGGGCTCAATAGAATCCAAATCCAAATAGACGTGTTGTGGAGGTTTACCTGTCTTTCGAACACGCCAAACAATTAAACAAAAGGGTCCGTTTTTCTTTTGGTTAAAAGGGGGCACCCTTTCTAGAAAACACCAACAACACCTAGCTTGTTGGGATTGAAAAGAGACCCCGCATTTTTGTTGGGGCTTACCTTTGTTGAGAGAACACACCAAGCAAAGCTTATTGGGGTTCCAAAGAGACCCCACACTTTCTGTTGGGACTTACCTTTGTTGAGAGAACGCACCAAACAAAGCGTGTTTTCAAGAAAACCCACACTTTTTGTTGGGGCTCAACCAACCAACGCTTTTCTGGGCTTCCCCATTTTTGAGGGGAACTCGAACACATTGGCCACAAGGGTGCCACAGGAAGCCACTGAACAACTGGGTCTACCCCACAGTCGGTCGGAGCAGGCGTTTTGTCAGAGCCTTGATATCCTGTTTATGTTCACTCCTGCTTTTTCGTCTTCAAACTCGAAACACCTAAGATCCGAACCCCAGCAACCAAAACAGGAGACATACACGGACCCCTCTGCCGTTAAAAGCCCATATCAATAAAGAGGTCCAGAAGTTTCATAATCCCCCCCTAAAAAAAGAGTACGTGACGATATTGTCACTAGAAACATTTGGTCCATTGCCCATATAGGCCACCCACAATACTAGTTCCTGTTAGTTCAATTGGGTAGGCCTGCCATGCCCTCTCCAAATCTATCCACAAACCACTAAGATTGAACGTAGCTATGTTATATTAGCACCGGAATCCATGGAACCGTTCGCATGTGGACACGGCACAAGATCCACATCGCATCAAATGGGATTGGTGGTTGCTCCGGAAGGTCCACTTGCTCAATTCGAAGACATGTCCCATTTCGCCGCATTTAGGGTGGGGCCACCCATTGGTTTAAAGTTGTTTAAACCACTGGTTATGATGATTCTTCCCTTGTAAAGGTGGTGTTGAAACCATATTTTGCCCCACCCAGCCCGCATTCCTGCCTGCCCCCCGGACCATCTCGACACCGGGCGCTTCAGCGCCGAAAGCCGCGAGAGGCGAAACGTCAACCTTGCGCGGGGCGCGAAATGCAAAGCCGCAACTCCTTTCGCAGCAACAGAGTCTGGGTTGCTTTCAGCTCCCCGGCTAAAGGTACTTAACTTTTAGTGGTTTAATACGGAAAACCCACTAGTTGGCAAAAAGTTAAAGTCCTCACATCCAAGCAAAGCAGTGGTCTTACCCCACATTATTGCCGTGTTTGCCGAACAGAACATGTAACAACATCAGTGTGTACACATGACACATACGTTGTGTACCATACACCCTTGGATCAAACGCCAGCACGTGTAAACAAAGGCAAACCCCGGAAGCAAATGAAATAAACACAAGCGGGGCACAAATCAACAACTCACATCATGGCAGCCAAAGCAAAACGAAGCAAACTTGGCCCAAAAGGAAGGCCATTTTCAAGGTGAAGAGGGGATGTAGCGATCGCCGCCAAACATAACGGACCAAGGATGTTCACTGGAACGAGTGGTTTGAAGGCCAATTGAGAAATCCAGTGAGCAATGAACTTCACAATTGAAACACTGGGGTAACGTTGACTGTTGTCATAAGGAAGTGAACCGCTGAGCTGACCGGCCAGAAAAGAGTTCACTCAAAACTGGAAGAATTCCACCAACAGTTTCAGCTCTCCGGCTCAAAAGGTACACGGACGGCCCCACTAACCCCCCCAAACCCGCGCCAAAACAAACAAACACGTAACGGCTATACGAGTAGCGCAAAACAGGCGCTGTGGAGTGCCAGAAAGATGACAAGGCCCCTTGCTGTGATGGGCTTGTTTTTTTGTTCATTCCCATACTACATCCTCCAGTAGAGAGGATAGAATAAGGGAATCCTTATTTCTGTAGTCAAGGCCTAGCATAATTGCAGGTGACATTCTCGGGGCCTCCTTTTTTGTTGGCTGCCTGGATTCTCGCCCTGGGCGGGAAGGGCTGGCTCGAAAACCAGATATCCCCGGCCCCCCAGTTAAAAAAATCGTTTCGAAAGGCGTGAAATCCAAAAGCGGCGAATGGAACCGGGGTGCGTTTTGTTTGGAATCACCAGTTGCTCACTCACTTGCTTGGTGGAGAGTGCAAAACGAGAAAATCCAGCATCAAAACAGCTAATGAGATTTCAACAAAAAGGAACCGGTTCCCTTTAATACCATTTGGCAGTTGATTCAGATGCAACCATGACTACTCTTTCACTTTGCAGGAACTAAAAGTGGCAACCTCAAACCACCTTTCCCAACTGGGCTGCCCTCAGATCCCCTGCTCAAAGTTTAACCCTTGGTGATTCTAATGGAAACCACCACTAAACACTAAGAGGCTAGAAAGCTAAGGAACCGGATGGCTAGCCACGCCAATACTCTGCTGAGGCCCCTGCGGATTCTCTTTGGTCTCTTTGCCATCCCGCTCATCCTGAGGCTTTGCTTTTGCTCGCGGGAGTGTGTTCACATTGTGTTCATCTAGAAAACGGTTCGGATGCGCACTTCTTGTGGAATTTTTACCTGTTCCTCTTTTTGTAGCTTATTTTTAGTACGTACACTGTTGAATATCCTACAGGGGGGGAATAAAACAGATTTGCCACCCTCCAAACCATTTTCTAGCTGACCTTACCTGGGTGGGCGGGGCCCACACTAGGCGAGGAGTAGGCCGAAGTTAGGGACCTTGGCAAAAGCACACACCCAGGCGAATTGGGGCTCGACCCAGGCCAAAAAAAAGGGGGGATTAGCCAGGGGACCCAAAAACCCCTACCTAGGCGGGCGGGGCCCACACTAGGCAGAGAAGGGATCACAGCAACAAGTTCACACACACACGAACACGGGGGAGGGGGGGGGGATTTGGGGGATCCGCAGATTCGCCAGAAACCAAAAAGCGCTCGGCCCATAAGCAACGGACAGCGCCAAGCCCGTCCTGCGAGCTCGCCGGGAGCGCCGGGAGGGCCAGGACCTCCCCCAGGCAGGAAACCTCGCGGACGTCCAAACAAAACGTGGCGCCTCGCCGTTTTGGGCCACGGTGTGTGACACGGACTTCTTGAGTGGATGGCCCAAAAAAAGACCGAGCTTTTTGTGTTCCACCCAAATGGTCTTCCAAAATGTTCAAAGTTCATGAACTCAGGAAGTGAGGGCATTTGCTGTAGTTCAGGGGGTGATGTGGCCACTCACCAAATGCCAACTACAAGTGGGAATGGGGTTTACTCAGCAAATCCCATGTGAGCTTCGGTCAAAATGTTCAGTCTACGTTCGATTGGCAGAGACATGGAGGGACTCACTTCAATTTCCACATCCACTTGCCTTCCCTTGCGAACAGTTTCGCCCTTTCCAAAACCTGGTAGTTTTCCAAAAGGGGTCCGTCCATTTCCATGTTGATTGGGAGACGGGTACGTGTGTTGGCCTTTCAAGTGTGGCTTAGGGCCGGTTTGGGGTGGGTTTAGGGTGGTGGGTCTAGGGTGGGTTTACAGTGGGCAGTTGAGAATATCACAGAGGCCAATGGAATTGCAATGGGGCGCAGTAAAAGCACATGGAAGCGGAACAATTGCCGTCAAAGTACTTTGCTCAGAGCATGGCTGGTGATGCTAAGGTTGTTGCTGGTGTTGCTGGGGGTGTTGTTGGAGAACCCTCATAATACAACAACTTTAAGCGACCCAATGAGTATTTAAAACCGACTTGTCAAGTCTACCTCATATTGTTTCTTCAAGTCCGGATTAAGCGCACCTTACAATGTAACGCACTTTCAACATGGGTGTGCGTCCAAAAGGGGGACCCCAAAATGAATGGTGTCCTTTTGGTGTCCGTTTTTCGACAATCTGAGAAGGGTACCATCTCTGACAAACACCCGAGTAACTGCGCGGCCTCCAGCGAGTCCATGGGCACAACGGTCACCTGCTTCAGATCCGACAACACCCAGATCCGCAGACTCAGCTCCTGCGAATTGGAGAGGCGACGATTGCATCCCGTCTTCACCGGCCGGATCCAAAGGGACGGGGAGAAGGGGGCAAGACCGGAGGTGGGACTGGCAAATAACGTGTCTTCAGCCATAAGTTACATAAAGTTCGGGATATTTGTGGGAGGCAAAGAACAAAGCGGCTATGAAGCTATGAAATTTAATGGTACACCAAAGGGTCCAGCCGAAAAAATCCTCGCCGAGGCACGTCTAAATTCACGGGACACCCCGGATTGTCATTGGTTTCTTGGAAGCAGCTGCAAAGGTTGAGGGGGCATTGGATCCAAGGATCCCATGACACAAGCAAATAGGCGTCCCAACCAGATACCAAATTCATCTTGCCACAGTGGAGCATGAGAGCTTGTAAGAGTTAACCGCCTGAATTCGTGCCATTTGTGTTTTTGTGGTTGGAAGGGGGGTCATTCCAATATTGAGAAGAAGCAAGACCTAGGGGCTCCCTATGAAAGGAAACTTTGTGGCCGAGAATCACACATTTGGTTCAGCACATGGAGGGACAAAATGTATGTGAACGAGCGAACCCCATGAGGCACATGTTTTACCGGGTGTCAAATTGGGGGCATGGACAAATCAAACAATCCATTTTGAGAAGTTCCCTCAACAAGGACAGTCTTGCAGTCGCGAGCTCTCTCTCTCTCTCTTTCAAGGGCATTTCCGTTTTTGGAGGTATGGATGCTCATATACCACCAACACAAGCATTTTACACTCTATGTACTCCTTGGACAAGTGGTATGTCACCTCCAAAGCCCGTCCCCAAAGACATGTCCTTGACTCCTTATCTCTCTCGGCTCCTCACCCAAGGAGTAAACAAAGTTCTTGTCCACTGCAAGATCCAGCACAGGGCCCCTCAGTCGAGCCCAGGGCGCATTCAAGGGGGAACCAACACCTTGCATTTGTTGAATCTTGAAGGGAATCCAGCCAAAGAAAAAGCGAGTCACCAGGGAAACAGATCACTGGGGGTGTGGGAGCGTTCATGTGCTAACGGCTGAAGCTTTTCAAGGAATGGTTTAAAGGCCTGAAAGGTGCAACTTGATTTCTCTGGAGACAGAATGCAGCTGAGAGCTCGGTTTCTCTGATGTGAATTATCATGCCATGAGACGAATCTAGGAAGTCCCCTGTGAACCGTCTGACCTGTTGGGTTACACACACACACACCCCTTTGGCGAAGAAGCCAAATATACCGATCCGACTTGAAACCCTTCGCTCGGAGTAGGCAAACGCCCATGATATTCTTCCCGTCTGTGTCAATCCATAGGGGCACCTTTTCCTCAGAGCTGAAATTCAAAAAGTTTTGTAAAAATCTCAAATTTGGGCATGTTTCTGTCCATGCCCCTGCAAAGCACTGTGACACATGTTGGGATTACGATTGAAGATCGAACGTCCTCAAAACTCAGATGTTTGAAACTTCAATCCATACTCTGAACCCCAAAGCGAGCCGAAACGCGGCTTGAGATTGAAGATTGAAGACCAAGACTCTGGCTTTAAATCTTCAAGCCAGGAGATACCTGAAGTGCAGTATGGCGTCTCAAGGCGTTTTTGAACGTTTTTGGCGGCACTCGGCTGGAGTGAAGATTAAAACACGGGAGTCCTGAGAATCTTCAATCTTGAAGAAGGTTCAAACACATTTCAATGCCCTTGAAACGTCCCAATGGAAGATTAAAAGCCCAGAGCCATGCGAATCTTCAATCTTCAGCCATCAATTCAAACACGCTTTCAAGCGCTGCACCCTGGTTTGCTCCCGTGTGCACAAGGTGCTAGCAGTACATTCTGCTCGGGCGGATGAAAAACAGGGCAGACGAAGGCCCAAACGGTTTGGGTCGCGCCACTATCCTGGGATTATCCAAATGCTGTGGTCTTTGCTCTATGTGTCTCCCTCTACTGCCTTTTCAGCTGCTTATGAGAGTTCATTCTTCCCCTATTGGTGCTACTGTGGGTGGACAAAATCCTGCACCACCTAAGAAACCCCGGAATGAATGATTTCGTCCATCCACAGTATGTTTGGCTTCTGCTCATTCAGTCACCCGCCTTCTTCAGCTCCGGCAACTTTCTTGCAGGGATGCCACATAGTTCTGTCTGTCCAGTGAGCGGTGCAGACCTTGAACACCGTGTGGGCGGTTGTAGCACATTGCATGCGGTGGAGGTGCAAGCGGATTGGAAGGTATGGTAACAATTTAAGGCTTTAAGTACACATTGGTAGCTCCAGCTCGAAAGTCGCAACTTCTTTTGAGAAGTGTAGAACGTTCACATACTACACTTTGGCAGCTGCAAATGCTGCGGAAACTGGTAAGGTCCATACACTGTTTCGCCTTCCGCGAATCGTGCGCCAACCGTTGCATGTGGCTTACAGGTGCGGATGTTGTGACTCAAAAGCATCAAATGTGGAAGGCAAGTGCCACGTGTGCCAAGCCTGGATTAGTTCCATGCCCAGTATACCAGTCCACAGGGGGGTGTAAAAAAAAGGACAGGGTCATTGAGCAATGCTCCCTTACACGATGTTTTTTGCAAAGCAACACTGACCTTTTGTGAGATCCCTCGCGGAATTTCGCGGAGTCTAATTCATAAGACCAAATGTCGCTCCCCTTTCATACATCTCAAATCTAAGACTTTTCAAATGACTGCCATGTGTATGTGTAGATGTAGATGTAAATTGCACACATAAAAAGAAAATAAACAAACAAGCAAACAAAACAATACACATGTGTAAGTGAACAAACAAAGCAAAAACAAGTAAATACACAAACAACCAAATACACAAATAGATAACACACATAAAACAAAAAAACAAACCATTAACACATAACAATTAGCTAAATGACTAAATGCATATAAACACATAAACAATAAAACAAAACCAAACAAAGTAAATAAATTAATACACGATATGGCCATCCATGTCAATAAAGGCTTGACTGAGCTCCGTGCTGGTGCAGCCGCGCGGTGGCGCGCAAGGCGCATGCCCTGAAAGCGGAGCCCGCGGTGTCAGAATGAAATGGCTGTGTGGCCTGAACCCCAGGTTTCTGTGGAATTCGGGCTGTGTTTTCATGTCCTCCCAGGTCCCCCCCAAAGCTACCGTAGACTACCTAGGTCCTTGAGTAGAGAGGTTAGAATAAGTTGGTACCCGATGTTTTTCTTTTTTTTCTGTTTCAGTAGGGGAACCCTCCCCAAAAAAGTGGGTAAAAGGGCACTACTGGGGGACCTGGTACATGAAGCATCAGGCTATGGGTCAAACCCCGGTGCCCCGGTGAACACCCAGAAAGTGAGTCCTGAAAAGACAACAGTGGAACAGGCACTTTAGGTTTTCACCCACAGCCATCAGTGAGTCCTGTAGCTTTGGGGACATCTAGCGAGTCATACTGATATCTTGATCGAAACTCACAAGGGTTTGTCTGCCATTAGCGGCTCCGGCTCAGTCATTCCTACGTCAACACATCTGGAGGCGTGGTGTGTGGTGCAAGACAAACGCCGTGGGTGAGTTCTTGTTAAAGGTGTCCATTTCAAAACCATACAACACTCAAATTGCTGATTTGAAAACGCCAAAGCAGCCTGAGCTGAAGACCCACTCCAGCCATGGCAAATCAACGGAGCAAAGGCTCCATTTCCCCTAAAATGCATGGACATTTCGACTGGACGTTCTTGTCGGTTGCACGTCCATCTGCAGACCCTCGCAGGACCCCACCTTGGAGCTTAACAGGTTGCCTAGGAACATCTTCCCCGTGAACGGGGAACCCACCAGGAAGGCTGCCATTTTGGGCAGCGGCGTGTTTCAAGCCTTTTCACCGTGTTCCCACTGTGAGGCCACTGAGCTCACAATGAACGAGCTCACAATGAACTAAGGTTGCCAGGATGTGAAGGAGCGCGAAAATAGGTATCCCTCCAGTGGTATCTCTCCCGTGGTGTCCCTCCAGTGGTATCCCTCCAGTTGTATCTCTCCAGTGGCATCCTTCTAAGGCTCAACTTCCTCCAGTTGGCCAAAGTCTTCGAAAGCCCCGATCGAAAGTCATCGAACTCACCCGGCTCCGCTTCGCCTGTTCTTCTGCCAGACTCTGCACCTTCCGCGCGACGGCATGGGGCAAACAACAGGAAGCCGATGGGGACCTATGGGAACCTTGCGGGACCCCTACCATTTGCAGGCAATATCCTGCTTCAAACATACAAACAAGAGCTGCATATAAGAAAGACCCCTTCAGACATGAGATTGCCCAGTCTGCTTCTTACAATTCACTGGTCATGTTCAGATTGTGCGGGAAATAGGGGGCCTGGGAAAGAATGACATCCGTGCGCTTGCGGTTTGACAAGCAACAATAACAAAATGTGGATCATCAGTTTTGTTTGACATTGAGCTTGACATGTCTCAAGCCTGTGGATTCTATGAGGAATCCACTTGATGAGTCCGGAGGCGCAGGTCAAACCTTTCTCCTCAGCTTTGGTGCGGACAAAGAAAAGGAGCGTCGGGGGCGGACAATATGGACAGTCTCACTTGGACAAGTTTTTGGATCCGAGCGGCTTGGATGCGACCCTCACGAGCCAAGAAACGCCCAAGCCCCAGCCCAAAGCAAATTCCGCGGCCTCAAAGCTGCTTCAAATGTCAAAGTTTGACCCTTTGCCCTTGTTTCTGAAGGACCCGCCGCTGATCAATTCAAACACTTCCCCTTTCTTTAGGCCCGTGCTCCCCGGAGGCGTCACAGGACACCAAGTAGGTGTTGGTGGCCTGATCGCGGGCCGCTCGGGTTCTCAAAAAATGGCGGGGTCGGGACCCTGCAATGACCAACCACCAGCAAGCAGTAGGACCCGATACCGAATTTCCAGGGTTTGCGTCGCAGGACAGTTTGGTGTGTCGCAAAACACACCTACTCTTATTCAAGGGAACTTAGGTCTCTTATAAAGATTATTTGGAGGCCCCCAAAGTCTTTTGTACAGGTGTGTGTGTGCGTTTGCGTGTGCTTGGGGTTTTAGTGCAACCCCTTGATTTGATCTTATGAGCTTTCAAAAAGTATACCGTGGTGTCTCTCACAATTCCCCGACATGGATAGTGTTTCCTTGACTTGCTTCCGTTTCGAGGTTGGCATCTTTCTTCGTGGCATCTCAAAGGCCCAGAGCTTCAGCCTCCGTCTCAGGCGCCTTGGATACTGGAACGCACGTGGCGCCAGCCCAGTTTCAGCCATATGGAAAGTTCTTTCCTCCCACTCATTCTTCCCCCACCCTGTCTGGCAGCAGTCAAACATATTTGTGAAAGAATGTCCCCTCGGGTGATTCTAAATGGGCTCGAAGAAAGGGGTACGTTTTGGATGCTACACAGATGATAGTCCTTGCTAAGCTGGAGCCTGTTGATTAGAACACGCGAAAACGGGTGGGTTCCCTGACTAGAGTCCTATCGGATAACCCAACGGCAAATGGTGGATTCTCTTGAATCCAAAAGAACACTCCTGTCGGAAGGCGGCAAAGCAAAGCTTGGTCAAGAGGACCACCAGGTCTCCTTCCTCTCACCACAAGGCACCTGGGGTATAGGGGGGGTACCCGTCAACTTTGCCAATCTGCCCCCTTCAAACATCACTCAGAGGCCGGGCCCGAGAGGTGACCCGTTTGTTGGTCACCAAGAAGGGCATCGACGCGCACCCGGCATTTCCCGGAGCCTGGTTGCTTACAGGGGTATGTCTTTGTGCCCTGTGTGGGGTGGGCTTTGAAGGGAAACCAAAGAACAAGCACAAATTATGTTTGTTTATTTTTTGGAGTTGGGGTCCTTTGGAGGCTTCTCAAAACAGACCAAGTGGCCCGGGTTTCCTGGTTTCCCTGCAAAACACCAACCAACAGGGTCCATTTCCAGAGAATGTGAGGCACACTCTTGGCACATGCTATTTTGCTGCCTGAGAACATCTTGCCACCAATTTTGAGAAACCTTTGGAAAGACCTTGCTTTAAGCCTTTAAGCCAACCCCGAAAAACTCCCCAAACTCAGGCCACCGGCCGCCAAGTGCAGCACTGGCGCCACCTAATGATCGAGCGCGCCAGCGCGTGTGGGTTCCATGGTTCATGGGTTTGGCTGTTCAGTTGTCGAAAAGTCCCTGTAATTCCCCGTATCAATTTCCCTTAGGCTAGCGGTTCTCCATCTGCCTTCTACAAGAACCAGGGACCAACCACCAATCCAAACCACCAACTTTGGGTGGTCTAGTGGGGTCCATTCGCCATGGTGTTCTTCTGACCTGGGAGCCAGAAGCGACTCCCTTGACGTTTTCGTTTTGATTGCTTGCGTCTCCGGCCCATATAGGGCCACGCGCATTGCCCCTTGCCCTTGGACTCCCCGGCTGTCACTAAATAAAAAGAAGGGCCGAGGCGGGGCCAGAAAATCCAAGGGTCCTACGTTGGGTGACCTGCTGAATGGATTCTACCAAAGGGGTACGTTTTGGATGCTACACATGATTGCCTTTGAAGCGGTCCCCAGACTACTGTGGATGGATAACTTCTACCTTGCAGCATTTGGGAGTGGTGGTTTACCCCAGTATTCATGGGGCTTCATCCATTCTTGAAGGATGTTGTCCATCCACAGTAGTGCATCTATTTTTGCCCATACCCTGTGATTCAGCCAGAGCATTGGTATGACGAGGAGATTGGCCTTCGATGTAAGCCTTGCTAAGAGGCATGCCTAGCTGAATAAATGGGACATACTGGGTGCGTGTGTGTGTGTGTGTCTGAAAAGACGTGCCAGACGTTGGCAGCTCCAGAACCAACCCCTCGACCCAGCCCTAATCCCACTTAGTGGCCGGCATGGTCCTCAAGAGAGGTCACAAAGCCCTGGCGAAGCTTGTCTGCGGAAAAGAGGTGTGCACTAAAATCGCGGGCCAGAAAAATTGGGGCCCGGTCTGGTTTCCCGTTCAACCAAGCTGAAAAGGCTACGTGCCCCCAAAAAGCAATAGATATATATATATATAAATATACATTTATATTTATTTCTTCATTTCCTATAAATATCAACTCATGTATATATTCGATTCTCATCAGCAGCGGACCTTTTACAGTACTGCGGCAGTCGCGTAAAGGTGCATATTTCTACTTGCAATTGGCAGAGCTGTGATGCATTTGGTGTCTTCAGACACGGTGTCTCAAGACTCTCGACAGACAGGGCGTCTACAGACACAGGGTGTTGCCACTTTCTTCGAACGGACGTTGGCCGGCAGCTACATGGTCAGGAGACCACACGTCATGCGCCGAAGAAAATCGAGAACGTGCTCTGGCACAACTGTCCTGCAGGCTGCAACACGAGCGCCACTTGGCTTGAGCCAACAAGGTACCATCCCATGTGCGGGTATTCCCTGTCAGGCCCCAACAAACAAAAAACCTGTCGCTTGCCCTGATAGGGATGCCACCGACAGCAGCGGCTCGACTTGAGCCAACAGGCGCCAGAGCACCAGTCAGCCAGCCTGACATGCGAAGTTTGCTCGCAGGTCGGAGCTTGTCACCCCATGACGCCGTATCTCGCGGCTATGGGATAAAGATTGGTGCAGCGAAGCACCTGCGTACACAGGAGCCAGCTAGTAACTGCAAGGAGCGGTCGCCTGACGGAAACTTCAGTAATCAGTAGACGGTCCAAGAGCTATGTCTTGTGTTCAGCAAGGCAGCCTTGAGGAGCCCAACATCTTCAGCAAAACAGCTCTACGGTATACTTGCTCGCCCCAAATCTAACCAATACTGCGCTGGTTGGGTGACAGCTGAAGCCACATTATGGCATCATTATGGGTGCCCCAAAAAAAGGTCTCCTCCCAGAACAATGAGCTTGCAGAGCCTCTCGGTACCGCGACTCGAAGTCCTTGCGCTTAACCATGGCGCCATATGCTGGCCCGCAAACACCCCCCTGCAAATCGCAGGGCTGATCAAGGCAGTTGACAACCAATCCGAAGGTGTTGCGGTGTCGGCCCATCACTTTTCAAGGGACTGCCGCAGATCGGCAGCCATTCAAGCAAGCGAGCCAATTTTTACGACACGGAGAATGAGGAAAAATCATGGACGCGTATTCACGGCTCACCGCAAAGGACTGCCAAATCTCAAACAAGGATCGCGACTAGAAAGCCACACGTCGTTCCTGGTGCACCGCTTAGGCGCTACCATGTTGCCAGCGCACCCCCTTGCACCGCACTGAACGGGGGTGTCCTGAACGCTTTCATGTTGTTACTGACATAGGTGCTGTTCTTCTTGCTCGCTCAGGCCAGAAAACATGATGTTAAATGCACTGTGCAGAATGGCGTCAAATAATGTTTCATCACCAAGCCTGCTAGACCTGAATAGACTGCAAGTATCTGTGTGTATATGTATATATGTATGACTTATGATGCAGCTTCTCACAAGTGTGTTTCCTGCATTTCTCACAAGTTTACTCATCTCTCACAAATGTGCTGTTTTTTTCCACGCTCCAAAAGACATTGTGAGAAACGAGGTTGGGCTTGTGAGAAATGAGCGCATTTTTAGATTGTGGGGTTCAAAGGGCTTTAGGTTTACAGCATTTGGGCTTTAGGTTTGTTTTTGTGGTTTCAGCATTTAAGGCTTAGGTTTAGTGCTTTTTCATTGTTTAAGCTCAGGGGCTTTAGGGTTTGGATTTGGGTTTAGGGTTGTCCGCTCCCCGGCACTTGACCGCCAAACAATTCACAAGGCATTCCCGTTCCCAAGCAGTTGGTTGGATGGATGGATGGATGGATGGATGGATGGCTGGCTGGCTGGCTGGCTGGCTGGCTGGGTGGGTGGGTGGGTGGATGGCTCAGCATAGTGCAAAACCAGAAGAAACGACTCGTGAGAAACGAGGAGATATGACCCGCAACAAGCGAGGGAATTTTACTTGTGAGAAACGAGTGCGCTTCCAGGTGAAGACAAGCCTGAATGAGGTTGACACCGCCAATGCTTCAGCATGTCCAACCCTGACAAGACCTGAGGTGATTCACTTGAGCCTGTTCGCCGCTGGTTTGAAGCCAAGGCCACATGACTCTTCAATCATCGCAGCCTTCCTCCCAACAGAAGGCACGTGGAGGGATCCCCTGTCCAGTACCAATCTCCGAATTGTGGTTTAGTCCAACGAATTTCTATGACCCCCTCGACATGTTCTTGTTGATGGACCCAAGATCCAGCCCGTGCTGGTAGCACACCCAGAACCTGAAGAGTTCAGGTCTGGGTGGTTGGAATTGGGAACCTCTGTGTGGGTATGTCTTCTCAAGGTTGGACCCCCCAAAATAATGGTTTGCCTTTTGGTTTCCCCTTAAAACCACAAAGGGGGCCCCCTAAACAAAGACACCCCCATGTTACATTGGAGAATACTTCTTCTAGACAATCCCCAAATTTCACACCTTGAAATCTAAGGATGGCAAGCTTCCTTTGTGATACCATGTTTGCCCAGATCGGTTGCGTTCCTTCGGTCGCCTGCATGAAAACAGCCAAAGGGACCGGCCTGATTTCAGGAAGCACCTGAGGTGCGAACATGGGATCCTTAAAAAGAGGGAAGTGCCGAGCCCTCACAAGGGTGTGTCTTCAAAAAGGGCAACCCCCCCCCTCCCACAAACAAACCCCTGCCGCGGGGGTCCTCTTTCAAACACTACTTTTTGCATCAATCAGGATGATCGGGAAAGCAACCAAGATACAAACACAAAATATGCCTTTCAAGGATAGGAACCCCCCGAAAAAGCAACTTCCCCTAGGTGTCCTGTGCCAAACACGCAATAGGACCCACCGCATCGTTCAGGAAGACTACTTTCCTGTTGGGGTACGGAATCCCCATCCACTTCCATGTTTGCTTGACTGAGGGTACTTACGAGTAGCATCGGCCCTTTCAGTGCCCCCCTCAGGTAGGCCACCAAACAATGCTGGCCTACCGGGGCTGTCCGTTTTCAGATCCCCCGCTAAATTTTGAGAACTTTTAGTGGGCAAAATGGAAATCCCTACTGAGCACTAAAAATCCAAAAAGCTAAGGGGATGGCTGCACCAAGCTACATGAGCCACAAACATCCTGGGGGCATTGTTGATCTCGTTGCAAGGCTTCCATAGCTCAGACGCGTCCCAATTCGGAATCAACCTAACACCCGCAAGGCCTCCCGGGTCAGCGCGCGTGGAGCGCTACTAGGACTCAGTCCAAACCGATTGAGAATCCCTCCGGACGTGGGCTACCCTTTGGTGGATCCGCTGTCGAGGGAAAGATCCACCCCTGGGGTCGAGTTGTTCTTTTCAAGTGAGGTCACTCTTGATTTCAAGACAAACCCACAAAGATCCCCTATTTAGGGGGCACAGGGAGCATAAGGATGCATCTTGGGGTCAGTGAACAAATCACTCCAATAGTGCCTAATGTAGAGGGATCCTCTAAATCCTTGTATGCAAAGCAGGCGGTGCTTGGAGGTGTGCTTTAAGAAACATTGTTTGCTGCAGTATCATTGTAACGGTTACCAACTCCTTCCCACGATTCTGGTGTATTGGGAGCCCTTCAAGCAACATGGGTCTCAAAGATACCTAAAAGCACCACCTTTGACAGCCATGCCCATCAAACTACCATTTCATGATTCTGGGACATATCCCTTGCTGTGGTACCAAAGAGGGCAATTCCAGTTATCGTTTTGCAGATTTCCTTTGTATCAACAAGTAGGCGTAACAACCGAGCCATGGTCAAAACCTGGTATTAACAATCCACCCAAACCATGTCAAGAGTTGAAAGGGCGGATATTCGCACCTGTGGTTGGAACCTTACTAGCCTCTCGCCGAAGGTTTTCCAAAGTGCCGAACCGGCTCCGCGACTGAAGGCAACACCTACGGAGTCTGAAGGCAACCGACGGTTGGGTGGGACCAGGCGCCATTTGTCCTGATTACTTGGCCAAGAAATAACAAAGAGGTAATTTGCTTTGGGATTGAGAGTAACATCTGGAGTGAACCGGTTAAAAGGGAAGTCTATTGGGCCCAAGCACGGCAAGCGTGGGGCATATGGGCCATGATCGACATACAAAAGCCTTACCCGCAATGGACAAGGGGAAATCGTGAGCCTCCCTGGTTTGTGTGTGCGTGTGCGTGTGTGTGTGTGAAATTGAGTTGTTTGACCGAACCTCCTCTGACGTCTAAACAAAACCACCTAAGGAAGATACCTTCCTGGTCGACTCCTGCTTTTTTCTGACAGGCCTCCCTATATTTTCCCTTAACGCATCACCCCCAAGGAACACTCGCCTTTGAGCCAAACAGCTGTCGCAAAAACCGCGCCATGGAAACATAGAGCTAACGGACCCTCGGACGGTAAGGCACCGGAGAACTCGGCGCCTCTGGGCTCAGGCCATGGCGGACTGAAGTGCCCCGGGTCGGGAAGGCCTCCCAGTGAGCCGGTGAGTCGGGTGGGGTCCCTGAACTCCTTCTGGGACCTCCCAACAAGCGGCCGCCATCCATGGTAACACCAAGCGGTATAAACAAATTGCCTGGCTATACTTACTATAGTGGCAACTGCAGGCACATCCGGCGGCAAACAAGACTGTAAACAACAACAATTAGAAGAACAAGCTGATGTTTTGTTTGAAGCCAGGAAATTGATCAGTTTTCCAAGGGGAAATCCAGTGACCCCTGCGAGAGAGGAGATCCAAGCCGTGTCGAAAGCTCATGCTGAATGTCCCTTACCTAAGGATTCCTTTCTTGTTGGTAGTTACTCACAGGCCCTCCAGCTCGACCAGAAATAAAAGCTTTGCCTTTTTTTGGGGCATGACTTAACCTTGGACCGAAAAGGGAATCCAAAAACCAAAAAGGCTCAAAAGGTCAACTCGCTTGGGGAAAGTGAGCCAGGCCCCCAGAAACTGGCTGAAAACATGAGAGAGGCGTCCACGGAATCCCATCACCCGCCTGTGGGCTCGCAGGACCTAAGCTGAGGCTCAAAGATCCCGCTTGAGTGAATCAATCCCCAGCAAAATAAGTTCTAAAATGGGTGGTGAATTCACCTACCCCAAACTGGTACCATTGGTTTTGACCCACAGCCATTTGGGTGTGGCTCGAAATTAAAGAGCCAGGGCAAACCGCAGGCTTTTGGTTTTGGTTCCATTGACCCAGGTGCCATTTGGGTCAGGTCAGGTGGTTTGGATTGGTTTGGATTTGGAATTGAACCTTTGCTTCTTAAGGGAAAATGGGCAGACCACCAACCCAAACCACCACCTGACCCCCTTAAACATATATTCCTCATAAATGCAAATACCAACAACAATCGTCGAAACCAAAAGCCAAATAGCACGGAAACCCTACAGGGTATACTGCTGGAAATGCGTGTTTTGTGAAATAGGTAACACACTGGCACGTGAGCCCAAAACATGCCAAACACATGGGGCTTGTGCTACTGTAGTTCGCTGGAATGTCCTGTTGGCGGTTGCCAACCATAGAATTCAAAGCCATTTAGGGGCATTTCTGCGCCAGAACCTTCCCATCGCTCCCCTTCTTCGGGCTCTGAAGCAATGTTAGACTTTGACGGTACAGGGAGGAGGGGGGAGCATGCTAGGTCCTCCAGTAGAGAGGTTAGGATAAGGGCACCCTTTTTTTATGTAGTCTATTTTAGTAGGGGATCCCTCCCCCCAAAAAAGGGTGAGAAAGGGCACTACTGGGGGACCTAGTATGAGAAAAGAGTGTGCCGCATGAAATGGCTGTGGGTCAAAAGTTGACACCCAAACTGGAACCCTTGTAAATGGAACCAAGGACTAAAACCTGCGGTCCCCTGGTGTTTTAATTTTGACCCATACCCAAATCTTTGCCTGTCAAACGCGTCCGACTCATATCAGGCGGCCAAATGCGCACATAGTGTGGAGCACCTGGCACGTGATCCATGCACGGTGCGGCGGGGTTCTGGATGAGGGCCTAAGGTTGGTTGGACACGAAAAACGTGATGAACAAGGCGAAAGGCTGTATAATAGGACTATTACAATGCTGTTGAAATTCAACTTCTGTAAGTACATATAATATTTTGGGGACGTCCAACGAAGAGATCCTCATCTCAGTAAGCCTTCACTTCCGGTCATGCGTTGCAGCTATTGAGCTGGTACAGGAATCTGCTTCTTGGGGGACCTGGGAAGTTTCGTCGGGGTCAAGCCAGAGATCCATTTCGGACACCTTTAAAGACACCAATGTTAACTTGCGATTTGAAAGGGGACCAGACAAAATGAAGCTCGGGCAACGGAATTGAGCAGCTAGTTTGACTCGATCACGCATGCCCGTTTCATCACAGCTAAGGCTTCTCTTGAAACAGCAATACTGCGAAAAGGGGCCTTTCAACAAGCGCACTGGCGGCTGGGCAATAAGCCGAAGTGACCTCGAAGATCAGTTCCTCTTCAAAGGGACCCACTGTCAGATGCCACGGGGGCCAGTTGCTGGCAATGTCAAGGCGGCCAAGTACGCTAAACACCCGTGTTCGCCGACAGCAGAAGAAAAAAAGCCACCAGCAATGACTATCCGATTGATCAATTGAGCGCCTGTGCGGCAAGACAAGAACAGTCAGGGCTCGAGCAGCTCTGTGAAAACATGTGCAGACCAAAACAACATGCTTGGGGGCTCCACAAAACGGTCGTTCTGCTCTTGCTTTCCCTTTAAGTCCCACGAATACTGGAAAATCCACTTCCCACAAAGTTGAAGTCCAAAGATCCGCTACCAAATCGCCAGAAACGAGGTGTCCCTTCAAAACCCGCAAATAGTGGGTGTTCTCAAGAAAACACACACCCATTCGCAGGGTTCTTTTTATTGAACCACCCCCGACTAACACTGAATCGGCCTGGGCTGCTCTGAGGGCCGTAGGCAAGGACAAACCTCCAGCGAGTCGAAGAGTGGCAGTCGGGTCCCAAAGAGCGAGGGAATCGGCACCTCCAGTTTGGTCGATTTCAGCCTTCAAGTGGGTGTGTGGGTGGTGGTGTTTGGGGGGGTGATGTGCTTTTGGGATCTTTTGGGGCTGTGAGCACATAAGCAACTAGGAACCAAACTGAAAAGGCCTTCCTCCAAATAAGTGCGGTGCCGGAAACCCCGCAACGCCGTGGAGATATTTGGCCTTCCAACTAACGTCAACCGCACAATCGATTCGGGACCCCAAACCGCCAGGGTTCATGATGCCACACGCCTCCAACCAAGGCTAATTAAACAACATATTCAACCACCTTACCTGCTGTTGCGCTTGTCTTGCCTGCTACAAAAACGGGTGTCATGGACGCGATCCACAACATGCACAAGTCGCACAACTGCACAACCAACAGCAGTAGTTGCTGGGTGTCAACATCGGGGTCCTGGAAAAATGACACAAACACCCCATCGCCTTGAGGTTCCTGGTTCCCTTGGGAAAATATGAACTATGGTGCCATTTAGCGCCCGGTCATGACCAAATCCCTTCAAGACAGACAGGAGAAAATCAACCGTCACCTGTAAGGGTGATGTTAAGGGGATGAAAGGGAAGAAGCCTTGAATTATATCGAGGCAAAGGCCTGCCCCTTTTTGAGCCCCGTTCGGCTTGTCTCACTCGGGCAAAGGGCGCTCGCGCCAGATCCTCGTCCCGAAAGATCAGTGCGGTAGCCCGGTGCTTGTCCTGGCGAATGACCGTCAGACTCTGTCAGGTTGGGTGTGTCTAACACAATCACAGAAACCTACAAGAAATACGGGAGGTTCGCCAAATATGGGGATTATGGGGTTGATCAAAGGGTCTTTTCCATGGGGTGACCCTCAGGGCCACCAAGCAAGATGACTTGCACCATATGGGAAAAGTTACCATGGTCATTTTGGGGCCAAACACATTGCTCAACCCCCATATCTTCAAAACCCAACTAATGTCTAAGCGATCATTAGCTGATTTCCCACATTGCCAACAAACTCCGAGGAAGCCAATCGAAACCATGCACCAACGGTTGCGAGGCTTTGTTTTCACCATCGCGGAAACCAGCAGCCTGCAGCCCCTGGATTTTTCGGGCTCGTTCTCTTGGTTACCATAAAATATACCACCCTTTGTTAGACTAAGGTGTTCAAAGTCCAACTCGGGAGATGGATCCAGTGACGGGAAAGGTTCAGCCCCGATCCCTTAGAAGTCAGCGGATGTTTTGGGCTCCCTGGACCAGCTGCATGTAGAACTCAGCTTGGAAGAGCCGACCTCAGTGGATTTCCATGGGAAATAAACTTGGCTACACAGAAAATATAGCTTCCTGACTCGGTTCCACATTTAGTCTATCGTAACCATAACATATTTGGATTTCTGAGATCCCAAATGAATCTATTTATGTCAACTCCTGGGGCCCCTGCGTGCAGTTCGAGAAACCAACTTTGGACACATGAAAAGAAATCATAAACCACACCAGGACACTAAGCAACCAAGTTGGTTGCCATCGGCCGATTCTCAATTTGGGGGCCCAGCCCCCTGTTCCTGTTCCCCCCACCTTAGCTTTCATTTGAACTCCCGCTCCCCCGCCAACTCCTTTTTCCTTTACGAGTTACAAGCGACCAAAGTCCGTTTGTTCAAGCAATTGTTGCCCACCTGGGGCTGGCATCACCCAATGACCAATCGTTCTGAGCAGTTTATATGCATCCTTTATCCATTAGCTTAAGCCCCCTGGAAAAAAAGACAAACAATATTTTCAGTAGTGATAGATTCCCTTTAAAACCAAGAGGGGGAGAAATACATCTTCTTAAACACATGGAAGCATGCATTTCAAAGGCCTGGTCAATCTAGTTGCAGCACATGCAGGTTCTTGCCAAATAAAGACTCGTCCGATTTTCACCGTTCGACTACTGCAAGTGCATGCGAGTGCTTGGCACTCACCGTGTCACCAGGAGCATCACAAACAACAGAGACGCTGGAAGGCTCCTGGGAGACTCGGAGTGGCGATCAACTTGTAAGTTGTTCTAAAAGCATAGCTGCACAATGCATGCGGGAAAGGTCAACAACAGAATGCAAATGCCGGCTTTGCTTTGAGCAGCTCAAACAGACGCCAACAGAACAAGGAAACACCCCCGCGTCCACAAGAAGGTCCCTTTGGAGGCCTAGGCCTAGACTTGAATGCAGCAGTCCGTTCCAGTTTGGGAAAATCAACCACATATCATAGAGACAAAACATCATCCTGGCCTTTCTGGTTGTATGCGTTGGTCCCCTGTCCACAAAACTCGAAGACTGATTGTGGGCCAGTGTCTGTTTTAGGGGATACCCTTCCTCCAACTAACATGGCACCTGTGGGGGGGTACATGGAAGATGTATTTCCTTTTGAAGAGACCCCCTCTCAGTTGCCATGTTAGTGGGAGGGAGGGTACCCAAAACTGGGTCTGTTTTTGGCTTCCCCAAAACACTCGCGTCTTGTTTCACCGAAGCCGGTCGACCGCGTCCTCCAATTCCAAAGTACTCTCCAAAGACACTGGCACATCAGGCCTTGCCAGCGCTCGCCACATTGGCTTCGTGCGTCCTTTTGCTTCTTGGGGACCCCGTCTTTGTGATCTAAATAGGGGGCTTGGAACCCATCCCCTTTTGGTCTCTGTTTGGCAAAATAATGGAAATAAACAAATATGGCTTATTCAGCACCCAGCACATTTAAAGGGAACACTTTAAGTGTCCCTTTCTTTGGCGTCCCCCCTAGAGAACTCCACCAAAGGAAGCCCACCACATCCCGACTTGCTATCAACAAACACGCTAACAAAACAAGTCCCACCTTGGTTTCCAGAACCAACACTGTGCTTGGTGTAGAAAATGACCAAGGGAACCACCTTGGGAACAGCAAAGGGAAAAGGCGTACCCACGAATTATGCCATAGGACCCACGTACATAAAAACACTGAACACCTGAAAGCAAGCGGCAAGGGAAGTCAAGGACAGTCATCTGCGGTCATCAAAGCAGTCTGTAAGGGGACCATCGGACATCTGGCATTTCCTTTTCCGCGCAGAAGCCATGCAGAGGCAGCCATCCAGAGGCAGGCACCATTGGAGAGAAGCACATTGCGGCAGGCCTGAGGCCCTTGAGGTACCGCAAGCTCACCCTGAGTACCCGTCCATTCTTAACGACTCCCTTTGATTCAGGCTGTGAAATCTAGTGATTGGTGCAAACACACGGGTGTCTCTTTTTTGAGGGTACCCGATTGCGGGTGCTGGTGTTCTTTCAAGTGAAACTAAAAGTAACCAAACCATTCTCTTGGGATCCTCTCAAAAAGAGACACACCATATCATTTATTCTAAGGGCTGTGCTGGTTCACACCCAAACAAAACACAAAAACAACTCCTGGAAGACCGTATGGAGTCGCCAGCTGTGACACTCACTGGGTTCAGCGGTCAAAGTACCAGGTGGGATTTGACCGATTGTGTTGAGGTACGCTTTAGATGTCGTCTTTGGACATCACCATAAACGGCAACTTGCGTTGACATGGCTCCACCGGATTTGATTCAAGCACCCGAAAAGGAACATGCGTTTTGTATACGTATATATATATACACGCATTAAACAACGCATTGTTACTTTGCCCTGCCTCCGTGCTCCAAACCGATGAACACAAACACAGGGCACAGGCGTGCCTTCCGCAGTTTGCAAGGCAATTCAAGACGAGCTTCTCCTCCAAAGCCCTTTCGGTTTCTCGCAAAACTAAAGCCAACTGGCTACCCAAACAGAAGACACACCCATGACCCATGCGCGTATTTCTTGCAACCTTCTCTTTCTTGGCTTGAAGGACACCGATGAAGCAAACAAACACATCTTCGAGGTAAGTACTCTAACAGGATTCCCCACGTTTCCCCTCCAACGACTCACGCGCCAACAAAGGACATATGGCAGTTGATCAATATTCCTGTTTCCGGAAAACGCCATCTTCGCGAGAAAGAAGTTTCTTTCGCGAATCTTTCGCGACTCCATCGCCACGCCCTTTTGTTTGCAGCGTGCGCTCTGGAGCCATTGTGGCTGCTGCAGTTGTGCTTGCAAACACAGTAATAGCCGCAGTTCACTTGCGCTGGCAGGCTTGCAGTAGCATTAAAAGAAAGCAGTCACCGTCATTCGCCCTTGTCACTTGCGCTTGCCGGGGAAGTGCGGAACCTTCCAACAAGCTCCATGGACTTTCGCCGGTCTTTCGCGGATCTTTCGCGAAACTTGCTCCAAAATAGCCCAGCCAACGTTATTGGTTTGCACCATTCCCAACACAGGAATGAGAATCAATAATGCAAGTATAAGTGCTGCGCATCTCCCTGTCTACAAAGGAGCAGGGTCTGCAAATATGCAAGTGCACAGGATGCCTCCAAGAACCCAACGCGGAATCTTTCGCGAAAAATAAAGTTTCTTTCGCGAACTCCATCGCCGATCTTTCGCGGAGGGATTTAAACAAAGACGAATGGTCACCGAATACATACCTCCTTGCAAGGACCTTTTGATCAACCCCCATATACTTAAAACCACCAGGCGGACATAACGACCCGGGCCGGAACCCTAGCCCCCAAAAAAGTCAGATGCACAGTTGGAAACCTCCGACCTGAGTCTCGGACTTGGAGCTTTCGGGCAAGATGCGATACACGTGCACCTGGCAGGCGGCGCAAGCGACGTGGCCTGAAAAAACCAGGGAAAGGGCTGGGGGATTGCAACCACCCTTGAAGAAGCCGCATTTCGTGTGGATCCCTAAGCCTTTTGCTTGATTTCCGTCCGTGAGTTCTGACTTACCGAATGTGTGCTTAAAATACATGTGTGAGCTTACACCTGGGATCCGGAGTGAGGCGGGGACGCTGAACTAAGCACAGCGAAGGACGAATCAAGGTGTGGAATCTACTTTGTTCCCACCACCTAAGCAAATTTGCTTAGTATTGAGCCCCACGTACTTCCCAGTTAGGGGTCCTTATAAACAGGAGCACTCGGCTTGATAACAGAGCATAAAGTAAAGGCCGCAGCTTCTCGCAGCGGCATATAGAGGGTTAACCAACTAACAACATGATTATCCTTTGATCATGACCTATTGTACCTACTGTGGTTTTCAAAGCACCCGGAGATAACAGCGTTGCGAATCTTTCATTTGCTTCAGCCCCCTGGAAAAAGGCAAGACTATTTCCAGTAGTGATAGATTCCCTTAAACAAAAAAAAACAACAACAAAGGAAAACAACAAACAGATATTGATAAGCTACTTGGCGTACTATATGAACTAGTGGAACTAGGGAATACATCATAATATGATAGTAATAGAACATAATATTGATGTAATAAACATATTCTATTAATTTCAGCATATTATATCATAAGCATTGGAATAAATATATTCATTTCAGCAAATGGAAGGACATTTCATGTCGTTTTTGCCTCCCAAGTTAAACTGCAGCTCGCCCAGACCTTTTGGATGAAACAAAAGCCAGTGATCAGCGGGCGCCGGGACCAACCAGTTGAAGGGAAGGGGCCCCCCAATGTTAGGAAACACTCACCCCACCCCACCCCACCCCACCCCACCACACACCACCCCAACCCCACCGCACCCCACTTGATACGAAAGGGTAACCGGTCCTCTTTGTAGTGTCCCTCTAGGTGGGTTGGCATTGGCAATCCACTTTCAACATCTTTTGAGAAGACCTTTTAAGGTTCATTGAGCGCGAGGACATGACTAGTGTGAGGGAGACCTTCCAAATGCCCTCACTGAGCATTGGCAATGGATGTTCCCACCCCATTTTAGTACTGTTTCATGGCAAGCGACAACAGCTTCCCCCGCCAGCGAGAACACCGCAGGACATGGACAAAGACAACAGCGAATACATCCAAAGGGGGGGCAAGGCCCACGGGGAAAGCAAAGACTGTCGTTCTCCCCGTTTGGCAAATCCGTTCGTTTATTGCTTTGTGCTTTGTGGCGATGGGCAGGTATGGAACCGTGCAACTCTCCAATTGGTTGTATTTCCACCCCTCCGCAAAACCAATGCTCTCAAACTCGGACTTGTTGGCTCCGCGCGCGCCACTGACAGGAATTCTTCGACTGCTCCCTGAGGATTTGCTTGACAGAGGTGTCGCTGGAGGCTTGCAGCTCTCTAGGTAGACAATCCCTTCGCCCGTTGATTCAATGGACCCTGCATGCTTCTCAAGAGGCCCGGTCTAGCCCCAAAGCCGCAACCTGCTCCATGCTATCACGACATTGCGCTAGGATGATTAAGAACTTCAAACGTGGAGAAGCCAACTTATAACTTCTCCCAGTTCCCTCTAGATGTCATTGCAGCGACTACAATGGGACACCGGCGGCTACACAGCTACATACTATCAAGCGATCTTGCGCAAAGATCCTCTTAGAATCCTCCCAACGATATCTGATCCTTAGGGATCCTCAAGGAAGTCCAGTTTGAGCCATCCCAAACGGGAATATGGGGCTGTCTCCAAATGAGAGACCCTCCAAAATGGTGGGTTCCTTTTGGCTTGCCTTTAAAACCTGCCAAAAAAATAGAAGAACAAACCACACACCCAAATATCCTCACTACCTGAGCGGATGGACCAAAAAACAGCCACCGAAGTGTACTTGCCACGGTCCAAACAGTGCCCCAAGGAAGTAAGCTTTCCCTTACTCCAACAAGGGTGGAACCATTTCATCACAAAACATTCAACATAAAACCTACCAAATCCAGTCCACAAAGCCCACACCCAATCTCAAAAAAAAGTTGCCGCCTCTTTGCCCTAAAAAACCCAATCTCCAAAAAACATCGCCGCCTCTCACCACCTCTTTGACCAAAAAACCCAGGGCCCCAGTCCCCCATTGCTCAACCCGGCCGTGGTCGAGGAGGCGACCGCCATGCGCTTGGTGATGCCGCTGTTCCCCGCCCACAGCGGCGACTCGGCGACGCATGCGACGCCGTCGGTCCGTCGGTTGGTTTGGCCACCCCACCCTTCGTTGTTCAGCGCTCGGGGCGTTTGGGTCTGTTTTTGTTTCTTCTTCGTTGGGGGGGTTGGTGGCCCTTTCTTGTTTTGGTGGTTTGGAAGGGAAACCACAAGCACAACTATTTGCTCTCTTTTTTTCCTTTCAGAAGGGGTACTCCCTGGGATGTAGTGTTATTTTGTTTTTTTGGGGGGTAACACATCACCTCTAGCTCCGGTCCCACAAATTGGTTCAGGCTCGGTCTGGGACACTACCAAGAAGACCAACCATTTTCAGTTCTGCTTATTTTGCTTCAATCGCCCCAATATGTCCGGCCAAGGAAACCTAATCGAAGTGTGTTGGTTGAATCAAGTGATCTTTCAAACCACCACAGTGTCGTCCACCCCCCCTCATTTGGCCGTCAGCACAATGAATGAACAGACTTGAAACGAAAGCCCAGGAGCGCTTCGATAAATTCGCCTACCCCCATCATGGAAGCTGATAGGATTTCAAACGACTTTGGGAACGACTCGCTCCATCCATCTCTCCACTCGATGGTTCGTTTGGAGTGATCCAAAGAGACATAGCTAGGTCCTCCAGTAGAGAGGATAGAATCAGGGTACCAACTTTTTTCAAAGTAGTCTATTTTAGTAGGGTAACCCTCCCAACCAAAACAGGGTAAAAGGGCACTACTGGGGGACCTAGCCCAAAGAACTGCTGTTTCCCATGCCCAAACTCCCAGGTACTGTCCAACAAGCAGTGGTTGGGGTCCAAAACCGCCCTGCGCACATCCCCTTCCGCCCCCTTCCACCCCAGGCTGTCAGGCCCCAGACAAAGGCCACGAACCGCGGCTCTGCCAGCGGAAGCTCCACCTCTCGCGAGCGCGAGGCCAACATGACTTTGGGTCTCAAAGGGACATTAAAACCATTGGCTTCTCCGAGAAAAAAAGAAAACACATGGAAAAAAAACAGAAACCAATGAACAAACCTGGAATCTGAAGTGTCTTTTGTTTTCCATGACTTTGTGCCTCAAGTAAGCTTCCCTCCATTTGGTTGGGAGCCCCGGTGGTTTGGTGGTGTTGAGGAGGGGTGAGATTCATTTACCCGCCACAAAAGCGAGGGCTTCGAATCCAAATCCAAACCATCAATCCTAATACCTGTTCAAAGGGAAACACACACACACACACACACACACGGGTTTCTCCGAGAAAGCAATGCGCAAACACACACACACAAACCAATGGAAGCCCTGAACAAGAAAACACCCGGACTCAACGGCTGCATAGGTTTGTTGAGCGAGCTCCTTTGTACCATGTTGGCGGGCCACTTGACAGTTGGGGGGGGCCTGGGGTGTGTCGGAGTTGGGTGTGTTGGTACGTGCTAGCTGCTGAAATCAGAGTTCCAGCAGCACCAGGATGTTCACCTTCGCTGTTTTATCCGCAAATCGGGGAGCTCGCCATGGAACCCGCAGCTTAATCCTAGCTTCCCATTCAATCCACCAAAATGTCCGGGATCTCTTAAAGGACGCGCATTTGGGCCGGTGAAGTCATGCAGCTTTGGCGAATCCCCTTAAGCCTCACTTCCCGAGTGGATGGTCCAAAAAGAGTCCAAACTTTTTGTTTGCCACCACCATGGTCGTCCCAGAAAGCTTCACTCACGTCCAGGCACTCGGAAAGTGAGATAAGCTGACCCCGATCGACTTTTCTGCACCGAAAGTTTCCAGGGCCCCCGCTTCGCTGCAGTTGAACTGCGGCGCTTCCATGCCTAAGGGCTTCCCCTTGCCGTCCTAGAGCGCTGATGTGTCGGCGAGCACCTTTGTTTCAGTGGTGGCCGTATTTTTTGGTGGGCAAACCAAGCGGAACTTATGGCATAAACCGCCAGTTGCGGAAAACACCCATTTTTTTTGCTTGCTGGTGCGATAGGCAGGGAATGAGGGAATTATTTTTCTTCTCCCTCATTCCCTACCTATCGCACCAGCAAGTGTTGTTTCTCTGCTGTGAACCAAGCGGAACCAAGACAGTTGCGGAAAACCCCATGTTTTCAGACACCCATAATATTACCTTTCCCATGGCAGTGGAACATCTCCCGAAATCTGGGATACTGTAGCACATCCCCTTGGCTACTAGAACGCTAAAACCAAGTTGTCAACAGGCACCCTGACCCTGTTTGGCTTGCTGACATCCCGTTGAAACAAAGTCCAAGCCATTTGTTTACCAGTCAACTGGTTCCAAAAGCGACTAAGGTTTAGAAACTGGGGAAGCGAGCGAAATTGGAAACTCAAGCAGCCCGCCCCCAAGCCCCCAAAATGGTCTTCCCAAAACCTAGGTCCAAACGCTCACGCGGCGGGATTCTCATCTTTGACTCATCGCCCCACCAAATGAAGGTGATACTGTGGGTGTACGAAATCCTGCACCACTTTGAAACCAAGGGAAACCATTGTGTGTTGGTATTTATAGGCCAATCATCATTTGAGGGTTTCTTAGGTAATGCAGGAGTTTGTCCATCCACAGTGGCCAAGCCGGGGCATGGGTGTGTCTTGAAATTTTGAGGGTGCCCCTGTTGGGGTTGGCTTAAAGGGAAGCTGAGTCCTACTTTGAGACGTAGCCAGGGATAGGCCCTTGGATGACATGGGACGTACTGGAAGCTGATTCCTGGAGAAAGGACAGCTGGATAGATGGGTCTGGTGTCATGTTTTCGCTAGGGCAGCAACATGTTGGTTGGTTTTAAGAGGAACATCAAAAGACAACCACCATTTTAGGGGGGGACACCCAACGCAGGTGGTGGAAAGATTGGAACATCATCCCCTTGTGGTTTCAGGGAAATTGTTCATTACAAATGGGTCGTGTGGGGGTCAGCAGGCAAGGAAAGGATGTGAGCGGGACCAAGAGGATGGGGGAGAAAAAAAACACCGACTGGAAAAGAAGCTTCCCAAGGCCACGGGTACCGAAAACCACATGAATCTTGATTGGAAGAGAAAAAACTACTAGTACCTATTCAGCTACATAGCCCCCTATATTTTATTTGGGCGGTGTTTGTCTGTTGCTTTTATTTCTGATTTGGAACGTCCGCTCTCACAACATGGGCGTGTCTCAAACACGAGCGACCCTTCCACGTGTGTGATTTACCCTTGCCACCTCAACAGGCTCCATATCTAAAGGACAGTGCCCAGTGGACATGGGGAAAAGTGCAGCCTCCCTTCTTGGCTTGAGTAAAAAAACAAAACATCTAAAAACAATAAACACAAACAGTGCCACACAACTATAGTCTTCCAGCACGGCACTTCCATACGGCCCAGATTCACATGTATCCTCCAAAAAACATCCCTTTTTAGAGGAAGCCTTTGCAGGGAAAAGATACCCAATGAGGGAAGGGGGAGGCTAGCTTCACAGTGGCTGGTGTTGCGCGGGGTCTTTCATTCCAACCTGCGCCATGTCACACAAATGTTGAGTCTGAGCTACCCAAGTCCATCCAACATGTTACCATCATTCTACGATGTTCACATGCCATTTTCCGCCGCGCAAACACTTTGAAGCTTAGATAAAGTAGCCTCACCCGGGCGATTCCATGGTAGCGCCCGAACCGACCCTGAATTGGAAGACTCGGTGACCCATTTACAAAGGCCTTCTGGGAGCTTCCGGCTGTTAGCCTGAGGGACCGTACATCAAACAAATCCCTGAAGTGAACCGCAGCCCTGTTTTGGGGTCTGAACCTCTCCATTTGCAACGATCGAGAAAAACTCTAGGGCGCTTCCCCGTTCTTTCCGGGGATCCTTCTTTCTAGAAAACCATCAGAAATGCAGGGGAAACAGCTGGTTATTGAAAAGAACGATGCCTGAAAAAAATGGAGAATGAACCCCTAGAAAAACAAAAACCCTTGCGCCCGGCAAACATGGGGGGGTCCTTCTCCCGGATGGAGCAGCACATGTTCCGGCTGAGCGGCGCCCCCATACCTGGAACCAAGAACATGGTGCTTGTTTCTTTGCGGCCATGGCAAATGATTTCTCATCTCCCCAAGAAACATCATTTCACATTTCAGTTGGTGCATGTTAGTTACTAGTACATCTGAGTTGGCACAGAATCCTTGTAAATCCCTGACACATACATCACGGATGTTTTGTGCAGGGAAATTGGAAGACTACGCTGAGGTGCGCCCTGCTGATATCTTGGCGAGTGTGCCCCATGATACTTCTTTGGAATCACAGCCCAGGGCCATAAAAGTGGATTTGTGTCAAAATCTGTTGGAGATCCTACAGCGTGCTACGTGGCACGAGTTTCGGGCCCTCATGGCTCAGCTGAATTGCTTGGCTCTCTTCGCGGGGCGGCGCGGAGCTCCGCAAACACTCGCTAGGTCCTCCAGATTTGAGAGGTTAGAATCGGTTAGAATAAGGGTACCAACTTTTTTCTGTAGTCTGTTTTACTAGGGGCGAGAAAAAGTAAAAGGGCACTACTGGGGGGGACCTAGCTCGTCGCGCTTCTCTGCCGCACGCCGAATAAAATTCATTGCCATGTTGCGGTTGATCGGGAGGCACCAGCAAAACCCCCCAGATGCCCAGTGTAGCAGGACACCTTTTGAGTGACCATTGAAGGGGAGCCCAAAATCAAAGGACGAAATGGTGTAGAAAACAACTAGGGAACTGCACCATTTCTGGCCGGGAACAGTCGCTCTTTGCGCATGTGAAATGCCCTGGAGCCGGCCAATGTTCAAACAGAGCGAAGACACTGCACAAAACACTTGAATGAAACCAGTGTTGCGTCTAGTTTTCGGTTTGACTTCGGCCACGTGGAAATAATACCCGAGCACCGCCTTGCCGAACATGAGTGCAGTGTAAATATGTCCCATAACACGAGCAACCGCCCGCTACGATCAATTTTTGCCCCATCCCCGCAATCAACCTTCCAGCCTGATAGTCGAGCCTATGCCCAGGTCTCAGCCATGTGCGACAGCCGTGGATAGCTCAGCAGTGTCCAAGAAGCTTGAAGAGTTTAAGGAGCGATTACTGGAGTTGGGCCTTTGCGACTCAAACCTCAATCTTTGCCACAGCCAAACCACCCGGCTTCCCGTCATGCTCCGGCTCTTGAGTCAGCTGTGATGGACAGCTGAAACATCTGCATGAGGCCGTGAGGTGATGCAAACGGGATGATACCGAGCTGTCTGCCACGTGTCAAATGTCTTCCAAGGCCACGGCGGAAGCCAACAGCTTGACGGCGCGAGCGAAGCGAGCATGCGGCACCGTCAGTTGTCCAATACCGAAAACATTGAAGGACCAATCTACCAGCATATGTTTAGCCTGGAGATATGGAATTCAAGTCAAAACAGGCCCAGGTCAGTCTAACTTGCCAGATCCATACGATATCCATACGCTACCTGGCCAACCAGCGAGCGCATCAGTCCAAGCCCCCTGAACTCAAAGCTGACTGACCCTTGAAACAGCCGGCTAGCCTTGAACACATATTAATCAATCTCATGCAGAAACAAAATCCTCACTACTATTAACAACGGCTACAACACCATCACCACCACCGCCACCAAGACCACATCCGCCAGCCACAACATCCAACATGCCAGCCGTGTTTTGAGCCACTTGAAAGCAGAGACCAAGGTGGACCCCGGATTAAACCCCTGTTTCTTAACATGGGGGTCTCCGATTCCAGTGGCAAATCATCACTTTTGGAGCCGCCAGCCCCTAGAAATAAACAGGGGGTTTATTCATCCGGGGTCAACATTACCGCTACGATCGCTGAAACAAGCCAAGGGATTCTTGCATTGGGGAACCTACCCCATTTGCGAATTGAGCACCCCCAGATCAAGACACAAAGAAGCAACTGCCAAACACCAGGCCATTTGCCCCCTGAAAAAAAAAAACGTTCCTCTCCAAAGAGGCCAAGACAGGAAGCTACGCCGTGTTCGAGGCCTAGCCCAGACGCTGAAATGGAGCAAATTTTGAGACAAGCCGTTGCTCTTGAACAGGATTTCGGAAGACACGCATCGGCCCAAAAGAGCACCAGTATCCATGTCGGCTAGCGCCCACGGATTTTCGTGAGAGATAGTGTTGTCCACTGTCTACCAAATTTATCCAACCAGCGATTCATCCGCCGTCCGGCATCCTCGATGAAATAGGAATCCCTTCTTTATATGACTCGGCAGGGGCCATTGCCACTTCTACCGAGGATTCCCTCGGCTCAGCTCAGGCAAGCTGAAAAGGTCCCTGCAATTTCATGGTTCAAGCACCGCCTATATCTGATAGGCCCCCCTTAGCACCACCGCTCCCAAGAGACATCTCATGTCAATTCTATGACTTCATTCACGGAGTAATCCTGCCAAGTTCCAGCTGCCATGGAACGCCGTGAGGTTGCGCAAGAAGCATATTTTTGTTTGCCAGGTGGATCAAACGAGGGACCCGGACCCCCAACATCACCAAGCGAATTTGAGACTGTCGCAGGAAGAAAGCCTCGGATTTGGAAAGCCAAAGAAGCTAAAACTTGCCCTCCCGGTCAGGGTCCACCAACACATCATGTTTTCAGACTCTCCCTTGCTGAGACTGGCCAAAAGAAGTCCAAACCTTTGTTTGCCACGAACACGGTCTTCCCAACAAGTATGACTTCCACGATCTCAGGAAGTGAGTACTCAGTTTGCAGTTTGAAGTGTTGGAGACCCCGGAAACGAATTCCCTCGCTCGCCTTTTCGCACAAACCCATTCAACTCGAACCGAAATCGCCGGAAGACACGCGCCGCACCGGGGCGGCGAACTGGCTGATTTTTTATTTTTTTTTGAACATGTCCCCTCCCTGTGGAGGGGCCCAATCGGCGCGCAAACCTAGATCACTAAACTCGGTGCGGATTACATCAGAACACATTTACATTAAATCACCCTCCGAGTGGTTTGGCTAAATAACTAAACCGTCTTGTTTGCTGGTCGGCCCAACACTTCAAGTTCAGAAACTGAGGAAAACAGTCAACTGATCCGAACCGAAACTCGTTTCCTCATCGATGCAGTGGTTTTGGGTTCCAATGTCGAATAAATGCTCCGTGTGAATGAACGGTGGAAGATCAACACAATTCTACATGCCCTTTGGCCCTTTGAGCCTCCGGAAACTCACAATTCAAATTGGTGCCCAGAAAGCCTCCCATGTGCTCTGACCGTTGACGCGAAGACAAATAGACAATCTCTGCTCCAGTTTGCTTGTCTCCAAAAGCCAAATAGTATATGCTTAACGTTCAACTCAAACCTAGGATCTGCCTTTATCATAGATTTGGCAAGGGCAAACATAGGCGATGCTACCAAACGATTCCCTGTAAAGCACAACCCAACCAAACAAAGGAATAATTCAACTTGGCAGCCAACATGTCATGTTCCAAGCAGCCAGGGAAGTGAAAGAAACCCTACGCAAGCTTGATTTGCGGTAGATGATAAGACTGTCCATCATAAATGTTTTAGAAGCAAGGCGACTATATTATAATATAAGTTGTTTCCACACGTTTACCCAGGTATGATAATTCGCCCACCTGCAAGAAAAAGGATGGGTGAAATCACTCCCGCACTAAACCCAAAGCCGGAGGGTGGGTATGTCTTGTATTGAAGGTAGACTTTCCGGATGGTTTCAAACTAGCCAACAGGAAACCACCTACTTTGCGGGTTCCCTATTCAAGCTCACTCGTCCTGAAAAGCCAGCCAGTACCTCTGCTTTTGCCCCTAGAACTTGCAATTAAAAATCCTGATCCCATTTTCAAAATCTTAAGCTGTAAAGTCGTATTACAATTTGGCAGTCTGGAAAACCGGGCGTACTAAAAACTGAGGGGGTTCACTTTACTTGCGGTACGCAATTGGAACAAACCCCATTTCATTAAAAAAAAAAAAACTAGCGTAAAGTATATACCATCCCTATAATGTTTTCGGCATTTTCTGAGGAAAAAACCCATTGAAAAACAACTTGAGGTGAAAAAACAAGCAAACCACAACGTACCATCGAAAAAGTCACCCAGAGGTCGGGTTAGTTGCAGTTCGCAGCCAGGTGGCTCGCTCTTCCAATTTTGTAAGTCCCCTCACTCGCTGTCGGCCTCCGAGGACTCAGCTGCCTACGCGAAAGCGGGGCCCCAAAGCGGGGTCCAAAAAAAAGACGGAAAGCGCAGACCCACAAAAGGGGGTGAGAACACACAAAAGGGGGTGAGCACCCACAAAAAAAGGGGGGTGAGCTTGGGGGAAAAACCAAGATCTGTCGCCGTCGGTGCAAAACACGGCACATCACGGGGGCCTTAGGCTTTGTTTCATACTGTGGATGGACGAAAACCACACCACTTTGCAACCACGGGAAACCATGGTTTGTTGGTATTTGCAGGGGAATCTAATCATTCCAGGGTTTCTCAGCTGGTGCGAAATGGATTTCGTCCATCCGCAGTATGACGTCAACCTTAGAATCTATATGTTCTTCAACGAGCCCAAATACAGCCGAGGCAAATGCGCAGAGCGCAAAACCTTTCCTACAAGCGTAATGAAACTATAGGTAGAACCACCTAAAGTGGGGGTGTCAATGCTATTTGAGGCTACCCTTTCTTGACTGGTGTTAAGGGAAAACCAGAAGTACAACCACCGGATGTTGGGGGTTCCAAGCTTAAAAAACTGGACCGTCCGCTAAAATTGCTCGAAACCAACCACTAAACCAACTAAAAACACTAGGAAAAAACACTAAACCGACTAAAAACCACCAAAAGCCTCAGCGGGATGGCTTCCAAGACAAGAGGGGGGCCGCCCAAGCGAGGCCTCCCGCTGGGCCGGGAACACAATCTGCGGGCCCTCACCCGCCAGGAAACCTGGCGTACGGCACCCGAAACACGAGGCCCAGTGGGAACCTTGCGATGAACGACTGGGGCAACATTTGCAACATGGCGACCATCTAACGCGGCTACGGACTAAACTAAGAGAAACTGCTCAGATCACCGGAGAATAGCATACTAATTAACCAAGAAACTGTTGCTACTATGGACTAAACTAAGAGAAACTGCTCAGATTACTGGAGAATAGCAGCTAAACATGGAACATGTGACTATCTAACATAATCTTAATATGTGTATGTATATATGTGTATATGTGCGTGTATATGTGTAGACCATATGTACACCTCCAACACCGAGACCTTTGACTGCTCCGCATTTTTGGGGTTGCGGTCTGGCAAACCTGCAAGATCTACCGGCCCCATGCATTGCCATGGGGATCAAGCGAGAAGCACGGCATATGTATGCCGTGTTTCCTCATGAAGTTGGAACGCTTTGTTGGGCATTTGGGACACTTTGCCACGTTCTGGCAGTGGCATCGTTCTGTGTCCAACATAGTGACACTTCTAAAATCAGCTTCTCATTGGCGAACATGAAATCCCCCCCCCGCGCCCCGCACTCGTACAAGTAAATCTGAGACTTCCCCCCCGGCCTACAATGTTCACATTGAGAAGCCAGCGGGCAGTGCCCATGTGGTTATAGTTGGGCCGATGCTTCCCCCATTTGCGCAGCGGGTCTTGTGTCAATATTTATTGTGCACCACTGAGCATGACAGCCAAATGTTGCTTTCTTTTTTGGCGGGGTGGATCAGGTAACGCGCAAAATGGCCGGACAAAGATTATGTCTTTTGGGGAGCCCTGTGGAGCGTGGCCTGTGTCAGGGAGGGAAACCAAGTTGAACCCACCCATGTTTGCGGTTCCATAGCCCACTAGAAAAACGTCCACAGCCCGATGCTCGAAGTGGGAAGCCGGAAGGTTCCCATTTTTGGACCTGATGTATATATATTTTTGAAGGAGGTCTCTGCTTTTCTCATCAAGCCTCTGGCAAGGGGATGATAGCATCTGCATGGGTGACTTCTGCCATCTTCTTTGACCTAGCTTGGTGGTTTATCCCTGGCTAAAGTTCAACTGTTACGCAACGTCATAGATCCCACCAACATCAACAAGTCAAACAGTCTAAGGGTATCCATGGGAAACGCC